ATGTGTAAAATTAGATGACACTACAGTGTTAATATCAACTAAACCTCTTGAGAGATTTATGTTATGTCTTGAGAAAAAAAAATTTTATTCTGAGTGTTACATTGTGACCTTGAGCCATTTAAGCCCAACACACAACTATCAAAGTAAAATCACTAGTAGGTTTTCATGCTGTTTTACTGTAATGTGAATTTTCTTCCTAGAAAAGGACACACGAACAGACACCTAGATTACACTGATAACAATATTCAAACATCTGTCTAATAAATCCATGTCGTGTATGAAATGATACAGCTGTAATTAAGCAATGTTTCAACACAAAAATGTTATAAAATGAGATCCTAGGAGGATTTTTGAAACCCACCCTTGGCGGTCAAATCAATCATAAAGGCTAGTTAATTTTCTTGTTATGAAATTAATCTTGGTGAATGTAAATTTTGTAATTGACTAACATTTCATACAGGAACTGAGAGCAAATCACCTTCAAAACATTGAACTTCAAACTGAATCAGCAAACAGATGTGTTATGTCCCTACAATAACTTCATCAACAGATGTGTTATGTCCCTACAATAACTTCATCAACAGATGTGTTATGTCCCTACAATAACTTCATCATCAGATGTGTTATGTCCCTACAATAACTTCATCAACAGATGTGTTATGTCCCTACAATAACTTCATCAACAGATGTGTTATGTCCCTACAATAACTTCATCAACAGATGTGTTATGTCCCTACAATAACTTCATCAACAGATGTGTTATGTCCCTACAATAACTTCATCAACAGATGTGTTATGTCCCTACAATAACTTCATCATCAGATGTGTTATGTCCCTACAATAACTTCATCAACAGATGTGTTATGTCCCTACAATAACTTCATCATCAGATGTGTTATGTCCCTACAATAACTTCATCAACAGATGTGTTATGTCCCTACAATAACTTCATCAACAGATGTGTTATGTCCCTACAATAACTTCATCAACAGATGTGTTATGTCCTTACAATAACTTCATCAACAGATGTGTTATGTCCCTACAATAACTTCATCAACAGATGTGTTATGTCCCTACAATAACTTCATCAACAGATGTGTTATGTCCCTACAATAACTTCATCAACAGATGTGTTATGTCCCTACAATAACTTCATCAACAGATGTGTTATGTCCCTACAATAACTTCATCAACAGATGTGTTATGTCCCTACAATAACTTCATCAACAGATGTGTTTTGTTCCTACAATAACTTCATCAACAGATGTGTTATGTCCCTACAATAACTTCATCAACAGATGTGTTATGTCCCTACAATAACTTCATCATCAGATGTGTTATGTCCCTACAATAACTTCATCAACAGATGTGTTATGTCCCTACAATAACTTCATCAACAGATGTGTTATGTCCCTACAATAACTTCATCAACAGATGTGTTATGTCCCTACAATAACTTCATCAACAGATGTGTTATGTCCCTACAATAACTTCATCAACAGATGTGTTATGTCCCTACAATAACTTCATCAACAGATGTGTTATGTCCCTACAATAACTTCATCAACAGATGTGTTATGTCCCTACAATAACTTCATCAACAGATGTGTTATGTCCCTACAATAACTTCATCAACAGATGTGTTATGTCCCTACAATAACTTCATCAACAGATGTGTTATGTCCCTACAATAACTTCATCAACAGATGTGTTATGTCCCTACAATAACTTCATCAACAGATGTGTTATGTCCCTACAATAACTTCATCAACAGATGTGTTTTGTTCCTACAATAACTTCATCAACAGATGTGTTATGTCCCTACAATAACTTCATCAACAGATGTGTTATGTCCCTACAATAACTTCATCATCAGATGTGTTATGTCCCTACAATAACTTCATCAACAGATGTGTTATGTCCCTACAATAACTTCATCAACAGATGTGTTATGTCCCTACAATAACTTCATCAACAGATGTGTTATGTCCCTACAATAACTTCATCAACAGATGTGTTATGTCCCTACAATAACTTCATCAACAGATGTGTTATGTCCCTACAATAACTTCATCAACAGATGTGTTATGTCCCTACAATAACTTCATCAACAGATGTGTTATGTCCCTACAATAACTTCATCAACAGATGTGTTATGTCCCTACAATAACTTCATCAACAGATGTGTTATGTCCCTACAATAACTTCATCAACAGATGTGTTATGTCCCTACAATAACTTCATCAACAGATGTGTTATGTCCTTACAATAACTTCATCAACAGATGTGTTATGTCCCTACAATAACTTCATCAACAGATGTGTTATGTCCCTACAATAACTTCATCAACAGATGTGTCATGTCCCTACAATAAATTTATCAAAGTGATAAGATAACTTCATCATTTACAAAGAAGCTTACATAACACCAATTAAAAAATATTAGTTCATGAACGACTTTCAGCCATTTTGTCAGACAGCATCTATTTCAATCCTTTTGTTTCCAAACTTTATTTATCACAAAATTCAAACTGAGCTATTTGAATATGTTCTTATGCTGTTGAGGCTGTAGTAGGTCAATCCTAATATTATTGCTCCTTTATATGATATATGGTATTTTACAAATACAATATAGATTTTATACTTCTTGACAGTTCATCATATAGCCATGAATTAACACTTTAAGACACTTAAGATCAAATCATACAAAATCACCATATCCAGCAAGGTCTTCCCGAGAATGTTAAGTCTGTGCACTTCATTTATATTACTCAACACTTTAAAAAACTCCAACAGTTAGCAGACAGATCTTTGTACCAACTTCTGTATGATCTTTTTAGTTCTTTGTTACATGTATCTCCTATAATGATAGTCATATCCATGACAAATTAATGGAAATGATCCTTCAAAGTGAGATTGTTATCCAACTTATCGACTACACTCGATCATAGTGAGATTTCTTGTACCTCTTTGCTATACTGTATCTGTTTGCCATGCTGTACCTCTTTGCCCTCTTTGCCTTACTGTACCTCTTTGCCCTCTTTGCCATACTGTAACTCTTTGCCCTCTTTGCCATACTTTAACTCTTTGCCCTCTTTGCCATGCTGTACCTCTTTGCCCTCTTTGCCATACTATAACTCTTTGCCTTCTTTGCCATACTGTAACTCTTTGCCCTCTTTGCCATACTGTAACTCTTTGCTCTCTTTGCCATACTTTAACTCTTTGCCCTCTTTGCCATGCTGTACCTCTTTGCCCTCTTTACCATACTATAACTCTTTGCCCTCTTTGCCATACTTTAACTCTTTGCCATACTGTAACTCTTTGCCCTCTTTGCCATACTTTAACTCTTTGCCCTCTTTGCCATGCTGTATCTATTTGCCCTCTTTGCCATACTTTAACTCGTTGCTCTGTTTGCCATACTTTAAATCTTTGTCCTCTTTGCCATACTATAACTCTTTGCCCTCTTTGCCATACTGTACCTCTTTGCCCTCTTTGCCATACTTTAACTCTTTGCCCTCTTTGCCATACTATAACTCTTTGCCCTCTTTGCCATACTTTAACTCTTTGCCCTCTTTGCCACACTATAACTCTTTGCCCTCTTTGCCATACTTTAACTCTTTGCCCTCTTTGCCATACTATAACTCTTTGCCCTCTTTGCCATACTTTAACTCTTTGCCCTCTTTGCCACACTATAACTCTTTGCCCTCTTTGCCATACTGTAACTCTTTGCCCTCTTTGCCATACTGTAACTCTTTGCCCTCTTTGCCATACTTTAACTCTTTGCCTTCTTTGCCATGCTGTACCTCTTTGCCTTCTTTGCCATACTTTAACTCTTTGCCATACTTTAACTCTTTGCCCTCTTTGCCATACTGTAACTCTTTGCCCTTTCAGCCATACTGCCAATTTTTTTTCTGTTTTCTCTTTTTTTGTCAGACTATGACATTTTGTGGTTGGCATTTTGTTTGAAAATTCTGTACATTCACTAGTCATAACTATGTACTACAAAAACAAAGATACTTTAGAAAGATTACTCATATACAGTGTACATTCTGTGAAATAATAATCTCCATGTCTGCCATCTTGATCTCAGTCAGTTTCCAAATTAATCATACACCAATAAAAAACAAAAACAATTTACAAATGGAGTTCGAGGAAGATTCTGAAAGACAATTTCAAATTGAATCTGTCAAAATCCAGCATGGCACTTGGCAATTATCTTATTCTGCACATGAGAAATTGTCATTGACTTGGTAACAAATACTTGTACTAAGAAATAGCACTTTAAAAAGATAAAATTCTAGATAATTTCCTATCTGCTCGTTTTTAAAAACTTTCTTAATTAAACAATCACAACCGAGGCAGAAGAAGATCACACAGTCAGGTGAGTAATCTTCTGTCCTTACCGGTTACAGAATTTAACATGCACAATTAGGAAAAAGAATCTTGTAGTAAGATCTCTCAAGCAACTTTTATAAACTTTACCAGAAATCTTCATTTTGGAAAATCTATGGTCGCTGCTTGTCTGCATTTCTGTTGTACTGATCTCTCTTATCCTGATATTAGAATTTTCAGCAAAAGGGACACGGAGGAACAAACATGTGAAATCAAAAAAAAAAATTATCGAGTTCTATGTGTTAAACAATGGTTACAAGACTGGCTTGAGTATGTACAATGGATGATGTGTACATTAGACAGCCAACAAACTGATGACAGATGGAGGAAGACATCACTGCAATCGAAGCAGAACTGCTTACTACACAGCAAAATATGTAGAAGCAGAGGCACAGTACAAATGTGGAATCAAATTCATAGACAAGGCTAATGCAAGTAGACACCGACCAACTTGGATATCTCCGAGGTGACATCATTATTAGTCACGTATGTTTATATCAAGCATTTCATTAAACTTTCTCCCTTTCACATCAATATTGGCAAGACAAGTTCACCTTTTTTCAGGTTATCCAAAAGGTTTATGAAGATATAAACAGAGAAATTGTAAAACTAGATATTATAGTAATCATGCAAAAGAGGACCGTAGGCCTCGCAAATATGTGCAATGAAATCTGCTTTTGAATAGTGATGCAAACAAAGTGGAGTAGTCACATGAATCCGGAAATCATTTGGACTTTTGCATATACCATGGCGAAGGCATGCTGCCTGTGCATCCAACAATTTGGAGAGGGTCACATCATATTCAGATATAGTGCTACCAGCTTCAACATCTGATGTGAATACGGACTGCAGCTGCATCTTCAGAGTGCTTCCCATTTTCTTGACCGCTTTGACCAGTAAGGGTGATGAGGTGGATATGGCCTCAAAGAAAGTTAAAATGAACATAGGCATGCTAGCATAGGTTTCATCCAGTTCACGCAGAAATACATCATACTGATTCCCTTTAGCTAACTTTTCACTTTCTTGTTTTGCTATTGCATTGAAAAACCATTTGACTGACTCAGCACATCCATCCTTTTCCAATGTTGGAATGTCTTCCCTCTTGAACCGTTCTCTGATCTTGTAAAAGGCAAGCTGCAAAAGATGGAAAACAATGCGACAAAACATTAATTCTGGCAAGCTTGGAGCTCCTATCATTTCATGTCGTGATTTTGCAATCCATAGCAAGGCTTCAGGTGTGAAATTCTTGTAATTCCATATCACATTTTCTAAAGCTTTCTGCCGCAGGGTTTCCGTGTTCAGAATTTCAAGGACGTAGCAACTGGCTGGATTGTGAATTGTGTCGTTTCTTTCAACATGATTCAACACCAGTTGAAAATGACCATTTAGTAGTGAAGTTCCTGATGTCATCACAAATTGCTGCATGGTTTCCACAAATTTTTGCACTTCTGCATCACTAAAGAAACAAGACACTGAACACCAATGTTCAAGCAAATGATATGCCACCTTTCCAGGTTCTTGAAGAGCTAGCAATCCCAGCAAATTGGCAATGCTCATCCTTCTTGAAGAGAAGGTTTTCCAATGATGTTTTAAACTTTGCTTAACAAAGCACAGAACAAATCGTACGGGATATGAGGATATGTTGAGATCATCCTCGCCCCATCTGTCATTGAAGATTTCACTTTCAAAGGCATCATATGCTATCCTCGCAAAGTAGCCATCTATGAGACGTGAGAAATGGTCAATCAACTGAAATACAAACATAACATTTAACATGACACTCTAAGCTTAGTGTAAAAACTTTTATAAAAACTGTTACAACCATGTAGCTTGTCAAGGCTGTGTAAAGCATGTAAATAACTTGTCTTCCAATCCCAAATATGTCTTATCATATAACTTATTCTCACTATGAAACACCAGGAACAGACAGCCAGACAACACCTTCGGTAGATTAGGTCAAGTTTAATGGTTGACATGTTTCGACACACCTGAGGACGACACACCCAATGTGTCGAAACATGTCAACCATTAAACTTGACCTAATCTACCGAAGGTGTTGTCTGGCTGTCTGTTCCTGGTGTTTCACTACTTACGTTTTTGGAGCCGGACTCGGTATTCCGTGCGGAATCCGCCTTGGGTAGACTACTGAAATTACTGAACCATTATCCCGGATATTGGATCTCTTTTCTTTTGTATTATTCTCACTATGTAAACAAATCATCAGTATGATAGGGGTAATGGAGGTAGTGCCTTATTAGACCAAATGTGCCTGTAAATGATCATGTTCAAACCTCAAATAGGTCAATATTTTCCTTCAGTCAAATTTTCACCTCTTCCACTTATTATTACCAGAGGTAATTGACCATGTTTCTAGGTCAACATGAGTGAGGTAACATATAGCTGCACTGTGTAATATTTTGCTGATGTTTAAATGTTTACATGGGAATAGGTCCAAATCTGAAAATATTCTTCTGACATTACATGTACATATATCTGAAAAGACTTTCACCTTAACCTTTCATAACTCAGATGACAAAGACATTAGTCAGCTGACCAGAATATTTCCTAAAAGAGATGCCAAGCCTAATTTACTATCAAAACTTTCAGGCAAGAACATTTATAGATTTTCTATCAACTTTAGAAACACCAGTTTTTTTTTACATTGTATCATTTATAATTTAAAGCAAAATTTGCAAATGCTTCATTAACCCTAAAACAATTATAATTGGATTAAGAATGAAAATATCACAAATATTTACCTTATCAGCTTCAACATTGGAGTTTCTAAAGAAGAAAACTTTGTAAGCTTTGCACAGAATTACAGACCAATGCTCTTCATATATGCCATTGAAGATTCCTTGTTGAAGAAATAAAAAATAATAATGAAATGAAAAATACATTGACAATGCTGTAAGTTTTAGCTTAATCACACTCTGGAATATGAAACAAATTACATGATATGTTTTATGATAACATTAATGATGATTAGTGCAGATTTTAGACAAAATCAAATGATAGAAAAGATCTTTGATGTTCCATATATTGCGGCAGAGATGATTAGAGAAGGATAGTTTGTAGACAGTAAGCATCAAACTAATGGAATTCCTACTGAGATCCACATATCTTACTAAAAGAATCTCCTTCGACAAACAGATTACTGACTGTCAAGTTGCCATCACCAATGAATTTGAACTCACAAGGAAGAAACAGGAGGATGTGTTTCAAAATTTAAAATAAACTATATTCTCTCAATGAATAAGGACATGTTATCCGAGTTATTTATCATTATTGTGTCACCCTTGTATATCACAGATATTGACCAACACAACTAAAAGCCAGTGTGGGAGAATACTGCATAGATCAATGTCTCAGTTTTCCTGGTTGTTGCTAATTCACTTGGACTTATTTTTGCACCTCTCCTCCACCTTTATAAGTAAAACAGAGGACATGTCTTTACATTTGTTTCCATGTACGCAAACATTTGATAAACATTTTTTCAGATTTACTGTAAAGACTACTACCAGCTATACAGTGTGTATTAAACTCTTAGTCTTTTACCTGGGTCCTGTTCATTTAGGGGTGCCCTGGATAAGCACACTGCTTCCAAACAAATCTTAACAAATGTATCCTCATTATCCGCACTCTCATTGTTCATCACCAACAAGTGCAGAAGTCCAATAGCCATGCTCTTATCATAGAAACAAAGTCCTCGATTGAGCAGAGCATTCACATAGCACTGTTCGACCATACTGTGCCTATGCTCAAATATGAAAGATACTTTCAATTCATTCTCCATTTCATGTAACCAGCAGAACTCTTCATAGTCCAGGGCCTCCTCTTCAGTATGTGATACTGGTCGTAAACGTCCCAGTTCTATTGCTCGAAACATGGATTCTAGAACCACTTGCAATGACGGATCCTCCCTACTCACATCTTTCAAGCACTTTGTCTTCAGGAGAACAAAGCACACATACAGCATGGCTAGTGTCATCTGTCTCTACAAAAAAACACACATATCATATGTAATTTATCAGCAACAAGAGACCCCAGAGGGATGTTATTGTCTTCTACTTTCTTTACTTTTCAATTATTTCCCTTTTTCTTCTTAATCAAGAACTTAGAGAAAGATCTAACCAGAACTTTCTGAGAAACAGTTTTCACAGATCTAACCAGAACTTTCTGAGAAACAGTATTCACAATCTTCAACTATCAAAATCCCAGATGGTCTTCAATAAGACATTTTGGTTCCTTGAGGGAAGTTACATATCAAGTTTAAGAAATATCTTTTTAGTGTTTTTTCAAGAAATAGCAAAAACAAACTTCAATTGTCAAAATCTAAGATGGCCAGCTGTCGGCCATTTTGTCCGACTGAACTGTCTAAAAATCAAATGGACACAACGAGGGACCATGAGAAACACAATAGGTGTAAGATATATCCTTCCAATACTTCTAAACAAATAGTAATAACATTCTGCAAATGTCAAAATCCAAGATGACTGCCTGTCTGCCATTTTGTTTCCCTGATCAGCCTAAAAATTTGTAGGGAACAACTAGGAACAAAGGAACATACATATGAAATATCCATCTAATAGACAGCAATAAAAAAGATTGTTTACTAATGTTTACAGGAGCTGTACAACAGGTGACAGACAAAGGGTGAATTGAACATCCAATGGTGGACTTAAAAATATGGTGTGCAACAGGTACAAAAAGCTGTTATCAACTGCCAGCTTGGCAACTGATATCCTACCAGTAGAAAGTTAAATACAAGATCTATACATCACCAGCATATGATCTTTTAATGTTTAAATCTGATTATTGAAAATCACCAAGACTACATACAAATGAATTGGGAAAATTTGATGAATATTTCACAGAATTACATGTATCCACATATGCAAGGGGGTACTTTTTATGCATGGCACTGATTATTCACAAATGTTTTGAAAAATGAAGGCTTTACATTATTTGTATATCAAACTTTATTCATGACAACAAGTGGTTTTTAACAAACCTCAGGAAATGTGAATTCGGCATTGCTGCCATCTTCTTCATGTCTTGCTTGTTTGGCTTTTGGAGGTTCCAGATCATCATCTGTCAGTACACAAACAATGTAACTTAACAGAATTTTTCAAACAAGTGTAGAACTATAATTAATGTGAAGAATTGATACTATTTTTTAGACAAAACCTTACAATGAGCCATTAGACATATAAGCAAGGCTATACTGAATGATGAATGACATATTTCTGATATCTTTATATCCATACTTTCCCTGTCCTTAGCAAGAAATGATGTTTCAATCATTTTTGCTCAACATACATAGACTACACTCCTTACTTCTCTGGCTCCTGGGAATAATTAGGAAGAACTCCTGCTTTTCTGAAGTGATAACTCAATATCATCAAAGAAAATGAATAATGTTCAAGTTTGACCTTTGACCCTTTAACAATGACCAATGATCAACTTTGAATTTTGGTTACAAAGCTTATCAAAATGGAAGGTTGTTTCTTTGTTAATTAATTACTGTCTATACAAGTATTTACTTCCTTAACAAATATGGATGCATATATTTCATCTTAAAATCTTTGATGATTATACATAATATTGGACTGGAACATATACAGCATTAAGTTCTGTCTTATTCTGTAGTGAGGAAATCCAGTTGAACCTAAACCATTTCAATCTACCATAAGTGAGGGCAGATTTCCTTTATGTAAGAAATAGCCCATGTTGATTGCTTTATATTATTCATGAAAAACAATAAACCGCTGAATATTTGTTTTTATTTGTAATTACTACAAAATATGCAAAACTTTAAAGCGAACAATATCATCAAAGTTATGAAAATTTGTGAACCACTTGACCAATGGATTATTTTTTTCTCTTGTATTGTAATCAAAGTGAAGCACTGGAAATGACTTCCCCATTCAAAAACGAATCAACTAAGGGCCATAACTCAGTACATAATGCGGTTCACAAAATTATCGTTTTATAATTCCTAATGGTAATGACATAAATCTTTCATAATTCCAAAATAAAAAACAAAAGGCAACATTGTAGATTGAAAGGCTGTCTGACAAACAGACATGTAACTTTCTCAAAAGGTACCAGAAGAGGATATATAACAGAAAGTGATCCCTACCTTGTCGAAGCTGTAATACTGTAAACGCAGGAGAATTACGTCCAAGTATGGAGAGCTGTAAAGTAAAGTAAATCTGGTCAAAACATGAACTGGAATAATACAGCTTTCAAATAAAAGGTAAGGTATATATAGAGGAGACAGGTAGACAGAGGTAAAACGGATATATATAGAGGAGACTGGTAGACAGAGGTAAAACGGATATATATAGAGGAGACTGGTAGACAGAGGTAAAACAGGTATATATAGAGGAGACAGGTAGACAGAGGTAAAACGGATATATATAGAGGAGACTGGTAGACAGAGGTAAAACGGATATATATAGAGGAGACAGGTAGACAGACGTAAAACGGATATATATAGAGGAGACAGGTAGACAGAGGTAAAACAGGTATATATAGAGGAGACAGGTAGACAGAGGTAAAACAGGTATATATAGAGGAGACAGGTAGACAGAGGTAAAACGGATATATATAGAGGAGACTGGTAGACAGAGGTAAAACAGGTATATATAGAGGAGACAGGTAGACAGAGGTAAAACGGATATATATAGAGGAGACTGGTAGACAGAGGTAAAACAGGTATATATAGAGGAGACTGGTAGACAGAGGTAAAACAGGTATATATAGAGGAGACTGGTAGACAGCGGTAAAACAGGTATATATAGAGGAGACTGGTAGATACAGAGGAGACTGGTAGACAGAGGTAAAACAGGTATATATAGAGGAGACTGGTAGACAGAGGTAAAACAGGTATATATAGAGGAGACTGGTAGACAGAGGTAAAACAGGTATATATTGAGGAGACTGGTAGATATAGAGGAGACTGGTAGACAGAGGTAAAACAGGTATATATTGAGGAGACTGGTAGATATAGAGGAGACTGGTAGACAGAGGTAAAACAGGTATATATTGAGGAGACTGGTAGATATAGAGGAGACTGGTAGACAGAGGTAAAACAGGTATATATAAAGGAGACTGGTAGACAGAGGTAAAACAGATTACATCTTGTATTGTAAAACTGTTGACTTTGTGCTTACTCCCTAATCTCCTGATTCCCATAGTAACCTGTTAGAGAATGATCATATGTGGCTTTATGGTATAGTTAAACTGGTAAAACAATATACCCCCACTTTCCTTCGTCACTGTTCTAATTGTCATACTGGGAGTTGGATTTGATGAAAAACTTGGTGTGCATTTGGTTTTGAATTTGCCATACATTGGACAACTTCAAACCTAAACACAATAAAAGGTCAAGATCACTGAAAGGTGTAAATTAACGAGGACCGTGATGTTTATAGAAATCAAGAAGTTTTTCAATGGGAAACTGTAACAACCTTCCAATTTTCAACATCTTATTACACAACCATTGATATCTTGAGTCTTTCAACACAATTGACACTTAAAACTGAAATTTAGGTTTAGGTCATTTCTCAAACAGTGTAGCACTTCTAGCTAACAATATACTGGCTAATTATCATTATACTAAGACTAATGGTCAACCAGAAGAAGTCCTTAGAGTGTTTTAACATATTTGGCACCCAACTCTCTGAATATTGGTCAAGTATGCAAATTTTGTAGCACAAAGCGCCAGCAAGTTTTTAGCTGAACATCATCATTCTAGGTAAAAACAAGAGGTCCTGTCTCCACCAAATTGCAAAAAATACTATCATTTCAGAGGATTTGCTATAGGCCTTTCCTGACTTTAACCTTGACTGCTGACCACCAAAAGTAATCAGGTTTAGAACTTAATGGTGTGAACATGAACTACATTTGTTATGAAATTCATGACATATCTTTTATTTAATCTCATTTTTAAAATAGACATATGTGGCCTTTGACCTTATTATTATTACTATTGTCAATGTACGACCACCAAACTTTTATCACATAGCTTAATGGTGTGTTACTATGGTATGGGTATGAACTAAATCTGTCCAGGGATTCATAAGCTACTTGTAAACAAGCTTTGTAATCTGACTGCGCATCCTTTGAAGACAAGTTTGCCAGTATGATCTATCATATTTTATACCAGAAATTATTAAACACCCTTCAACTACTAGATAACGTGCCTTCCTGTCATTCTTCCTTTTTATGAGGATAGTGCATATATTGTGCACTGAGCCAAGAAGGCTAATACGATAATGCTGACTCAAAGTCAGGATATGGGCTTATTACAGGAAAATGAGCAAAGGAGGCCAACATTTTTTTCCTAATTCACAGTCAGGTTGCAGGTCTATACAGGACAATAAGTCCAGGTGTACAACACACTAACTCTGATTTACTGTCAGGAGATTAGCTTATTATATAGGACAATAAGTCCAGGAGTACAACACAGTAATTCTGATTTACTGTCAGGAGGTTAGCTTATTATATATGACAATAAGTCCAGGAGTACAACACACTAACTCTTATTTACTGTCAGGAGGTTAGCTTATAACAGGACAACACATCCAGGAGTGCAACACACTAACTCTGATTTACTGTCAGGAGGTTAGCTTATTATATAGGACAATAAGTCCAGGAGTACAACACACTAACTCTGATTTACTGTCAGGAGGTTAGCTTATTATATACGACAATAAGTCCAGGAGTACAACACACTAATTCTAATTTACTGTCAGGAGGTTAGCAATATATCCAGGAGTACAACACACTAATTCTTTATATTTTTAAAATACAGGACAATAAGTCCAGGAGTACAACACACTAACTCTGATTTACTGTCAGGAGGTTAGCTTATTATATACGACAATAAGTCCAGGAGTACAACACACTAACTCTTATTTACTGTCAGGAGGTTAGCTTATAACAGGACAACACATCCAGGAGTGCAACACACTAACTCTGATTTACTGTCAGGAGGTTAGCTTATTATATATGACAATAAGTCCAGGAGTACAACACACTAACTCTGATTTACTGTCAGGAGGTTAGCTTATTATATAGGACAATAAGTCCAGGAGTACAACACACTAATTCTAATTTACTGTCAGGAGGTTAGCTTATTACAGGACAATAAGTCCAGGAGTACAACACACTAACTCTGATTTACTGTCAGGAGGTTAGCTTATTATATACGACAATAAGTCCAGGAGTACAACACACTAACTCTGATTTACTGTCAGGAGGTTAGCTTATTATATACGACAATAAGTCCAGGAGTACAACACACTAATTCTAATTTACTGTCAGGAGGTTAGCTTATTACAGGACAATATATCCAGGAGTACAACACACTAACTCTGATTTACTGTCAGGAGGTTAGCTTATTATATACGACAATAAGTCCAGGAGTACAACACACTAACTCTTACTCAAAGTCAGATGTGGTCTTATTAGTTAACAATATGCCAAGGAAGTCAACACAATAATTGGAACTCAAATCAGGAGTGGGCTTATTTTATGACAATAAGCCAAGGAGATTAACATATTGTTTCATACTCAAAGTCAAGTATGGGCTTATTTCAGAAAAATAAGCCAAGGAGACCAATACACTCAGAAGGTTGGCTTTTTAAAGGACAGAATTATCTAGCAAGGGCTAATTTCTGCATGTATTCTGTACTATATAAGTGTCCTATACATGAAGTAGGATCTTACATGTGAGGACATAAGGAGAAGCTTTTTCAGTATCACTATACCAAGTCTGTACTGGGAAGTTACTGATTTGTCACTGCCATACAGTAACAGACTGTCAAAACGCAGCAGCATTACTGGCAGGGCTTCATCATACTTCCTGTGGGGAAAAAAACAAAAATAGTAATTTATATTAAAAAATAGATAACAAATGATGTACAAGATGTAACACTGAAAACAGGACAAGACACCATATTAAAACATCAGAGATATGACACCACATTGAAAACATCAAAGATAAGACACCATACTGATGACATCAGAGATAACACACCAAAGTAATTACATCAAAGATAAGACACCATACTGATGACATCAGAGATAACACACCAAAGTAATTACATCAAAGATAAGACACCATACTGATGACATCAGAGATAACACACCAAAGTAATTACATCAAAGATAAGACACCATACTGATGACATCAGAGATAACACACCAAAGTAATTACATCAAAGATAAGACACCATACTGATGACATCAGAGATAACACACCAAAGTAATTACATCAAAGATAAGACACATCAAAGATAAGACGTACCATACTGATGACATCAGAGATAACACACCAAAGTAATTACATCAAAGATAAGACACCATACTGATGACATCAGAGATAACACACCAAAGTAATTACATCAAAGATAAGACACTACACGGCCATCAGAGCTAAAACATAGTGTTGATTATCTTTGGGATATCATTCATGAACCATAAGAAATTAACAAAGCAGAAAAAAGGCGTATGCTCCAGTAATATATGTGATGGCTAGATAAAACCCCTCCTCTTCTTCCAATAGGTGAGTTAAGAAAACTGTGGTTTAGAACATTTTAGTTAAACGTAAATACATACGACATAAGGGGCTGATCTATTCCTGACAGCAAGTCACTAAGTGCTTTATTTTTGACTGGAATGAGGCTGGCACACACTGGTTGATAGAATGCTGCCTGACTGGAAACCTTTAACAGTTCCTTCGGAGTCCCCTGTACTCGCCGCAGATCTTGTAAACAGGATTCAAGACCAATGGATGTGATTCGACTCCAAGAAGATGGTTTTGTGAAGTCCAACCAATCTCTCATCACATTGCACTTTCTGTAGGACAACAAAACAAGAACGGAATTCTTTAAAAATTGCAGCCAAACAAATTAAAACCTACAGCAGGTTTATTAATATCTAAAATGCAGGCAAGAAGAGGTGAAATTAGTATTGTATAAAATATTAACAATATTTAAGGATTTTTTCTTTTTAATTTTAATTTTGCCATTAATGTAACTTTTAACTAACAATTAAGTTATTACTGTTGTCATAGAGATGGCGAAAGTACACCATCAAAATAACTAGCAGGACAATATGTATTGCATGCTGGCAAGCTCAAAAAATTTGCCTGGAAAGATTCAATTCCATACTTATGGTTTCTTAAATAATAATTGAATTTCACTCATCTGTTGAATATCTTTGCTTTTTTACCAGAAATTCGGCTTGAGCAACTTTGATTTATATTCACCAACTACTGGTCAAATCTAACCAAGCTTTGAGAAATATTCACCAACTACTGGTCAAATCTAACCAAGCTTTGAGAAATATTCACCAACTACTGGTCAAATCTAACCAAGCTTTGAGAAATGAGACCAGAAAAAAAAAGTCTCCAGTGTAACAATTCCAGATCTCACTTGACAAAGGCACATCATACAATGTACAACATTAAGTCCATTTTTCCAATACCATGTAAAAGTAAACTATTGTTAGATTTGATCTCCTTCCTCGGGCCAACCAAGGGACCCAAGAGATGCCTTGAAATAGCATGGATTAAGATAAACTATTACATGTTAAATTCAACGGCAGATGTTATGACTTCTTTCCTGATTGGTCCACCATAGGACGATATAAAACAGCTGAACATTCTCTCTACATCTGTAAATGCTTCACAAAAACTGTCATCCTCATCTGATGAAATGACTGCAATAACAACATTGTACATGTGATCAATGTTTATGTATGACAATAACAGATGAAATATCCAACCATTCTATAAGTCACTTTAACTCATCATAATATTTGGCTATTCCATCACATAAAAATTCATTCACTAAAACCATTTCAGGAAAACTCCCTCCTCATCTCCTTGAATTTTCCCTGAAAAACTCTACAAGATGTCCAAGGAAAACTTAAGCGTCAATGAGGAAAAAAAAGCAGTAATAGATTTGATTACAAAGTCTTTTTCTTTGATGCCCAAATATTAAATGCCTAGAGGTTGGTGACACTGAAATGTATATCTAAATCAAATCACTGAAAATTTCACTAAATTTCATTTGAAAAAAAGAATTTTAAAAAATCATTGTATTATTTTCTGGTTACCACTCCAATGTTTTTAATACATGTAGAGTATTAAAGACAAAATGTTTAAATACATTTGTATGAAAAAGATATGCTCATTTGTTACTGAAAACACACAATGATTTGATATAAGGACACCTGAAAATTGGTTTAGCGTCTTACTCTATTAGAAATTAATTCCATTTCTAAATCAAGGTAATATGAGGAAGGCCTACACAATATTTGATAAATTCCTTCAACGTAGTGGTACAGGTTTTGCCAGGGTTGGTTCTGTTGATTTCCAAGCACTTGTATGACAAGTATTAAACATACTGACCTCTTTTCTTTTTCTACAGCATTGCATTTCTCTCTACTTAGTCTACAATATTAAAACCTATACTGATATATATATATAAAGCACAGACCAGCTGATAAGCTAATAAGATTATTGCCACTATGAATTCTTACTGGTGAACATTGATATTTTCATCAAAGAAAACCATATTTAATGATGAAGCCTGGTGTTTCCTGCATGACTGTTTCTGGTACTTAGTTTGAGCACTTGTTTTAATCAAATTAACTGTCAACTCAAATCTAAAACTGGTAAAAATAATTGCTATTTTGAAATATTAGCATTCTTTAATGAAATTGTCAGTTATTTCTGTATCCTTAGTTGACTTAAATAAAAGAAATGAAAAAAAGGAATCAAGTTTGTCAGCATTTCCTGATAGCAATGCCAATTAAAGTGTTGGTGCTTAGAACAAATCTTAGTCAAATGTATCATGTGATCAAACCCTGTTGGTAAATAATGACACTAAGGGGGGGTAATCAAGTTTAGACTAACAGTACTGCCAAAGTCTGCCTTACCTTCCTCCAATAAATATTTGGCGATGATTATCAGTGCTTTGCCAGCTTGGTCTACGTGTCCGTTAATGATGAGTTCTGGAACTCTCTGGAAATACTTGCGATGAAATGATGAAGCAGCTTTTTTGACAAAGTCAGGTGTGAATGGATATTCGCTATTAGGAAAATAACAATAAAAAGTCACAGTAATGAAGAAAAAATAATTGTAAAGGTGTCTAGAGAATTAAGGTAGGAAATATGATGAATAACATCATTCATCAGATCCGTTACAAAAGATATTAACAGATTGGAAATACTAAAACTCACACACAGCTCAAAATAACAGTTAAAAAAATCCCTTCTATATTTCTTCAAAGGGACCTTTTAATCTTTCTTGGTACAAACTTTCAAGATTTCATTTCATATGACAGTTTAATTTAAACATATTTTACTGCCAAAAAATCAAGACAAATGGATTGGGCACAAGTTATATCAACATTTTCAACACCCTCTTCAATCAATATACATATAAATTTTAAGGCAATAGCATACAAGAACAAAATAATGAGGTATGATATACATGTAACAATTGATATATCATTATAATTTTATACCAAGCTGGTTTCTTATCTTAAAATGTAAATCTATTGCTGGACCTTACGTAAATTTTGCACTAAATTAAAGATATTTTCATGAAGTTTTAACGGTAACTGTCTATCCCCATAAAGTAGTAGTTCTATGTCAGTGTCATGATTAATATTTAATACGTTTAAATTACTTAGCATTGCTTGTCTCTGATTTTGATAATTGTGACAAACAAAAAAGAAATGATGTGCATCTTCACAGGCAAAGCTACAGGAACACATTGGGCTAGCCACAAGGTTAACACGAAAACAATGATAGTTTAATGAACTGCACTGATGTCTTAATTTTGTATGAATAATATTAACTTTGCTTTCTGGTCAAAGACAGTTGACTTCACCACCATATTTTAATTATGGTCAAAGGAAAGTTAATATTATTCATACAAATTTTTTTAAATAAACTAAGGGATGGCTGTAATCTAACTGATAAATCTAATTCATTCCAAGAACAAAGCGAAGAGGGGACAGTTTATGAAACAAGGCTTAGGATTTTTATATTTTTGAGTCGAGGCAAAGCTACATTTTGTAAGGTTTTAATGTAACGATGTGGAGGACAAAATCAAATGGAGGCAGCCATTTTGTTGCTGCATTTTCAATTCTTGAGTTAACATCCTTGTCCATATTTATAATAACAACTGATTTCTAATTGGTGCAGTCAATGAAAGACGCTTCAGTGTATATTAGACTAGTGATAGATGCAAAAAAAAAAAAAAAAATGGCCAAATTTACAGGATAACAGGCAGATTATGTGATAGAGTTAATATTACACTTATGTTAACTTTTACTTGATTTTTTACCTTACAGGTTCTTATAGTTGAGGTTTTAGTTGAGATGAGGATGTGATAAAACAGTGAAAATTATACCATGACAACAATAATCAATGCCATATTTCTTAAAATACAGTCCTTTTACATCAACCAGCCCTTGACATAACCATTAACATTTGCATCTCTAAAATAACAACATTTTCAGTATAGGTGAAATCCTGTTTTTTCAGTTTTTGATTTAAGTGGAATCTAGTACAATTCTACTACAAGTACTCACTAAAAATTATGAAAATATTTCATGTCTGATTTAAGTTTGTCCAGTGACTGATCCCATAACTGGTCCACATCACCTTCAACGCCAAAAGTGGGGTCTGGTGCACCATACTGGTTATATAGAACAGACTGCCGGTCCTGTATAGTGTCTGCAATAACGTTAAAACCTACAGTTACAGCTTGAAGCAGGAATTACTTAAATCTAGAGGTAATGGCGATGACTGTATAATTAATGATAATGTGGTCTTAAAGTTAAGTTGATCTGGTTGACAGAATTCTGGTATGCCAATAAGGATACCAAGTAGCAAATTTCATGTAAAATTAATTCTTTGAAGAAATTCATGATGCTGACTTCTACATGGTAACAAACTGTCCATGCTATCCTTTTCAAAATAAATTTGACAGAGAAGTATGGTAAAACACACTTCATCCTAACCAAGACCATCCCACTACAATACTTTTTTATAAAGATTATACAGAAAGTCTTTAGAGAGTCTTAGCAAGATCTTTTGGGTGTTAAGTATTAGCAGGAACACAGTAGGATAGCCACTGAGAGTGAAAGAGGGTAAAACAGTTAGGATAGATTGGGCATGTACCAATTTGATGTAGCGAAGTTGTGGTGATTACTGAAAGTTGTGACATTGTATTTGGGTCAACAGCTGTTTCTTCATAGAGAAGACTTTAGGCAATATGTACCTTCATTGTAAATTTTCGACAATAGGACTGGTTACACTGGCTTTGTGGAACAATGTGGCAGCATAGTGCTAGTGTTATATGATATCCTGGCATCTTGTGGCATCAACACAGTTACAAGGGTGGTACAATAGCAGACATGGGGTTTGGTATAATCATGGCTGGATTTCATGTATATGTTTATGTATATGAGACACAGAAAACATCACAGAAAAATACTATTTTGCAGCAGTTTAAAAGCATACCTGTACATAGTGGCATTTTGACTGTTTTCACACTGTTACCACAGTCCTACAATGGTATATATTGTGGAAAGTATGAAAATATCTTTTTTAAGTGAAATGCAAGGCTTATAAGTGAATTCAGTGGTAGAAAATTTTACAAGCTTATGAAGCATTATAAAAATTTGATAAGTAAACAGGCAGAGAAAAAAGCATTGATAATCCCTAGACCTAAATAGTGTGATAAAAAGATAAAAACAGCCAGGGTGAAAAAATTAAAAATTTACATTTCAAATGTTCTGTGATAGAGTTTTGAAAATCTAGGACTAAACCAAGTCTTACCTACCCAAATTACTGAAGACTGGAAGAAGGGTTTCTGGTTCATCAGAAATAGCACACTGCAGAAGTTTCTGTAACTGGTCCCGTGTCATATCTGCTAAAACCTCAGTCAATGGAGGATAGACAGGCACCTTTATGTAAAAGAACATCAAGTTGCTACTGGTATGTAATACTAGGTAATATTAATAGCTAGGAGGAGGCTGTGGTGTATTTACACAGAAGTCATTAATGTCACCTCAGTAAAAATTAAATCTTGGACAAGATAGGGTTATAGCACTACACAACAGGCCAACTGTCTTTAGGACAGCTGATCATTGCTCAAGATTTTTAGGCACCACTAAACTAAGTTAGTGCTTCATCTGAAAGGAACAACTACTGAAACTAGAATATTGGCATGTTAGAAATGGCACAGCAATGTGTCTAATCTTAAATCTGTGTTTCATGGGAAGGTTACATTGATAAAGAATCAATACTTACATGTTTATTGACATTAAAACATGAACAAAATAAGATTTTTATTGTGTTCATTGGATGGCCCCATTTTTGTGATCCGTATAATCTTTTTTATTATGCTGCTGCAAAGTGAGTTCTGATTCAATTAAAATTAGTTTTGATTCATTAAATTTAGACAAAATCATCTATTTGTCTGTTAAGAAATAGAATGATATCTGAAATAATTTTGTTTCAAATTTCCTGGTTCATATTGCCATTACAAATATTTCCCATAAAAAATATTAAATATTTGATGTTTACTTTCAACCCAACGATCTTCAATTTATCAGTTAAGTGATACATGTACAAATATGTGACCTTGACTTCCAACCATTTCACTACGACCTCTGATTTTGGTCAATTTTTGATGTCATAAAAAAATATTTTACACTAAAATATTAGAAAAAATGACCTCGATCTTTGACATTATGACCTTGACCTGCTGTTAGACAACTTTTTATTTGAAGTTTGCTTCATAATGTCACAGAGATTATTATTTACAAGTAATATACATGTATTCATACAACCTGTCAATGACAATAAGGTTTGAATACCATTTGCCAAAAGAAAACTTAATTTTAACATAATGATTATTTTATGTATCTTCCTTAATCACATAATTTTCCACCTGAGATACAACCAGATGATACCATGGTGATGACTGGATATTTACCCTTTCTGCTTGCCTGATTCGATGAAGCACCACACACAGTATGTGACAACACCAGAGCATTCTGGGACAATTACTACATTTTGTAGATATGATTGTCTGTTTTTCAAACTTCAGTGTCACTTTTGATTGTTCTTTGGATGATGGCTTGCCAACAACAGCTGATAATAGCAACCCTATCAGAGTAAGGAAAAGTAAAGGTCAATAATGTTAACATTTTCAATATGAAATTGTTAAGACTTGCTGTCGACCAAGTTTCTTGTCAAGGATGATTACTGGTATATCCAATCAGGGATGATTATACCCAATATTCTGTAGACAAAAAGAACCTGTTTTTCCTTGATCTTAAAGAAAGCTAAACTCAAAAAATGAGAATCTTAAAAAAATTATCAATCCAATAAATACAAAAATATCACAGTACTTTTCCAATTCATTAGTACCAGGTATGTATGAGATATACTGCATATCCAGCAGGCATGAAAGACTACTATTCCAGAGATCAAGCGAGCAATAAAAGTATTCTTCTCTCTCTGCCAACAACTTAAGTAGTGCACCAATTACCTTACATATGAGAAGTCAAATGTACTCTAATGATGAATCTTTTCATTTTTTAGTTAAAAAAAGATTTGTGTATAAAGATCATGTTTGACCAGAAATAGGACATAAATCAATGTGCCCTGTGTTTTGTATACTTTGTTACCTGTAGTTGTACCTATAATCTGAAATTACTGATTTAAATTTGTGAATTTCATCTACTTTCCAAGATGTTTAGCACCAAAAAACTAACAAATATTTCAGTTTGTTTCTAGACCTTAAACCAAACGGATATAGCTATTTAGGTGAAAACTGCTATATGCCCCTGCTAATTATTAATCCTGAAAAGTTAGTTTTAAGCTTGTTAAATCAAATGAAGATTCAGCCAATCTTTTTCTTCTTATACAAGTATTATTCTTTTACCACTTAATGAAAGAGAAATTCATTTTAAGAAAGATTGCCTTGAAAATCACAAAGAAGGTCTGTTCTTCAAGTGAAAAATTAAGAATATGTGAAAATTGATTATTTCTTGTTAAATGTATCCTGAAGCCTGTACTGGAAAAAGGGAAGCAAAGTATCAATTTTTTGCTTTTAAATTTCTTTTTTAAATTTAATTTTCAAAAAATCATCACCAGAACAAAAGCTAATTTATCCACCAAACTTTCATATATCTTAAATTAATACTCACCAACTTGCCGTATGCTCCTGACATAATCATTCATACACATGCTGTCTGCCTTCCTCCACTCATTCTCTGTCTTCATGCTCAATCTGGCACAACATTTCACCTTATTCTCATCACAAGGAAATGACCAACGCGATATCTACAGCAAATAAACAGGAAAATTGCATCATAATTCTGCTTCACTGTCATTTACCAAGATAAAAATACAAAGTTAAGATCTTTGCAAAAATGATGTATAAACTTTAATTTCAAAAGGATTTCAACAGATATTCAGGCATTGATAACATCCAAATTATGATCATATTTCCCCATGAGCTCTGTATTTATTTTATGTCTTCAAAGAGTTTTATGGTCAATATTAAAATACACAAACAGAAGGAACATCCATAAATATTGTATTCAGATATTAAGTAATACTCTAAATGTGAATGACGTCAGTCAAATCTGTTTTGGAGGAATACATCTGCGATTTGTCTTTAAGGATTACTTGACATTATGGCAGAAGATGGAGAAAGTATTTGAAATGGAATGCACAATATCTGTAGTGATTTTCCTGATGTCAATGAACATAAACACTGAAGTAAGGAAAATAACTCAGGAGACCAGGTGTCCACTATCCACAACAAACAACAGTCAGCCTCTGTTGTTTAAATATTTGACATCTAAACTTACTCCAATGAAATGACTGTTTCCAAATGTTTTTTAAAGACTTTTACCAGCAAGTTTTATAAGAACATAACAACAATAATAATCTTTATTTTTAGAGGATAAATACATGTTAAGCCAAAGGCTTATCTAACACATGGTCCTCTTGTTAGCAAAAGTACATATCAATGGGTTAGTAAAGACAACATGTATGAGTAAACAATAAACTCCATCTGTTGGATAAAAATTACATGATTACATACATTATTGAAAAGTATACAGTGTACAAATAGACTTGGTTGCTCTAAAAAGTAAAAAGCAGCAGTATCTTGCAAAATTGTCTCCAAATCAAGTAGAAGTTTGACTAGTAGTCTTTTAAAAGTAGTAAATCAATTGATCCCCTTCAGTTCGTGAGGTAAAAGATTCCAATCTTTGATACTTGATTTTAAAAAATGGTTTGAGTAAAAAACAGTTCTGTGTTTTGGAACTAAAAAGTTGTTATCAAAGGCATATCTTGTAGTTCTATTGTGACTATTTCTAACTAATGAGACATTGCTAGATAAGTAGTCTGGGACATCTTCATGTATCTATCAATAGGCATCCACTGTACAACTTCAAACATGTCTTTGGAAGGGGTATGAAATGGTACATCGAGAATCATTCTGGCAGCTTGTTTCTGAGCTTTCAAAAGCTTGCCCATTAAATTTCCTAAACAACCTGACCACACAGTGCTGCAATACACAAAATGTGGAAAAGACATGCCTGAACAAAATTCAGTTTTCCTTCCATGGGTAAATATGGACTAATACGACGCAACAAGCCTATCTTTTGTCTTATTTTGCCCAATATTGACGAAATGTGATCTGACCATGTCAAGGAATTATCGATGATGACCCCAAGTAATTTATTTCTAACAACCTCTTCTAAAGATTCATTACAAAGGGTAAGATCTCGAGTTAAGCGGTTTCTACTTTGTTTCTGTTTGGAAGCTATACACATACATTTTGTTTTCTTGACATTTATAATCATCTTATTTTCAACACACCATGAATGAACATTGCGTAAATCAGATTGAAGTTTGCTATTGATACCATCCAATGATCTACCAGTAGCAGACAAAGTAGAATCAATGAGTTAAGGGACTAATCTGAGAGGAAATATTTTGTGGGACAAAACTGAGATGTTTCCTTACCTTCCTCAGCAGCAGCTGGTCCAAGGGAGGGTAACATTTCTCAAGGCTTTCCCAGTTGTGATACAGAGCTGTGGCTGAAGCTGCTAGGTCTAACAATGATCGAGGATTTCGCGGATTTACCTTGGCCTCCTCTTTTGTTTTGGCAAATTTTTCTAGTATCTCCTTAAAAGATGGCCTCTTGAGTAGCAGGTGCCGAGAGTGTTGAGAGTTGGAAAGACTATCAGAATCATCCTCACTATCACAGTCACTAGATTCATCGGAGTGAGATATTTCTACAATATAACAGATATACAAACTAGCCAGTCATACAAGGAAGAGATTTCTACAACATAACATACATACAAACTAGCCAGTCATACAAGGAAGATATTTCTACAACATAAATTACATACAAACTGGCCAGTCATACAAGGAAGATATTTCTACATCATAACATACATACAAACTAGCCAGTCATACAAGGAAGATATTTCTACATCATAACATACATACAAACTGGCCAGTCATACAAGGAAGAGATTTCTACAACATAACATACATACAAACTAGCCAGTCATACAAGGAAGAGATTTCTACAACATAACATACATACAAACTGGCCAGTCATACAAGGAAGAGATTTCTACAACATAACATACATACAAACTGGCAAGTCATACAAGGAAGATGTTTCTACATCATAACATACATACAAACTGGCCAGTCATACAAGGAAGAGATTTCTACAACATAACATACATACAAACTAGCCAGTCATACAAGGAAGATATTTCTACAACATAACATACATACAAACTGGCCAGTCATACAAGGAAGATATTTCTACATCATAACATACATACAAACTGGCCAGTCATACAAGGAAGATATTTCTACATCATAACATACATACAAACTGGCCAGTCATACAAGGAAGATGTTTCTACAACATAACATACATACAAACTGGCAAGTCATACAAGGAAGATATTTCTACAACATAACATACATACAAACTGGCCAGTCATACAAGGAAGATATTTCTACAACATAACATACATACAAACTGGCAAGTCATACAAGGAAGAGATTTCTACAACATAACATACATACAAACTAGCCAGTCATACAAGGAAGATATTTCTACAACATAACATACATACAAACTGGCCAGTCATACAGGGAAGATATTTCTACAACATAACATACATACAAACTGGCCAGTCATACAGGGAAGATATTTCTACAACATGACATACATACAAACTGGCCAGTCATACAAGGAAGATATTTCTACAACATAACATACATACAAACTGGCCAGTCATACAAGGAAGATATTTCTACAACATAACATACATACAAACTGGCCAGTCATACAGGGAAGATATTTCTACAACATAACATACATACAAACTAGCCAGTCATACAGGGAAGAGATTTCTACAACATAACATACATACAAACTGGTCAGTCATACAAGGAAGATATTTCTACAACATGACATACATACAAATTGGCCAGTCATACAAGGAAGATATTTCTACAAAATCATTCAGGAAACTGTCTAAACCTGGTAAATATTCACTGCAATATACAGCTTGGCTACAGATATATTGCAACTTCTCTATAGTTTGATCAGTTGAACATTTGACTAGTAAGCAAGGGGTCAGATTCCTAGCAGAGGCATTAAATTTGAACAAATAATTACATATGTTATGTTATACATACATAAGCAACATCCATATATAGAATTATTTGTAAAAAGCCTTATACTGTTACCTATTGAGGACAGAAAACTGTAGGAAATGCATTGATTCATATACTTTACGCAAGTTATTGTGTTCTACACTTATCGACATATAGATCTGTCCTTATCACTATATATTATCATGACATTGTACACATGTCATAATAATGATATTGATCTGCATATATGTGTGTATGCTTATATTTGAGTATTGTGTGTGTTTTGTATTTGTGTTGTTCCAATCAGGTTAATTAATGCTTCATTGTTTATATTTAATTTAATTTAATTGCATGTTAACGGAAAAAGTCTTCAGATGCCCAGGTCTACATCAACAAATATCTAACAACAGGATACAGGAGTATCAATAACAGCATTATACATGTATCAAACATAGTCTTTATGTATCGTAGGTTGTATCTTTAAAATGTTCATCAAATAAAATTTCAAACTCCTATGATACAGGATGATTATTCCATAAATCAACTTCTCTGAATGTAATGAGTTTCGAGCATTGCTATGTTTCACTAAATTGAATAATTCACAATATCACATCTTTAGAAAAAGACAAATGTATAGGCTACACCGATTGTCTATAACATTTAGGGGAAAATTAATATAAGCACTAAGCTTGTCTTCTCCTGCAATATGTGTATGTAATTGCAAAATACTCCAAATATCACAACTCGTGGGATTTTGTTAGGCACCAATGTGAGAGAACCGGGAAAATACACATTCTTGGCGAGTGCTTCGACCAGGAATCAAACATGGGTCTCTAGTGTGATAATCCACAGGTTCTACCAACTAAGCCAAAGAAGCATGCTCTGTCAGCTGCATGACAAAGACGGTATTTAACACTATATACAAGCCACACCAACTGCTCTACTACTACTTCCTCATTTTTCTTGAGATATCCTAAATCTTACCCTGAGACTCTAAATACCACAACTTGTAGGATTTCATTGGGCACCAATATGGAAGAACAGGGAAAATACATGTACCTGTCAGGTGCCCTGACCAGGAATCAAACCCAGGTCTATGGCCTGATAATCTACCAGCTAAACTGACTGAGCCAAAGAAGCATGCTCTGTTAGCTGAGTGACAGAGACTGTATTTAACAACATTTACCAGCCACACCAACCTGCTCCTATTACATATTGCTGAACATTGAATAAACAGTAGTCTAACGAATCCCTTCATACAATAATATGATATGCAGAGGCGTAGCAATAATGTATGCTTGTATGCTTAAACATACACTCGAATTCCATTTGCCCTACTTTTTTAACCTTACTGCGCCCCTAGACCCCCTTAACCGGGGCTTCGCCCTTGGATCCTCTCTTGAAAGCATACACTCTTAAAAATGTTTTGCTACGGAACTGATATGTAACATAAAGTTTGGACTTTCAGAAAAATAAAAACATAATTATTTGCAAATTTCATATTATGAATAAGTGTGTACTTTTTATTTAGTTTATAAATGAATTCAGTAATGCTAATTTTAGATCACACGTCAGCAAACTTAATCATATTACAAAATGTTTTTATTGTTATTTATTTCAAAAAGGCACACTTTGCTTCATTTCGATGAGAATTTTGCCAACTTTACAGACTGATACAAATACATGTACTTCAGAATAAGATACTTGTTCGTAGTTAGAAGGTCACCACAAAAACAGAAAAAACAATTCCGGGAAAACATGTACAGTCATTCTGTATATCGGCGCCTAAATTGTACAATAACATTTTTGCAAATATTTGTATAACGTAAGTATTACCTATGTCATAATTATCTTCCTCCTCCAAAAAGTCAGAACGGGAATCCTCCCGGAGTCGTGCTAACCCAGACATAGATATAGATACCTGTCATATACAAACATGTTAGTCTCTGTCTACTTCCATTTTGAGAGATGAAACTTCGTGTAATCTTAGGGAAATCCCCGACCTCGTTTTGGTGTTGGGTTAAAGTTCAAAAACGGGGACATTTCAAAGTCTAGTTAGCTTCAAAACGTGCATGAAGATGGATACAAAAATTAGGCCCAATCAGTTGAGACTTCTCTAGTGTTAACTCCACTGTGAAGTTTTCCATGACATTATCAAACCTTATCCCCAAATGCGATTTATAGAAAATCCCACTAAAAAAACAAAAAACAAAACAAAAAATCGCCCAAAACCATATCACTCTAATTTTTATTCATTAAGCCCTATATTTTTTAGACTTTTTCGCTCCATAGTGGCAACCATGACGCCCCAAAATTTTACGTCCAAAAAGCTGTGTCGCAACATTTAATTCCATGGTGACATGTCCAGCTCGTTTCAATAGTTATGACAATGACTATTATCACAGACTTCGAATTTATAATTTCTTATTAAATAAGCAGACACAGAGATGGTAACTCTTTTCCGCGTTTGTTGCAAGTTATTCAGTCCGTTTTTGCTCAAGACTCAAGTAGCATTTTGATGTCATTAAATTTTTAAAATTTCCTTTAGGTTTCCTAATCTGTTTAACTATTAAGAGTGGTTTTATTTTCACAATAAAACAAACAGCCAAAAGTCATTTGTGCATGATATTAAGTTGATATATGCCAATCGAGTTTCTGTCCTTTCAATAATAAAGAATCAAATAATGCACTGCATAGCCACCTATGTGGATCTCACTACACTAGAACAACACAAACAATCAGAGTAGACGTCTGACAATTTACAAAGACTATAAATCATTTGTAATTATGTAGTGAACATGCAACTTTATGTATATCGTGTATAATATGCTTATATCCATCTATTGGTTGACCGTATTCACATATGGCAAGTTTGTCCGATATTCTGTATGGTTAATTTTGTTTTGCTGTGAATGCTGCAATTAAATGCATACCAATACAAAGTGTGTTCAGAATGAGGGTACTTTTGACACCCTTTCAGCCATCAAGTCTACTGTAGCTTCAAGCGAATCTCGCGTCCTGCACACAATTATGTGTCCGTTGTAATGTCGATGAAACAGCCATGTCAGCAATGTAATTTCAGTAACGGAACACCCTACACTTTGAGATTTTTCATAGCATATGTCAAGATCGGTAACAGCCAAATGTAAATGAACCACGACGTTCCTAGAGCCATATCTATTTCTTCGCAATCTTCGTTCTCAAAAACGAAAGTAGCGTCCGCCTTGTTTGTTTACCCTAACAACTTCGCGGGGAATCACGCGGCTAATTCATGTAAAATTCAGTACCCTGAAGAAAACGTGGCGTATGTACACATTAAAGTGATTGTTTTGGAATTCCAAGATTTTACTAGATTTACATTAATTCAATATTTATCGAACTTCATCTAAACAAGAGGTCCAGACGGCCTGCATCGCTAACATGGATCTTTATGACCAACAGTACTATATATGTGCATATGTTCCACGTTTAACACATTTGACCCCTGTGACCTTGACTATGGGTCAAGGTCATTTCTTTTTGCAAACTTTCTTTGGCTTCATAAAAGGAACATACTGGCCACATATAATGATACTATTTCAGAAGAGATTGTTTAAACGTTTTAACACATTTGACCTCTGTGACCTTGAAGATTGGTAAAGTTAATTTCTTTTAGCAAACTTTGTAGGACATCATAAGAGAGTTGTCTAATATAATGATTCTAGGCCTCCCGGTATTTGGGGAGAAGTCGTTTAAAGGTTTATAACACATTTGACCTCTGTGACATTGAATATGGGTCAAGGTTATTTTTTCGCAAACTTTGTTGGGCTTAATCAAAGGAACCTTCCAGCCAAATATAATTATTCTAGACTTCCTGGTATTTTGGAAGAAGTCGCTTTAAGTTTTTATAACATTTGGCCTCTGTGACCTTGAATATGGGTCAAGGTCATTTCTATTCGCAAACTTTGTTGGGCTTTTTCAATGGAACCTTTCAGCCAAATATAATGATTCTAAGCCTTCCGATGTTTTGAAAGAAGTCGTTTAAAGGTTTTAAGACATTTGACCTCTGTGACATTAAATATGGGTCAAGGTTACTTTTTTCCGCAACTTTGTCGGACTTCATCAAAGGAACTTTCCAGCCATATATAATGATTCTAGGCGTATTTTATGTCATATACATGAATTTTACGAAGGCGTTCAATAAAGTTCCACACAAACGGCTGCTGAAAAAATGGCAGGATATGGAATAAGTCAGAAAGTCATAAAATGGACAGAGTAATAGACGTCAATGTGTTATGGTATACGGTGAATCATCAAAAACATACCCTGTAATCAGTGGTATACCACAAGGAAGCATCCTGTGACACGTATATTAATACCCATTGTCAAACAAGAATCGCATATGGATGTGTTTTAAGCGACATGCAAAATTTGAAATTTTGGGGCTAGATTGTACAATGCAGCAACAGTTATACAGAGGAGACAAGCAGAAAACAGAACTCGAGGCAACAAATATAAACAATATATGTGTGTACATATTTACATAAAATAGGATGTAAAGAACATCCAAACATTGATTCAGTCTGAGTTTGAAATTAATATCATGTAAATTTTATGAGAAAGTCAAAATAACAAGTATGGCTTTTATGGAAAACTCAAAGTTTAGAAAGTACATTCATTACATCAATAAACATCAGTGTTTAATTATCTAACTCGGCTCATAACGTAATATAAAGATACAAAAATATGTCCACAAATATATTTATGTCAACTACCAAAGTATTTGGTCGAGTTGCAGGTCTTATAGTCCAGGTTGTCTTGGTGATGTGTACAAAGCAAGCAGCTAAATCAACACCCACGGCCAACATAAATACATTTAAAAACCGACAAACTGCATAGCACAGTTTACACTAACGTATCTGATACATCGTAGAGCTTGATAAATTTCAAAATTTTATTTTGTATCATTATTATACATTTATTACATTTATTACACAGTAACATGGGGGATAGATCGATCATATTTTTTTACTTGAAATCTATCGATGGAACAGCTGTTACCTATATAGTTACATTTGTCAATCCCCTAAGTTTCAACAATGTTTAATTAGATTTTTGACTCGGGGGAAGGGGGGGGGACTTTCTTTCTTTTTCGATGAAAGTTCACCGTTTTCATTTTATTTTCCATACCATTTGATCGCACCCGTTCCCTTGTCATGACATGTCTAAAGTGCGTTATACTTTTCCTCAAAATTATCAAAGGAAATGAAACGGAAAAAACGTGGCCACCAAGAAATTAGCCTGATGACACCCATGCATGGATGTAGAGACACTGTCTAACCAATCAGTTGGATTGTGGGATATGAAAAATGTAAGTTTTATGTTTCCTATCTCATGCTGTTGTACTGTTTCGAAGTCTACCATTTCTGCGCTGTCAGTCGTAGCATACCGGTTTTCTACTTTTGGTACCGCTCATATTCATACTCTCTTAACTCAATCATGGATAATCATCAAAAACAAAGGAACTCACTTCTTACACGTGTCAGTTGTCATTCTCACTTCCTTGTCATTCTTGTGAATAATGTCGGGGTTTCATTCATGCCGTAGTTGATGTGAAGAAGACTCTTTCAGTTCCATAGATGTACCTGTTTACTAAGTCTTACGGAGGGAGTTCACACCACACAAGTGTAAAATACTGACCACACTAAGGTAAAGTAGAGCTAATCACGTGCTAATTACATTAGTACCGTGTTGAGAGGGTATATCAGAGGTGTGAACACTGCTGAAAAGGTATACCTAAAACTACTAGGGTAGGGAATTTCTTGCAGCCATCGTGGAATGGCAACCTAGGGTAGGGTATTAAATTAGACTGCTTTCATGAAAAAAAAACTACACATTTCTAATACTTTCAAGAACTGTTAAAAATTTGAATTCGTCAGATTCGTTAGACCACCCTATGCAATTTCTGTAGTATGTCCATTCATCCGTCGCAGGATTGTCAGATGACCGTTAGTGGCCGGGACACTTTTTATTTTTAATTAAGCTGTATTAGCTCTCACACAATAAATGTCTTTTTATCTGTGTTTTTTTTTGTATGGGGCTTATGATGTTTTCAATGATACCTCGACATCTGTGATTTTTTGCTGTTAGTGATAATTTTGTCGTAGGGGCAGATCTGAAGAGCTAAAGCTGTATTGTTCTTGTACAAGGGACGTATAATGCTTGTATCCTTAACTTACGTAGAAAACGAGGTGCTGTTTTACTCTATGGACTATTTTCTGATATCGAAATAAAACGGTTTATCGTTTTACTATTTTTTCACTTATTTTCTGTGATTCTTGATATCCGTTTTTTCATGCGGAGAAAAAAATAGATATAAAAAATCAGTCGTATTTAATTTCCATGAATGTAAAGTAGGGGTTTTATTAATTTGTTGACATCAAGAATTTGAATGTTCGAATATGCTTTATTTCAAACGTTATATCATGTATCTAAATATATTAGACATTGAATTTCTGAATACAAATGTGGCAATGATATTGTGATATTGGTTTTACTCAATACAAATGAGTCAGTTATGGGATACAAATGTAGTGAGTGAAACAAAGAACACAAAACTGAAATCCAAAATATTTACATCACGATGTTTTTTTTTTAATTCATTAGTCATCGTCGAGAACACCTATGTGAAAAATATAATATGGAGAAAATAAAATGCTAAAAAACAAAATATAATATGAATGGTGAAATATGTCCTACAAATCATAATAGATCTAATTAATGATTGACTATGAGTTCAATTGAACATAAAATCTTAATTAGATTGATTAAAAAATAAATATACAAAAAGGCGTTTATGAAACACAACTTCGCCATTCTCGCCTCTCATCGGCTGTCAAGCTGACAGAGTGAAAACGAAGGGCAGTAACTCTGGGAGATCAGAATGCAAACTTGGCCTGCTCTCAACCGTTTTCGATGTTCGCGGAAAACGTCAACTAGATGGCGCGAAACACGAAAATATCACGTGACCTTCAACAAAAAATGGATGCCCTGGACGGGATAATACGGATCTGGGCCCGTGGACATCGGAATCTGTTTGATGATGGTATTGAGAGTGATTGAGATTGACACACATGCATATCAGACCTCACATATCATTTACAATTTCTCCAAGCTGATTTATTTCACGGTCGAGTCTTTGAGACGCTCTCGCTAGTTTCGAAAAGCACGTTCGCTTCGTGACCGCACGTGATGGCCTGTACATTCACAGGACATACTGTATACTGCCAAGGTGTCATCAAAATGCATCAAACATAGCAGTTGGTTTAATTCATCACAAACTTGATGCAACTTTCTCAAAGCTGTATGATGCTCTCGTGGTGGTTTATGTCCCAGTCGGACGTCCCTTACGACGAGAGAATTGGTAAACAAAACAACATGGCGTTAGACTAGGACTGGGTGCAGTAGGTTTGCAATAGCTTGAACCAGATTGATCTTAAACATTATAGTCTCGTTTCACTAATTTACACAACCAGTAATGAAACAGGACTGTATCACAGTAAACTTTGCGTGTATATATATACAAGGATATGAAACGCACAGTGGTTAACTAAATTGCTGATGCTTGCATGAAAAACTTTGTTAGTACAACTTCTGAGCATTTTATTTAAATACTAGCAGAAGTTGCATCAGGTAAGTAACATCCTTTGAGTTGTAAGGATGCACTGAAACTTCAACACATTTACATGTGCATCCTCACATAACAGGATAAAAATCCTCTGAATCCTGACACATTGGTGTACAGGTAAGTCATGAAATGTGGTTTAAAAGTAACAGCAAGAAATATTATATTCACAATCACTGAAATATGCATTGTCTTATTTATTTACAATTCAATAAATCATGCACAGCTCAGTGTGATCAAACCACAATAAAATGATGTACAGGTAAGTGAATACCTTGATGTGTTTTTCTGACGGAAGGTTTCATTGTTAATATATAAGCAGAAAGATTGCTAAGTGGTTTGGTGTATCACTTTGTATAAGAAGCAGACAACATATTTCTGAAATGTTTGTTTGCAAATATGGGCTTTTATAAATATTCCAACCTGTGAATGAAAATCATGGTGTTTTTTTTTTTTCGATTATATTAAGAACCACTTTAGGACTTACCAATGTGTCCTGAGTTCAGAGGATTTTTATCCTCTTTGCATGCTTTGGAGTTCCGGTGGAGCTACACAAATCAAAGGATGTTCCCAGCCTGTTACACATATATTGTTTATGCAACATATAACATGCTGATGCTAATTTCAATGTTCTCAAATTCCATTCCAAAAGTCCTGTTTGACTTCTGAAATTATTGAGGAAACCCCCCCCCCTACAAAGTAGAGTGCCAAATAACATATATACCTCATAACATATTTCAAAATCAAGCGGCATATTTAATTTTAAGGAATTTGCGATATTCACAAGGAAAAAGTGTCAGATTAAAATTTATTCTTCTGACTATACATGTTTGAAAACTTGAATTATCATTTCATTATTAAAATGTCCCTTCATACCACCAATTGCAGCAAAGAAGTTGTGATGTACAGCTATTATAAGCAACACACAGGCATAAATCAATCTTTATCAAAGCAGAAACTACCTGCGAAGTGTGAAGAAAAGTCGTGTGCAATGAACCAATAACTTAACCACTTCCATTAGCCATCACTTGTGTACAGAAAAAGATAGCATTTGTTGATATCTGTAAATTTCATGAAGGCACATGATTTATACCACATTTGTTTGGATGAAATTCAATAATATAATTATGTAATGTGACAAAGCAATGTCAAGGGCTCAGCCACAAACAGATTCCACTAGTATATTTTATATACAACACAAAAAAGATGCATTTCGTTTCACCCATTTCCTTGGATCAGTAAAATTATGTTGCATCAATTGTATTGGTCAGTATGGTGTCCTGTGAATTAAAACAAATTAACTAATTTGCTGTTGCTAAAATGTATAATCTTTGCTAATTTTCAGATTCTGACTCTGGCTCCTATGCAGATTCAATGGACTCCCTAAATAGTTTTTTCGATGATCACCCATATTTGCATCCATCCAGACCAGATGTGCGACATTCAAAATTGCCTAACTTTCAGAAGGAAAAACCGAAAGAAGTCCTGAAATTGATGGATTTGGCTGCCAAAGTGACAGCTCAACACTATTCCTGTGAGAGTATTGAGACTCATAACCCTCCTCTTGATGAAGCTTTGTTAAAAAAGGTAAGGAAGGCACTAAATGTTTTATAATATTAGCTTTATTAAAATGTGGTTTTACTGGCTTACAGACCAGTTTTAATTGCTTTAAATAACTTAAGCAATGGTATTCTTATTTTTCAGTCAATAAAATTGCCAATCTTGACTGAAACATCAGAGTTTCATACAATGATACAAAATAATCTCACCAAAATGAGGATCACTGTTAAATATATAATCAGGAAACTTAGAACTCTTTGCTATTTCTGTGCAGTTGATTGTGAATTACAATCACTGACTATTTAGTGACATTTTCCTGTAATATTGTCCTGAATTTTCTGAAATCATGATTCATTTTCTTTCCAATTCTTCTTGGATACCAGGAACCTCTTATACTCAACTGGCTATCACAAGGTTTCTATAAAATGCTTAGTTATTGATTAATGTAGTAAAAATACTTGTAGTGTCAGTACTGGGTTGCTTGTGTCATTAAAAATACATTGTTACATTGTGTTATCTCCCTTTACACATACTGTGACAGCATTTCACTTTACAGTGTTCTCGTTTCGTTTCATCCAAACAGCATCATTAGTCAGATTATTACACAGAAAAGAAGATACATGATCCCACTCTTGTGATACTTATAAGGGATAAGCCTACAGGGTTTTAATCCTAAAAATATATTTCTTCTGAAAATAAATCATAATTATTCATGATCAATCAATGGTTGAAAACAAATAACATACAATCTTTGATGAAACTGATAAATTAGTACACCACTTCTGATAAAAAAATGTACCTTACAGATTTTTTAAAATGCCCTTATTACCATAATGAAATTGGAAACACAAGTCTGCAGTATGTAATTATTTTGACATGCTTTGGATATTAAATTGTTAATACATATATTCTTTACATTGATTCAGTGCCAAATTTTCAATCTGTGTTGTCTTCAAGTTACATAACTGATTAGATTAAATGTTAAAACCATCCTTCAGTCATTGAATTTCAGATTGAAAAGCAACATTGACAACTAGCCAAACAATTTGGTCCTAGTTTACTTTCTTTTTCCAGAATTATTATCCTTGAACTTAAAAATATCATTTTGTGCTCAGTTTGTTAGTGCTGGATATGAACTGAAGTTTAATTAGTAGTTAGATTTGATTGTCAGCCTTGTCAGATAATATCTGATACATTTAGAAGTTTTTAGTAAGCCTCATAAAAAGCCAATAACACCAGCTCATTACTTCTCTCTTGTCAGCAGAGGCTTTCAAAGTTTCTCACCTTTATTTGTGCATATTTCAAGTTGATGTGCTATTGATTGCAGGTTTCATTCTGGGCTTTCCCTCAGGATGAGAAAAAGGTAAAAATATATGCAAGGTTAAGTCTAAAATCAGAAGAAGAATGGAGGAGAGGAGAAAGTTTTTATGAAGAAGAAAGAATTCAGGACATCAGACAAGTTGGTTAGTAAATAGTTGTAGTAAATTAATGCATAAAAAGTTTAACATATTCTTTGTTTAACTGATTGATTGATAGATATAAATCTGGTTCTAGTGAATAAAGTCAGGCTTCTTAAGGCCAAATAAAATTAATTCTTAGTTTTTCAGGCACCGCCACATCTTAATGTCAGTGCCACATCAGCCGTTTTTATTGGAAAATGTGATAAAATGAAAAAGAAAACCGCCGCATACAAAATCGGCATTACCTAGATAAGCTGGATTTCTCCAGCATATACTGTCAGCGGAACATGCTGTTTTGAAATTTAGTTTCCAAACAACATTTCCGCCCATGCCAAAATGGTGGTGCTATCAGTACAAATAAGTGTAGGGGCAAAGATTATACTCCCATGGATCATTGTCTCTGGATTCAGTGAGTCTTGTACTGTTTCTGAGCTGTTCTTAGCCATTCAGCAGGGGAAGTTAGACATCGCATGGGACTTTCCACAGCAATAAAAAAAAAATAAAACATGTCGGCAATGGTTGGCAAAACAAGATTAATTTTGACAATTTTGCTTGAGGGAGACCTTGATATCCCTATCATTTTCGAAAATAAAATGCATACCAGCCTTATTGTTTCCTAAACAAATAAAAATAAAAAAAAAAAAAACTGCCACCCTCAATGATTTTTAGAAAAAAAATGGCCTGAGAAATTAAGAATTAATTTTGTTTGGCCTTACAGTAGGAACTTGCTACTGAACAGCTGTATTTTATTAATTGACAATTTTATTCTGTTAAAATACATGTTATCTGAAAATGATAATGATTTCTTCATGTTTTGTAGGGTTTATGGTATCGGCTATCATCAACAAGCAGGTTTCCAAAGTATCTGTGACATTTGAAAAACAACAGATTACCTCTTCAAAATGTGCTATATGTCCACAAGCGATATGGTGTCCACATATCATTGCTGTCATTCTCCACAGAATTCGATATTCAGATATGGTGTGTATAACGGTATTTCAAATAGTCAAATGGCTGAGGTGACAGAAAACTCCTGTTTACACTGTGCTGTTGATTGTGATTATCAGTTAGGCCTGTTTTTACTGCTCTATATGATAAGCCCTTTTCTTCCCCAGTGTAAAATATTGTAGGAATGTTACTTTACAAGTTGATATATTGACTACACATTGTGTGGTTATATTTTTCATAGTGATGTAGATCATACAAGTATGATAATGGTATTATCTGACAATGGTTTTTGGACCTTTAACCCTTTATACAGCACCAAACAAAATATTTAACTTATCTGATGGAGACATTGTTCATTGAAGATTGACACTATTTTCATCAGTTGTTTATGGGATACATACACAGCATGACTTGACAGAAATAAATAAATAATAGATAAATAAAAGCATTTTAAGTATTTATACAATAATCAAAAACCAAAATCCCAGATTCAATTTCAATGAAATTTTGCAGAAACCTTCCCCACATATACACAGATTCGGGACTTCCCAAATAGTAATCTCCAACACAAAGCTGGAATATTAAGTTGAAAAAATAAACCCCACATTGTCAACTTCAACACAACAAGAACAATTTTAACAAGGATTTATTTTTTAAAATTTGAATTAAAACCTTTATAATGGGGTAATCTAATGGACAAAAATATCACCCATGGCCACACCGAGAAACTGTATACTGCTACACAAGCCTACCGTCAGACAGGGACTATATCAGGCTGTATATAACATTATGTTACATCCCAGATTTGAGGGGCAATGTGCAGTAATACTGTTGGAAACTTTCTCTGTATTCAGTTGGACATGTGCAGTGTAAATGCTTAAAGTTACAGAATGGTTAATGCAATGTACAGAATGGATATGGTTCAGTTATATCAGAGTCAAGACTGTTAAGCCTGATTCACTTCTACAAATCAAACCCTCCCTAAACTGGCCAAATATTCATGTCCCATGAAAAGTTGTCCTCTTGTATATGTTATAGACAAAAAAGGTTGACATTTGTGGTTATCTCTGTCTTAACAGATTTCTGTGCATGCACCTGTAACAGAGACGCTGTCTACTCTTACACGAGACCAGCTGCAGAAGCTACTACAGTATGCTATAAATGAGGACCCAGCAGGCATCCTCGGAAGAGTGTTTCAACATATTGGTATGGACACTTTAGATCACTTTGAGGAGTTTCCATTAAGTTACATGACAATCAGTAACGTTCAGTCAGTATGAATAGGCAAGTTGTTGGTGCATGTGATGTTTTAAATAAAAACAATAATAACTGTAATGATAGTTGGAGCCCTTCTGGTCTTATTTCACTCTTAATTGGAATTGTTTGATAGTGATATTGGCAGTGTTTGGAAACATCATGAGATCACGTGTGTGTAAATATTGAGAGTGATATTTGCAGTGTTTGACTACATCATGAGATGACAGGTGTGGTCACTCTTCACATCGACAAATGTTGTAGTTAGCAGGCAGTGCAAAGTCCAATATGTTCACTATGGCTGCAAATATGGAAATCACAAATTTCTGAGATGGTGCTAAACCCAATATTTTCACTCTGACCACCAAGTAGGAAATAACATTTCAAAAATCTTCTACAGTTCCACCAGCTGCATTAAGTTCAGATGTGCTGGGAGGAACGATCATGATATGGTGGTCTTCACCAAGTGTTGTAGTTTTTCAGATTGATTCAAGTTGGCAATGGAGTACCTATTGTTCTTTGTACCACTATAATACTGCTGAGTATGAATACTACACTGATAAAGGGGTCTTTTTGTCATATCATTGTTTAGACCCATAGGCCTCATTTTAGATAAAATTATATCTTCTTTGTGATAATTATGTCGTTCTAAGTCATTGTAAACATTTTCATGTGTAATACCAGCTACAACGAATTCACCTGGTTTAATCAGTCAAACCTTATGGGATCTTTTACCACTGCAATCTCTTAGAAAGGGATGTAAAACATGATACTGTAGCAAAATTCAACAGGCACCAGTCAAAGAGAAAATGAAATTGTACATGTTGCCAATTCTGATATTGCATTATAATTGGTCAGTCTATGGATGCATATCCAAATATCTACTGAATATTGCTTACAAATATGAATGAAGATATCAAGTTCATAAGTACTTGGTACTGTTTCAAAGGTTGGTTCTTCATCAAGAGGTTAACTTTCAAACAAAACTGTTTTGAAATTGACATGGAAAATGTTAATTCTGATGGAACTCAATGAATTACTCCTGTATGTTTACTGGAATTAACTGACTGATTTTGAAATAAACACAGAATGCTTGATGAGCTATAAAGGCCCCTTGACATTATACTTCCAATTAAGAAACTGCAAACCAAATTCCCAAAATAACTACAGACTATAATTATACTTTTTTCTGACAGATGCTCTGAGAGATGCAACATCGAACATGAACTGTGTACAAGGAGCCCCAGATCCAACATTTGGGGTCAGTAAAGATGACAAGTTAACATGGAGCCTCTCCTTAGATTTACTCAAGAAGAACTTAATGGATGACCTGAGGCTTGGGTAATATTTGTAAACAAACTGTTAATGGATAAACATTGCCCTTTGTGCAAAATCATGTGTAAATTCATAAGTAAGTGTGCTTTACTAGCTTGAACACTTGCATCTTTCTACAATCATTTTATTTTCTGCAATTTTTAAGGTGACAGTTGATAGCTTCACTACTGTTGTTTATCTTGAAGTAACATGCTAGTCAAACTTTGACCTGAGCACTAGGAGGGCTGCAACTGACTGAAATACCTCATCCTTATGAATGAAAATGACTGACCCAGATCATGTGGCTGTCCAAGTCTATTAGTCCTTTAATATAAGTATATTGGCCTTATACTCCTATGTTCTCTAATTAGACTAATTTTAAAACATGAGTGCTGTACCAAATTGCAAACCTTCTTCTCCATTATGAATGATTAGAAATTGCCTAGATTTGGTATGAAGTATTCATGGGTAAAGTGGACCAATTTCTGTATAAACTGTACATCCCAGCCCCCTAGGGCAGGAGGGTTGGGCCCAATTTGGAAATGTAAGTTTCTTCTAAGTCCATCTTCTATACAAGGATATTGTCCCAAGTTTGGTCTGAAGCAATTTTAATGAATAGTGAATCTGAACTCTGTTCGACCACAAGTGTGTGAACCGATAGGATATCATATCAGAAATTGTTTGTCATATTTGAAATTCTTCATTAAATGGCTGAATAGCTAAATTAGCCAGGCGAGCGATGCAGGCCCCTTGGGCCTCTTGTTTAAACATGTCACAATGTTGACCTCTGATCTCTTCTGTTTACAGATATCGGAGTTATCCTGATTCATGTAATATTGTTGAAAAGATGAAATCCACATTCTTTGACCAATATTTTCAACGGGTAATGGAACTTATTGAGAAAGAAGAATCTGGTGCTGCAGGGGAAGTGCTGGTCACTATTGCTGAAAGTGTTCTAAATGGTATTTAGCTACTCGTGTACACCTATTTTCCAATAAGATATTTTTAGAAACTGATTAAAAAGAGAAAAGGCCAATCACTATTTGATATGTGTAGTTCAAAATGCTTTTCATTCATGGTCCATCATCCATCCTTGTATATGCCTGTTATCACCAACCTACTAGAGTTTGTAATATCAGGAATATTTAAGGAGATGTTTGTCTATCTGATTGTCTTCAAATTATCATTGTGTTGACATCATTGTCAATGCCTGTGGTAGATTTACTTTATCTTTTGAAATTAATGTGAAAATGTAATAGTTCTTAATATGAAAATATGGAGGTATATCTTGCTCAACAGAAGTGACTTGTAAAGTCTTTACTTCATAGATTTCATGATGATTTCCTAACAATGAAGCCTCTGATAGGGGAAGAGAGTATATATATTGTATTGTTATATTCTGGGAGCTGTACTATTTACTTTGACTGGGAATAGACCATCCTGATTGCATTGTTTACTTCCAACATATAAAGTCTTCTCTCTTCAGTTATCCACAGCCAGCGATCTCCAAGCAACATGTTGAAAAGGATATTGTATGACTGTGAACGACTCTTCAGCTGCTTCATCGTGTCCTGTCCTGATGAATTGAAGCAGCAGATTCTCTCTAAAGCCATCATGCTAAATGAGTAAGCCTCATATGTATTCAGATTGTCTCATTCATTTTAGTATTAACAGTTTGGTGTTAACGGTCATCTGAGTGGTTTTCTTCTGTGATGTTAGACTAGTTAAAAGTATTGTAAGAGTTCCAAATGAGATGTTACTTCACTTACATTTACATCAGCCATAGCAAGGGAATTGGTCATCTGAATGTGTGTTGTTTTTTTTTTAAACAGAAGAGCGAGACGATTAACTCCAAACATAGAGTTCACCAAACCTAGTTTATGGGCAGAGATAGGGTCTATCAAACTGCCCTGGGAGGATGATAAAGACGGTGTGATGGGAGAAGCATTTAGAGGTTTTCCATTCTATCAGACAGTCTGTGCTAGTCTGATCACCAACCCACCTCAGTCACTACAGGATGTGCTTTGCTGCAGATGTTCTATCACCAACAGGTAATATCTTAGTCCCTACAGTACCTACTCTGCTGTCCCTGTGTCAGATCTTCTACCACTCACAGGTATTAATTCAGTTCCCTCATGATCTACTCTACTGTGGATATTCCTCCCCAACAGGTATTACTTCACTCCCTACAGAATCTGATCTGCTCTACCCAAACAGTTATTTTTTCAGTTACTAAAGGATCTGATGTGTCAGATATTTTCCCCCAACAGGTATTACCTCAGTCACTACAGGATCTGCTCTGCTGCAGATATTTTCCCCCAACAGGTATTAAATCAGTCAATACAGGATCTGCTCTGCTGCGAATGTTCTTCCCCAGCATGCATTGCCTCTGTCGCTTCTACACCAAACGGGTATTACCTCAGTCATGACAAAATCTACTCTGCTGCAGAAATTTAAAAAATGTATTACTTGCAAACATTTGGCTTCAATGACAGACGAGGATTATATTCTCATCTAAAACTATTTTTCATGCTTGCCTCCTGCTACTACACAAACATCAAATCAGTTGTGTTGTCAAAGTGCTGAACTGTTGTGAAAGTCCAACCTGCCACTTAGCATCTAGTATAGATATATGTACACATACTGCTGTACAAATAAAACTGCATTATAACTTGACTGCTGTTACATGTAGGTAAGGTTGGTTATTGCAAGCAGTTTTCATACTGCAATATATTGCAATGTTCAGTTCAAATGAATGACCTTGGCCCACTTTCAAGGTCACAGGGGTCAAATATGTTAAAATATACAAAGGACTTCATCTCAATAAGCAAAAGTCTATGAGTGCCGATATTGGGTCTGTAGCATGCTGGGAGGAAAGGGACCTCAACCCACTTTCATAAGGTCACAGGGGTCAAATATGTTGAAATATACAAACGACTTCTTTCAACAAGCAAAAGTCCAAGATATTGGGCCATGCTTGGAGTATTGCATTTCACTTCAGTATATCTATATAATTTTTTGTTGAACAAACGTATACACAGAAAGTACTAGCTAAATTAAATGCAGTGATGTACTAAAAAATACCTAATTTTGGAAACTGGAAAATTTTAAAGTTCTGAGGTTAATTACCTCAAACAGTTGTAGAAGAATGTGGTACCATATATTGCGATACTGAAAATAATATAGCAATGTGTTGTTACTAATATCTCTATATATTGACTTTTGTCAACCTCTTTGTATATTAAGTATGCCTTAGACTCTGACATTATTATGTGTAGACACAATATTGACTTGTTGAACTTGAAAATTTATGCCTTTTTTTACAGTCATTAACACATTAAAATATGATAAAGATAACTTAGCCATGACACATGTTCAATTTACTTTAACAGCAGTTATGAGGAACCTCTGCCTGTAATGCTGATGAGATTGGATTGTTTCATGTGTTTGGAACCCACATTGTCTGGAAGAAAACTGCAAACTTTAACAGCAGTTATGAGGAACCTCTGCCTGTAATGCTGATGAGATTGGATTGTTTCAATTAGGGATTATGATACTGAAAAAACTTCTTGCACTCTCTCTAGAAGTAAGTATGAGGTAAAAAGTACTGTTCTCTCTCTTCCATCTATTTCTGTTAATTTGTTACATCTATGTGACAGATGTTAACTTTGAAAACACGAGGAGGGCCAGCTGCTTTTAATTTTAGTTACATGTGAACAAATTCACGAGTCTGATTTATTGAATTAACATGATGTTCTTGTTAGTTGATATAAATACAAGATTTGCTTTGTTGGACTTAAACTCGCTTGAAGTGTTTAGTGTTTAAAAATTATGTACCAAGCTGCCATTAGTGCATAGCACCACAAACCTTATATTCCATAACTGCTTAAACAGAGTCCTGGAAATATGAAATGTTTTTATCTGTGAAACATATATTGTGTATCTTTAACAAGAATTTATTATTTTTCTAGTAAAGCATATCTGTCTTATTCTCAGCTTTCAATTCTGGGGACAAAAGTGTCTACAACTGACACAGGCGCTGGTGTACAACCTGATGGTAGGTTTCTGTACCTGTGCACACTAATAAAGCCATATTTTTGTAACAGATAATTAGCTTTATATGTTTATGATGACAGTATCATTTGTAGCAATTATTACCTATGAACTTCATGTTATTTTAAGAATTTTTATTTTCTTCAAGTTGATTCCTAATACACCAAATTACAGAATTGTTTGAACATCATAAAGACATGAAAGCTATTGATGTTTTAACATTGGTTTTTAGTATCTTTCTCCTATAGAAAATGATTAAAAAGAGGTGTATCTATTACCTCAATATGTATATGGGTATGATGTTTATATAGGAAAGTTATCATGACATTTAATAGTAATTCCTTGAGAGTTACCCAAAGTCAGGATCAGCAGGGAAACTGGGGACAAACATACTGTTTTTTGGCCCTATTTGAGAGATTTGTTAATTGGTTTGATTTTTGGGAAATATTTTAAAAATTCAAGTGTTTTTGAGGGTTGTAGATGGGCCAAGTGAAGAAGGACCGACCAGGGCAAAGCGAAGAAAACAATCCACTAGAAAAGGGAAGGCCAAGAAATCTACTGTACCTCATAAGGCTTCAGTGTCTAGCCTTACTCAGCACGAGTTATGTGATCAGATAGAAGGACTTACAAAGGTAGTGTTAGTCTTCTTTAACAAACATTAACCTTTGCATTGTACCTTTTTTGAACTGATTCGCATTCAAGATGGCCGACAGGTGGCCATCTTGGATTTTGGAAGTAAACGTTTGTTACCGCTATTTCTGGAAAAGTACTGGATGGATCTTTCTCAAATTTCATATGCAGTTTCCCCTTGGTCCCTAGTTGTGCATTGTACCTTTTTTGGACTGATTCGAATTCAAGATGGCCGACAGGTGGCCATCTTGGATTTTGGATGTAAAAGTTTGTTATTGCTATTTCTTGGAAAGTACTTGATGGATCTTTCTCAAATTTCATATGCAGGTTCCCCTTGGTCCCTAGTTGTGCATTGTACCTTTTTTGGACTGATTCGAATTCAAGATGGCAGACAGGTGGCCATCTTGGATTTTGAATGTAAAAGTTTGTTACTGCTATTTGTTGGAAAGTACTGGATGGATCTTTCTCAAATTTCATATGCAGGTTCCCTTGGGTTCCAAGTTCTGCATTATATCTTTTTGGACTGATCCGAAATCAAGATGGCTGACAGGCAGCCATCTTGGATTTTGAGAGTAAAATCTTGTTACTGCTATATCTGAGGAAGTACTGGATGGATCCTTCTGATATTTCATAGATATTGGTTTCCCTTGGTCCCTAGTTGTGCATTGTACCTTTTTTGGACTGATTTGAAATCAAGGTGGCCCACAGGCTGCCATCTTGGATGTCTACAGTAATACAGCACAAGCATATTGTCCATTATCCACCTGTAACTGACTGCTATCTAATAATACTTTGGGATCTTTTTCAAATGATATTTGCTAATAGGTGCTTAATAAAAATATCTTGTGCCATCATTGAGCACATTCAATGAAGACCAGTTCATGAACATTTACAACACCTGTAACACACAAAAAAAAATAAACAAATCTTCAAGAACTGAAAACAGATCCTCAAATGGTGGGTGCCAGGATCCCTCTGGGATCTCTTGTTTATATACAGAATACAAAAACTGTTGTCAAAATTTGTATTTTATATTTACAGTATACAATAACTGTTAGTAAAATAGAATTAACACTGATTTTGGTGTATGTCTAAACTATTTCACTAAAAGGAGCTGTCCCCAAAGATACATTGATTCTTGATATTTCTCTCAAGTATTGCTGTTGTTTGGTCTTTACCACCAATACATAATCAACTTGTGTGCGAGATAGTTACATCTCAGAAATGGTAGGAAAAGTGTCCGAATTAATACAGGCTTCTCAAAAAGTCCTTTCTACATACTTCTTTCTTGGAAGGCGGTTCCAGAATTAAATGTATTGGGGCATCGGACGGCAGTTGAGTTGTTTTTAGTGGGTGGTTGGAACAACACTAAAATGTATTCTATGTTTGATTGGTGCCATTACAAACTGAATTATATGGATGACTGGTTCAAGGGGAACCCCAAAAAATTCAAATACATGTTTTATACCCGATCTGAAGATTCAAGGGAGATAAATTGTGTGGTTTTTGAATCGTCTGTATTGGTGTGTTTATGCATGCAGAAATAGGAAATAGTAAGCTATCTTTTTCGCATGGTTTTGTAAAATATACTGACATTATTATATCAATTTTGGGGGGGAAAACTGGCTATATTTTTGCTCAGGGATGCAACATGTATTTGGCTGTGAAAAAGTGCAGTAGAATGAAATTTTGTGAGTGTCATGTTAACATGGAAAACAAAATTTGGTGGGGGTTGCTTGAAGTAACAAATTTACGGGATATTGGATTTGGCAAATTGTAGACATGTACACACATACACATTTAATTCTGGAACAGCCCTTACTAAATACCTTAGATTCAGTCCCTAAGGTATCAGGTAAAATTTTAAAGATAATTTTTGATTTTGTAATGTTAGGAAATAATTAACCAATTTAGGCTTATTAATTATAGGCTCAAATATCCTACTGCCTGCTGTATGTGAGCTACACTGTGAGCAAGACACTGGATGAACGTCATTTAGACAGTGAAGAAACACCGATATTACTGGATGCAATTCTGCGTGCTGTTGAGTTAGGCAGATTCCGAAGTGTAGCTCCAAAACTTGAGATAACAACAAAAGACTACAGATGGCTATTGTTCTTGGAGAACAAAATAGAGGAAACTTTCACAAAAGTTGCTCCTATATGGCTAGAGAGTGAAGGAAATGTGACAGATATGTACATGTCGGCTTTATTTGAGAGAGGACTACAGATGTATGGAGACAATGTGCCTGTTTCCCTCATAAGCATGTTGCTTTGTGTTGGAAAAAAGACAAAACAGATGATTAAACTATGTACAGATACAATCTGTCATTCCTTGCATCCACTCGCACTTCTAACCATTCCAGACAGTAGCTATGGTAATAAGAAATTTCTTTGAATCATATGGGATCTGTCCTTCTTAGTGCTGTATTTTGGACATTGATGTTAAGAAAAGCTTCAATTAGCTGTCGATATAATTATAGTATAACTGTGGCCAAATAAGAGAAATGAAAGATAATGGTTATACAATGGTGGGCACAAGATCTCTCAGTGATTTCTTGTCTGTGAAGGGAACTTCAGGATTATTGTATACTGAAGTATCAGATAGTTTAGTTATAATAGATGTTTATTTATTTCCCTTACAATATGTTGTTTTCACCAAAATCATAATTTATAATGTGGCTTGTACATTTGATCATATTGCAGGATATAGATCTGAGAACTACAACAACAAGGACAATCTTGTGAAGAAGTGGACAAGTCTTATCACTTGTGTGTTTAACTTCTGTACAGCAAACTCATCAGCAAAGCACAACTCGATACTAACAAGGGTAAGATACAAATCAGATCAATCAGTCATAGAACTTACGAACATTCCACGAGGCAGCCTAAAACCAACAAAATGCTTACTAATGAATGGCTTCATTAAGGACTCCCGACCATTTTGGCCAAGCCATGTAGCTACCTCATGTATACCCTTACTTTTCCTTTGCCATCTTTTTTACGAAGTTGCTTTAGTTTTCACATCCCACAAAGAGATGCAAAACACAAGTTATTTCCTTTGAACTTTTGGATTGGAGAACCAATGCACATTCGTAAGAATAAATTGAAGTTTTACATTAAGTGTCTCTTGAAGAACGCATGCTATTCCAATCAAAAAATAAAGATCCATTGTACACTTGCACCGAACAAATAAATTTTATGAATTTTATTTTCAGCCCACTATCATCAGATGTCAGGCTTTTCAAATTTCCTTGCATCTATCCATTAAATTCTTTTTATTGATATTTCTGAAGAAAGCTTTATAGGTTCCTCTTGCTCCCTAGCTCTGCTTTACCCCACTTCCAGACTGATCCAAGAATCAACATGGCCAACAGGCAGTCATCTTGAATTTTAACATAATAGTTTGTTTCTGGAGAAGTACTGGCTGGGCGGCTCTTTTTCAAATTTCATCAAAAGATTCCTCTTGATCCCTAGCCGTGCACTATCCCATTTGTTTTGGCTTTGTCTATAGGTATATGATTGATCTTTTTTCAGATTTCATATATAGGGACCCCTAGGTCCCTTATTTTATCCCTTTTAATTATGGGACTTATCAGAAAAACAAAATGGCTGACAGATGGCCATCTTGGATTTGACAAAGAATGTCCATAGCTCTGCTCTTTGCATTTTGAGGTTGCCAGAAAAGCAAAATACTGATTGATGACCATTCTTTACATGACAGTGGAAGATTATTACAGCTGTTTCCTGATAGGAAATTTCAAATTCTTATAACAAGAGCAGTTAAGAGGAAAAAAGAGAAAAGCAGGAAAAAGATCCAACTTTTGAAGAGCAACTGAATATCAAACAATGATGGGTGCCAAGATCACTCTGGGATCTCTTGTTTGGTGTACTCAAGCTTTCTGAGAAAAAACTAGTCTCTAAAGCTTATAGCTTGTTCTTTTCACTTCACATTTAGTTTATAGTCATTTTGAAAAGATTACTGAGGAAGAAATCAGACAAGTTTTCCTCTCTCTCCTCTTTTAAAGTGATATTTTGGGGAGGAAAATGTAATATTTTATGGAATATTGAAGATTGAAGAATTTACAAAGTTTTCATTTCATATTTTGCAATGCATTAATATTTAAACGTAACACATCTAGGGGATTTTTGAGGGGATCTTTTTGGGGTCTAATGTGGGCCCAATTCCCAATTGGGATATATGACTAAAATATATAGTTTACATCATGAAATGCCCTTTCCAACTGTTCAATTTTCTTTTGAAAATGTGTTAAATAAGTCCTTTCAGAAATGAGTGGAAGAAGGCACTATCTGTGGTGATGCCATCAAGTGCCATATTGTTGATAAGTTAAACATTTGATATTTTGGTGTTTGAAAAAGATATTGAAGCGCAATTACACATAATTCTGGTTCATCTTTCACCATTTTTTATACCTTTGGAAATATAAAGGAAACATGTCTAATTTATTAAGATAACTGATCTGATGATCAGTCTTTGTTTTAGACTGAAGTGTCAGTTGGTGGTTTTTGTTCACTGAGATAACATACTGGTGCATCCTACTTTCAGATTCTGAAGCATTTAGGGCAGGTTGATGACTGTGACTACTTGATGGCTGCCTACAGTGTGATTCGGGGCTTTCAGTCTACTCTTGTGGAGAAGGAACACATGGTGCTACTGGTTAAGGTAGTTCTACAAGGTGTCCATTACAGTATATGTGGATCTTGGAACAACTTCTTCACCTATTCACCAAGTACTTGGGACACCCTCACCAAACTTGGCAGACAACTGGATATGGAGTTTCCCAAGCTCATCCTACCTGTGTGGCTAAAGCTGTGCAAGTTCTATAACTCCTCTCAACTCAAAGGTATCATTGAGGTGATGAAGGATGCAATAAAGAAGGAAGCCATGCTGCCGACAGAGATGACAAACATGCTTCATAAGTACTTTGAATCAAAATTTCGTCATGATGAAGAGTGTTGTGACTTGATGCACTTTTTCAAAATCACCGATAAAGGCTACCAACAGGCCCTGAAAAAGATTTCTGCAAACTCTGAAAATTACACCCCCAAAGCACTCCTCCTCATTGCCAAGAGACAAGTTGAGGAAACTCCTACCTCAAAAATCAAAGCTGGAAATATCTTTCAAAAAGATGTGTTCAATTTAATTAGACTTGCATTTAGTCGCCTCCAGGTGCTCAACAAAGACTACCCAACGAAATTCTCTTACCTTGATGCAGGAACTCTCAACTACCTCAAGTATTTTTTTGAGAAACTTGCAGAGAAAGACAGTCAAGATGCAGCTTCTGGAAAACAATTTCAGAATTTCATGACACACTTGTCAGGCAGCTTGAAGGGAGATGCTGAAGTGCTTGTCACATTCCTAAGATCTTTGGAGAAGACTGAGCACATGCTCCCAAAAGCTAAGGAGAAGCTTGGAACAAAGCTTATTGATTGCTTCCAAAGGCAGTTTGACTATGAACTTAGGCACTGCAATCACACTTGTTATCACCGTGTTCTGGGGGAAATGACGATAGCAAGACAAACATGTATACAGTTTGTAGACAATGGTGCTATGCTATTTCGCACAGCTGTCACAAACTTTGTCTCTCTCAAACACAAGGGTAAGAAAAAATTCATCAAGCTCATGGATGAGTATTTCAAAGATTTGAATGTTGATTGAACAATGTGTGAATTTGTGTGTTTAAGGGTATATATTCGGTACATTTGAGAGTGTCCAAATAACTTATGGATGCTGTATGAATTATACTAGTGCCAAAGTATATGACATTTGCATTGTTAGGTCATCTGAACTGAAGCGTCAAGATGACCTATAGGCATCATGCTTTGTTAGTCATTGTGCATAAACTTTTCTTTAAAACCGTATTCCTTTTTCGTACCTTGATGGATTTCAACCAGATTTGGTCTTATGCATCATAAGGTGAAGTTTATCATTTCTTAAAATCAGAATTTTGATTCGACCTCTAGGGGCAGATTAAGGGGACCCCAAAGGGGGAGATGCTCAAATTAGATTTAAAACCCTACTCCTCCTTTCTGCCTGGTTGGATTTCAACAAGCTGTGGCCTGATTCATCAGTTAGGGTAGGCAATTATTTCTTATGTTCAGAAAGTTGATGTGACCCCTATGGACCTGGGGGCCTGGGGGAGGACGTAGCTCTAAATGGGGAAGCTAGTCAATGTTCTGCTTCAAAATGCTATTTTCTTAATGCTTAAATCGATTTCTACCAAATTTAGTCTAAATCGTCATGGAGATTGAGGATTCAAAGTTGCTTGACCTCTAGTTAATAGGAATGACCTTGATCTGCTTGAAAGGTCACAGGGATCAAATGCATTGAAATGCTTAAATTACTACTTCTCAATAACTAAAAGGCCCAGGGTGCTGATATTGGACCAACTTTCAAGGTCACAGGGATCAAATGCGTTAAAATGCTGAGGCAACTTCTTTTCAATAACCAAAAGGCCAAGGGTCTTGATATTGGGCCTGTAGCTTGCTTTTTCAACAAGCAATATGTTTGGAGAAATGGCAATTGTTTAGTGCATTTATAAAGAATATAATTTCAAGATTGCAGAAAATGAAGATGTAAGCTGTAGAGTAATTACACGATTTATTTTAAGCCTTTTTGCCCCTTTCATATATAGGCCTTTAAAGTCAGATGACCGTTAAGGCCAGTGGGCCTCTTGTTAACTTATGACATTGGTTAAGCTTTAGTGCAGGATTACTAATTGTAATGGAGATTGTGTGAGGATTTTTTTACACAGATGTGTTGCATCAAGCAATCAAAGTAGATGTTATGTTGTGATATTATATGTCCGAGTTCTGATCAAACTATGAATTTGATTTAGACAAATATGTTGATGGGTCTGCCGATGCATGTAATACATATTCATCCTCAAAAGACCAGACATTTTAATAAAGTCAGCTCAATGCTGCAAAGATTTTGTGTGAAATATAATTGAGAAACTGTTAATTGCTCAATAACTAGAGAAGTTATTCGCTGGCAAAGAATTGTGCACAGGCAATTTTATTTTACATACTTTCTTTCAAAGCTTTACCACCATTACATGTATTTGATAGAAATATGTTACACACAATAGCACTAAGGGATAATTAGCACAACCTCAGAAATGATGCTAGAAACGATTGACCTTGCAATCAAAATATACAATTCTTTCTAATTTATAGTCTCTTTATCTGTGTCTATCTGTGTAGAGGGATAAGATATGTTTTGTGTTTTTGGATTTCTAGCATAATAATTAGTATGACAAGGACATTTCTGCTGTAGAATCTCGCCCCCTTTAAAACTTCTGTGATATCTATTTGATTACCTACAATTAAGAAATTTTGTCGTGTAACATACAAATTAAGTGACAAAATGACTTCTGCTTTGGAAATTGATGTTAAGTCACCAAAAAAAAGCTGGAAACTTGCTTCTTTCACCTTAAATTGAACTGGAAGCCTTACCTTAGTTGCTTCTGGCAGGGTCTATTTGAAATGCCATATATTTCATGGGTATGGAATGATACAGTGCTAATTCTCTTGAGATGTAATATGCTAGAATGATAGGTTCTTTGTTTTTTTTTCTTTCAACATTGGAGGTAAAATGGTGGATCTCAACTGGATAGGGAATGGTGTAGTTTGCAAACACCAGGCTTGTATTTTTTTTTTTTGTCCCAGTGCTTAGCACCATTAACATGATGTGATAGATCCCAACCCTCAACCCCCATCCCAAAGCAAGGGAACAAGGAATTTTCACACTTGTACAAAGTGTAATATACCTTTCCAGGGTAGAATGATTGTGTCCTACCCCACTAAATACTGCATCTTCTTTGGTCCATATCACCTTTTGATCTGTTGAATTATTGAAATTAGCCTTTCTTTTTGCAACAAATTTCAGTTTTCATTCATGTTTTGTCTGCGAGATCATGTTTGGTTTATCTTCACTTGTGCTTGTGTTGTTAGGCTATTTTTCTGTAAGCTGTGCCCATTTTGGTATTTAATTATGACTATATATGGCAGTGCAACAATTTTATTGGTCACAGGGAATCAGCTAGCCTGTGATTGATTATTTTAGTTTTTCATTACTAGCTAAAAGAAAGAATAAACAAACATTGTATTTGGGAAATAGTATCCTTTTAGGATCAATTTAAATTACCCTTTTGAGAAGATACTCATATGATTCAAATACACATTTTTGTGGACCCCTGCTCGTGCTAATATAGTTCAGGTCCTCACATTTCATTGTATTGTGATCACCTTTCTAGCAGTTTTATGCCCCCTGCGCTTGAAAGATAAGTGGGGGGCATATTGGTTTAGTTTATCTGTTGTGAACCTTAACCTTGTCCATAACTATTGCACATTAAGAGGCAGGACTTTCATATTTGGCATGTGATTTCCTTGTGATAAGACCAAAATTTCTGACCATGTGACTCTGAAAGTGACCTTTGACTTACATTTGAAAGTTTTGAACCATAACTATTGCACAGTAAAAGGTGGAGCTTTCATATTTTGCAGATATGTTCTTTAAGACAGGAGTTTTCAAGTGGTACCAAAATATCTGACCATGTGAACTTGACTGACCTTTGACCAATTTTTGGAAAATGTTGGCATTTGCCATAACTATTGCATCAGAAGAGGTGTTGCTGTTATATATGGCAGTTGTGTTGGTTGTGAAAAGGCCTATCCAGTGGGACCAAAATTATTCACCATTTGACCTTGACCATGACATTTGACCTTCATTTGAAAAACTTCTACATTGGCCTTAACTATTGTACTTTAGGTAGGCTTCATTATTATGTTTCCGGAAGGGAGAACACATAGTCACCGCTTTGTCTGTCTGTCATAATTTTGTCCAGAGCTGAACACAAAAACTATAGAAGGTATTAACATGAAACTTCATAGGTAGATATATCTCAACAAGGAGAAGTGCAGTGAATGAGAACTATCACTCTCTTATGCATCATTTCTGAGTTATTGCTCTGTTATTTTTCATACTTAAATTTTGTCTGGAGTCTCGGGAATCAACAGGAAGCTTATTACACTAAAACTATAAGAGGTATCAACATGAAACTTCGTGGGTAGATAGATCTCAACAAGGAGAAGTGCAGTGCACTAGAAGTATAACTCTCTTATTGTCCTTTGTAATTTTTCATACTTAAATTTTGGCCCAATCAGGGAGCATGTCCAGTCTCTGACGGCTCTTGTTTTACAGAGTTATGCCCCTTGAAATTCGAAATTGAATTGTTTCTTCTTTTTGTTCATTAACTCTGCAACAGGTGCACATATTGAACAATTTGCAGTTTTGCATAAAACCACATTTTTTGCATGTGTGTAAGATCTACATGGTGGTTTGCCTCAGAGGTGATGTAGAAGACTTTCAATTCTTAAATGGAGTTTCAGTCCTTGAGCGAGTTAACACTACATTTATGGCAAGTTGTGATTACTAGTATTTGGCTTTACATAGCTTCTAATCCCATCATTTGCTGATCTCGGTTTCTTTACACAGCACAATTTTAACATCCCTCTTCAAAGTTTTGTTGCAATCAGGGCATAGTGTTTCATAAATACATTATTTTTTGCTCCACACTATTACTTTACATAACTTACCATAATAAGTGTCCTTTTAGATAAAGAATGGCTTCAATATTGATTTTGTTTCACATTTGTTACATTTAAATGCTTATATTCCATTTCATTATAAACCTATCTGAAAGAAAATGTCTGAAACTGTGTAATTGGATGAGGAAGTGTTATCTAGTCTGTCTTGGTGTAGTGATGCTTGTGGGGATAAGAAGTTCAGCAGGAGCCAACATATCTCAATAAAAGTTATTTGTTAATGAATGTGTTGTTATGTTATTACTTTAAGATGTTATTAGATTGTATTATTTCGTCACTAAGTATGACTTTAGTATCTTATATGTAGGTCTCGTCCAACAGTCGAAAAATTTTAAGACTGCCGTATCTCTCCGACTACAAATCCATACCTGGTGATACTCCCACAACTATGGTAGTTGTAGTGGAAATGCCAATTAAAGATGTCAATACCTTTAATACACTGTATATATATTGCCTCCTTAGGTTTACTGAACGATAAATACAGTAATTGACAGCACCAATCAAAGAGCAGTATTCAACCAAAGTTTGGTGGTGCCATCCTTAGTCTAGGCAGACTTCTAGTAGCACAAGATCCCTCTGTGGCTTTTCAAAAAAGAGAAGGCGTGATAACGCCGGTCCAAGGGTCTAGGGATAGTGTCATACTACACAATTTTTTATAAGGTATTAGACGGACTTCAAAATTACCCTTACACGAACCGAATCTAGATGTGCCCCCAACTTTCAGCTTATGGACATGTTTCAACTGCTGAAGTTAGGATAAGGCACTTTGAGGTCCTGGAGCCGTCTTCAAAACTAATATAATCAAACGATCACCCTTACAGACAGTTCTATCCCACTGAGGGGGATGTAGGTCACACCCTCGTGTTGCCAGAACACTGACCTTCGTCGGTGAGACATTACCGGGACACGGGAGGAGTCACGAAGACGGAAAACCTGTCGACTAACCAGCCAAGCATGCGCAGGAGTAGTTTAAACGTTTGGATATTATGGTTATTATTACAAACACTAAATGATTAATCCAAGGCACTCGAGTTTCGCATTGCAGTTCTTGCCTGTCGATTGTACAAGAATGTTTTTCGTTACCTGAGATGGCGTTATGTGGTCTTGCTAGTGGATGGTACGAACCTGTATTGTGTTCTCACATGTGGGAGAGTGTATGACGGTGTTACTCATGGATGTTCGCAGTTCACTTCATTTGCACGAGGTTCACTTCCCTTCATCAGTCCATGCAAGCAACAAAATAGACAGTCAATCCTTAAATATTGTTCTTACCTGTGGATTGTTAGAGAATGTATTGTTCTTATTTACGGATGTGAGAGAGTGTATGACGGTGTTACTCATGGATGTTCAAGGTTATATTGTACTTACCTATGGATTGTTAGAAAATGGATTGTGTTCTTGCTTATGGATGTGAGAGAGTGTATGGTGGTGTTACTCATGGATGTTCAAGGTTATATTGTTCTTACCTGTGGATTGTTAGAGAATGGATTGTGTTCTTGCTTATGGATGTGAGAGAGTGTATGGTGGTGTTACTCATGGATGTTCAAGGTTATATTGTTCTCACCTGTGGATTGTTAGAGAATGTCTTGTTCTTAATTATGGATGTGAGAGAGTGTATGGTGGTGTTCCCTGTGGATGTTCAGGGTTATATTGTTCTTACCTGTGGATTGTTTAAGAGTGTGTTGATCTTACCTTTGGATGTACGAGAATGTATCGTGTTTGTTGCCCGTGAATTGTCCGCGAGCGTGTTCTGTTCTTAAACAGCTTGTGGTTTGTACGAGAGTGCCTGAATAGTACGAGAGTGTTTTTACCAGTTGATTTCATGAGTGTTGAATTATGTAAGTGGACTGTACGAGATTGTATAGTGTTGTTCCCAGTGGATTGTGTTAGTGTATTACGTTCTTACACGTGTAGTATACGAGAGTGCATTGTGTTCTTACAATGTACCTGTAAATCGTGCACGAGTGTCTTGCGTTCTTACCGTTGGGTCGCACAAAACTTCGTAATGTAAAATCTTATTGACTAAGACAGTTGTTTTGTGACAAGGTTTTTTTCAGGATTATTGAAACAATAATTTTTCCCTTGGACTGAAATCAAATTTCTAACATGACATGTTTACTATCTACAAACGGAACACAAAGAAGAGTGAAGGTAAGAAACGACATTTACTTTTTTCGATTATGAATGCATCACAATACATGCTTTACCGTAACACTATACAGAAAACAATGGACTTTAATACTGCAACATATTGAGCAATACTCTGTAACAGGTAACAATAGCCAAAACTATATAACGTACATCAAATAAATATAACAATAAACATTGTAATACTGATCGGTACTGGACACTTAGACACAAAATCCTATACAGTCCATATATGGATGTGTACTCAAAACTATACAGATGATGGTCTCCACAGAGACGCCTTGTGGGGAGGAAAATTACCGCATTGGAGAAAGTCTTTGTCACACTTTCAGCATTATCTTTCTTTTAAAGTTTTTTCTACTCCTAGGGAAACAAAGTTTCATTCCATGGTGGATGGTAGTAACGGATAAAGCGAGAATAAACAAATAGGACGATGTGAGATGTGGAACAGAGGCTGTGAAATCACCGCATTATACACCAGTTATTCTGTTCAAGCCCCTGTCTCGTTTCCAGGCCGTACGTGGACGTGGCTGAAATGGCAAACAAAAAAGTGGTAAGATACTTGCATCACATACATCAAATTCTTATAAAAACTATATCTATATGATTGATTTGAATCACAGATTTATGCAAGGCCAATACATTAGGTAAGGTCCTTAATCACGTTAAAATAACACTACTGAAAAGTATAGGGTGATCTGAATTGTTGTAAATTAGCTATGTCATAGATTTATAAGCATATGGCGTTCGTTCTTAATTAGCTATGTCATAGATTTATAAGCATATGGCGTTCGTTCTAAATTAGCTATGTCATAGATTTATAAGCATATGGCGCTCTTTTTCCTTTAACTTTTTAAAAATTAATTTTTGACAATAAATATTAAAATGATAAAACATGTATCTTACTGACTCGATGAATTTAAGCTAAAATATGAGACTGTGGTATTAATAAAACCAAAAGTGTATTATCAAACTCAACGTTCTAAAATAGTTTGTTGACAATGTACAAAACAGTAGCAAAATGATGGATGGATATTTCGTGGAATTGATTCACACAGTCGTGAAGGTTAAAGGTTAGAATGCCTGTCAAAATAAACCAATTAAACACTGCGTCAATCGGGTGTAACTCGAGCAGGTGAAAGTACATACAGGTATGCATATGTATTCATGTAAAATATTGAACACAATTGCATTCCACTATCGGTGACTGTGAAATCACGAGTTCGTTAACACTGAACGCTTGGAATTCTCCATATGGTAATCCTTGAATATAAACATTCTTAGTTTCCAAAGGTGTCTCGGCAACATGAACGCAAATCCATTTTAACATTGAGTGAGGTTGATAAATGGTTTACGAATTGGGAATGATAAATTAAACCCAGTGAAAATTAGTCATGATGAAATGTGTTCACATTATGTCAGAATAATTTCCAAGCGTTCTGTTATATAGCTCGACTTACCATCTTAGTAAAAGTCATGAAATATATCTTCCAATCAGATTGTATCATTACTTTTTTATCTTCATTTTACAGAAGTAAATCGAGCTACATATTATAGTCTTTCAAAAATTTTATTCAAGCCAAAAATACAGGTTCACATGTAATATATAATGCGGGCAAAACAAATATTGAAAAAAATATAGCGTTTTTGTAGTTATACCTGTACCTCGTTCAATTTCTGATACCATCGGGATCAAAGGCAGGCATAACTATAGAGAAACACGTGACGTCATGGTTACTCAAACAACAACCACGTGGTATTAATTCTCACCAATATCGGTGCAAACAAGACATGATTTGAATGGAGGTAAACAATACATATTACAGTTTAAACATATTTGGTTATGCTTCATAAAGACGCTACTTCATCCGTTATATTCTTGCAATGCCAGGCCCGTGCAATATAACCTAGATCTCCCATAACACTGACGTTTGAAAACGACAGTTATCGAGTACGTTTTGTTTCGGCACACATTGACCAAATTGATTTATTAAGGAAAACAATGTCCATTACTTTCTACCGCGGTCATCGCCATGCAATCATAACAACAAAGCGGGTACATGCATGCTGTGTTATAGATAATGAAGTATAATTCATTTAACATTAGAACACATATTATACGTATAAACAAGTACCATTTACACATCAAATACACACTTTACGAACACGTGCATGTTCATTGTAAATTGTTTAAAATCCTGATACAGTCTACGTAGTTGCACATATCAAGGACGACTGTGAACTCCATATTCAAATACGCATTTTTTACTAAAAATAAATTAAATTGGACCTTAATTTCAAGGGAAAAAAGAAGGGTAGGGGAGGTATCAGTGAAAGTGATTAATGTTCCTCAAAAATGCCATTATTGGACACAAAATTTTAACACTGCAATAACTCTATATTTAAGGGGTTACGGGCCCTAACATTGGTACACTGCACATTTGCATTAGTCTTAACATGACCAATGTATACACCACGTTTCATTATCCTAGCTTAGTTTCAAGTAAAGTTGGGCTCTGGACAAGATATTTTCAACAAATGGCTATAACTCTGTAATTGACTATATTGTCTTAGTATGGTCGACGTATACACCAAGTTTCATTATCCTCCCTTAACTCTGGTCAAGGTTATATGCCCCGGTCAAGAAATATTCAGCAAAGGGCAATAACTATAATTAACAAAGGGCAAAGGGCAATAACTATAATTGAGGAGTCGAGGGCATTGAACGTGGTACATTGCACATTGTTTAATATGATCAATGTATTCTCCAGTTTTCATTTTCTTTGCTTAAAAGTAACCAATTTAATGTTGTGCTCTAGACAAAAAATAACAAAGGCAATAACTCTCTAATTAAGGGATTGTGGTCCCTGAATTTGGTACACTGCACATGGTCTTAGCATAGTTAATGTACACACCAAGTTTCATTATCCTTGCTTATAAGCAAACACGAAATTTCAACAAGGTGCAGTAACTCTGTAATTTAGGAGTCGAGAGTTAAATTTGGTACGCTGCACATCGCTTTATCATGACCAATGTATGCACCAAGTTTCATAATCCTTGCTTAACTGAACTGTGGGCAACGTTATGCATCGGACTCGAAAACACGGGCGGTCCGACATGACGAAAATATCCAGGGAGCTTAGAAGATTATGCTGTAGAATATATCATATGATCATGATGCCATTTTATGAGATAATATATATTTCACAGAAAATGTCGTGAAACCTATCTCTATAGTATATAATTATCAAACATGTTTAGCTGAAATAACTGAGACATCATCACATTTCCCTTTCTATTAAACAAACAAAAACACCAATAATCTTCATTTCAACACCAATTAGAATGTCTAATAAACGTAACTATTCAAAACGTATCAACCCATTTGGAATGTAAAATGAACGAAACTTATCAAATCGGATACAAACGTATCAAACATTTAATTTCAGGCGATTCCGGTAGGTTCTACATATCCCTTCTGAGTCACAGTCATCTGTGATACATACAGGATTTAATTATAATGATAATTTACTCATGCACCTTGTTACTGATGATAAATCATATAGTACCGTTTATTCTATTGGCTGAATTCCTCTCTCTGCGCATGCTTGTCATACCACCGCTGCCGATTCCTTGGAATCGCATATTGGCGCCATCCAGTCTCGGGGCCTCGTTTTGCACCAGATGACCCCCAGGAACAACATCCATGTTGATCGTGTCCGTGTTTCGTCTTTGACCTTATGGAATATATGACATTCAGAAAATAATTGGAAAATAGGTAACATGGGGCACTAAGGAAAGCTTTTTTGACACGAACTCTTTAAATCATTATTTCCCACCGAATGTTTGAAATGTGAGCGAGTTCAAAGTGATCTAGCACATTTTCATATAATATTTGCAATTCTTTCTTCAATATTAGATCAGATGAATTTCCTCCGCCGTTCGCCTGTAGGTAGCGCCTATATTATATCAATTATCCAATGCTGTCAATGATTTTTAAATTATCCTAGAATAGCATACCATCCACAAAGACAATCCTGGCTCCTCCTGCCTGCAGCACTTCTTTCACGTGACGCCAGCTTCCACCGGCCCGACCCATACGTAGCCTGGAAATACATATCCTTTACAGTTATATCAAGTGTCCCTTGAACAAATTACGTATCGAATTCAGAAGAACCTGCGATTATGTAAAGAATTATAAAACAAAACAATAAAATCTCATTTTCCGAAACTAAAATTCTATTTATGTGGATCTCAGGATTTTGGAAACTGGAACATAGTTGATGCCAAGGATTCCGGTGTTCACAAAATCGGTCGTACCTTGGGGGGCCAAAGTTTGGATGACTCTTGTTCGGCCATTGTTTGCTAATAGCACGGAACGCCTTGTGGAAGTCGTCATAGCCATTGTCCTCAGCGAACCGGGTGTGGGGTGGTACACCCTCCTCTATCTACAACACATAGGACATAGATCAAATACAGAGGTCACGGTCATTAACACTCCTCTTTTTACAGCACATACGACATAGGTCAGATACAGAAGCCAAGGGAACCAGAGCAGAATACTTCGTGGGCTATATGCGGCGGACATCATGGCGGATGGAAAATTTCCGCACGGAAGACTTTTAATATCTATTTCGTCAACTGTATAACGGCACACTTTTCTTGTAGGCCGCATTTTGTACTTACATTGTATTTGATGGTTCTGTGCATTTCCAATAATTTGATAGTTGTATATCTGTACTCTCAAACCCGCACCCAGTTATGTTTTTATGGGTTGGAACACGCTCCCTTACAGACGAAATTAATACATTAGAATTACTGGGAAACCTAAATGAAATAATGAACAAAACTTTGGACTCTTTCCTGAACTTCAAGAGTGAATTGAAGTGCTAACCTCACTACCACAGTAGTTTTCTTGAGTGTCCCATAACAGTTACAAACAACATGGAACAGAACCGAAGGACAACTCAACTTGGAAGTTTATCAAGGTGAGGAAATTATATTAGTAGCACGAACCAAACAACGATCGGAGCGTCATAAATAATAAATTCCTAAATCCATGGCCACCTATATCAGAAATATCAGATACCGATACGGTTTTAGGAAAGGTGATAGATAAATGCCCTGATCAAATGGATGGTAGAACTAGACTATAGAAGCAGTGTTAATATATCTATTTGGACTTTGAAATGACCTTTGACCCAGTCCTGCGCCAAACATTATTGGCTAGACTAAAGGGATACGTTATAACTGACCAAATCCTTGGTTAGATACGGAACTTCTTAAAAAATAAAGAGAGTCAAGATAAATGGTAAAACATCATGCTGAACAGGTGTTCTGAGTGATAACCCACAGGGTAACGTACACGGACCGGTACGTTTTCTTATATATATATCTGAATGACCTAACGGCAGTAGTAGAAAAGACCTAATCTTTTTGCTGGTGACACCAAACTCTACAGACTGGTGAACAATGCTTTACAAAATGATATGATAGTTGAAATTCAACAAGGAAATATGTTAGCATATCCATCTGAACTCTTCAGATTTAAAATGGGTCATACCATTATCAGCGGAAAAAGATCGAAGGGTTACCATTGACAACATGGCATATGACCTAAAAAGGTTCATCAGATTCTAGGTGCCATCCGGACAGCATTTAAACATAAAGGGAAATGCATGTTCCTTCACCTGTACAAGACCTTCGTGTGTCCCGTAACTGGTATGTAATGACCGAAAATTATTGTATCTTGAAAAATTGCAACGACGACCTAAAAAAAACTTTAAAACTTGAAAAAAACGGTATAAACTACACTGACAGCCCAATTAGTCTAGGCTTGCCATCTCCAGAATGTAGACGTTTAAGAGCTGGTGTTCTAGAAGATAAATGTGATAAAAATGAACTGTTTTAATTAAACAATAGGTCAATAATACGTTGCAATTCATATAAACTTATCAAAAATCAGTGGTCTCGCATTGGGTAAACATTGAGTGGAACAAACGACAAGTAGTCTCGGTCGAAAACTTCAAAAACCGACTGAATACATTATGGAAATGCAAAACCTACCGGAACCTATAGCCAATGACGAATATAGAGTCTAGTGGTCTAGACATAAGACCCTTAGACAGGTAGCCGGTAGCACACAGGACAAAATGTCAAAACAATGTGTGGGGCGATATCTGCAGCACACAGAACATAGATCAAGCCAAACAATACGGCAAAGTGGGACGGTCTGTCAACACAATAATGTAATGCACGGACATTGTAGAATTAGCTGTCCGTCAACACAATAATGTTACAAATGGGACGGTGGTAAATCTGTCAATCAGCACATTGAGTTAATACGTGACCAGACAGTAGCCTTAACGGCCCATCGACACAAGTTCTGTAAGATACTGGTAATTTGAGGTTGTACGATAGTCTTTAAGGTCCATAATTCGTTAAAGTTTTAACAGTCCGTCATGGGATCAGGGGAGAGAATGCTGATTGTCAGTCAACGCCATTAAATCATACAGCACCACAAAAAGTGTAGGAGGAATATGACAGAAAATGAGTCCAAATGTTCGACGAAGTCGATGTCAGCTGGCAGATCTTTGGTGTTGCCAAAGTAGAAAAACCAAATCGTACAGGGACAAACCGGCAATATCTTTTCTCCCAAATACACTTGAGAATTCTATACAGATCGTTGTTATTGTATGTTAAATGAATAGCTGTCCTGGCTATCGATTTGTAGTTACATGTTTGTTATAGAGAAGTGATTATAGGATCTGGGAGGTTATTGTGACATGACTATATTGGTACCGTTCTCTATCACCAATAATGATATACGTTTGATCTATAGATTCCATTGCCGTCGGTATTGTGGGCTACCCGACACCGCTCTACAACAAAGCATTAGTTCTGGTGTGTCAGTCGATCCGAGTATCCACAAAGGACCTGTCAGGACCCGGTCAATGTTAGAGGGGTAGATTTATGTCCCGGTAAAAAATCTGCTGATATAGCGTTTCAAACCAAGATTTCTGTGATCAAGCCGGTGTTTATATTCTATATTATCATATGCCATACATGCATTTCACATCCTTGGTTTTATTTAATAATGGCTAGTGTGTGTAAGCATGTGAGGCAACTAATGTGTGACATAGGTAGAAGTGTATTGTGTATTTGCTGTGAAGGCGTAACTGTCTCCGTTGTATCTCTTTCCAGCGACTTTATGATGGAAATTCTGGGTCGGTCGGGACACGTTTACCCATTTCCCTTTTCATTTGATGTAATTTAATTTAAAGATCAAAATAAAATCTTTAATTCCATTTGATAGTGGATTTTATCAAGTTGATATAAGCAATGGAAGAAACATCCACATAAGAATACCGATTGGATTATACTTACGGCGGCGGCCTGTGCGTACCCCTTGGGAGACGACTGGTCCATGTAAGGATTCTGTGAGCGTGCCACCTTTTTGCCGTACACGGCACTTTGGATTTCCATGTCGGCACGTGTCCCTTTAGTGGGCTGGGCCATCCATTGCGACATTAGTGCATAATTTGTCCTGAAACGAAACAACAACAGATATATACAACATGATCATCAATTTGTTGAAAGAAGGAGACTTCATAAAAACAAAAAATGGCGGATATGGGGACAAAATCTCTGATATCAAATACGGTACAACGAAAGTTAACGCCAATATTAAACCTTCACTTTATGTGTGTTGTTTTACATAATTTCCACGACTTTCTGCAACTCCGTTCCGTGTGACTTGGCGACATCGATATGATGATGAGGCGACTAATTGTGGGGCATTCCCTAAAGGTCACAAGTGGTCTCTCTATATCTTCTGTTAAAGAAACACCGGAGAGCCCGTGACTACGGCCTGTTTTATTCGTTGTATTGTAAGAGGCGACTTAAAGTTCCTCCATCGCTACATAATCAGGAATTTTCTTTCGTGTCCTCCACAGATGGGTGAAAATAGACCTGCTGCCCCATTTTCGCCACCGGGGTCTTGCTTTCCCCTTTATTTCCTGTTCGTGGATTTATTTTGAATTGGTCAAATAAACCATCAGACTGGTTTCGACTCAGTGTTGAGATTGTGATGCACGCCAATTCTCATTGACTACAACCAAAAATCTTCGGATGTTTGGATGTAGTGAAAGTATAGAAAATCGTTCACCTATCAATGGTTAACATTTCGATTGCGAATGTTTTAACGCCATCTTGCTGAAGTGCAAGAGTTGATATTTCAGGACCATTTTCCCGTTTAGCCTGATGGTATGGCGATCGCTTCAGACAGAGGGAGTTCGCGATGGTCGGAGTCCTAGCGAGGGTATGGTATTTTTATATAGCTCCACCTACCTTTACAGACAACACATTCGCACTCCGTATGAGTGAATTCCCCCCTATTCCCCCGTGTAGTTGTGTATCTTCCCGCAACAATTTGTCACGTCTCAAAACAAAAGCTATCACTCGGTAACGTGACAATAGAGTGACGTCACAATCAAAAATATCAACAGCTCGCAATACTTGACGTGATGACATGTTATCTGATGTTGACACGCCCAGTTTACCCCAACATACCTGTGCTAAATAGTAGGAACTCAATAACATATTCCGTGTACCTTGGGTTATGCTATACGATTTGATATGATTTCTGGGACTTGGCATTGGCATTTTGAACATAATTACCCAGGTGGAAACCTCGCTCTTCAGACACTTCATTCGAGCAAAGCGGTAAACAAATCACAAGGATATAATTTATAGTTCAGAACTAACCATGACGTTTTCGGACAACCAATTGTCTAGACTTCAAATCCTCGACTATTCATAAGTCTTACTAGGACGCTTCCAATTCTAGAGATCAGGACGAATTCTTCACGAGCCATCTAAGCAGGGCCGGACCAGGTCTATAGACTTGCGGAATTCTAGATACATGTTTCAGTGGTGTTTGTGATGGTAGTCGTTTATGCAGCACTATGTATTCTGTGCACTATTACGAAGAAACAGAGACGTATATATCACAGTGTGATATATACGTCTCTGGAAGAAATAACCACAAATTTAGATCTAAATCCGTGGTATAACCGAATCTCATGGTCCACTTTCTACGTATTCCTCACAGGCCTTTAGTTTAGTGTGAATGAAAATATTTTTGCAGGTTTGGACGCTGAAAAGGAGGTAAATTCATCCTGCCGATTTGGATCCATACGGCTTGTGCTCTATAGCACAGATAAACACAGGATTTGGTATTTTTATGTATTACACTATATGAAGCCCTGTTAAATTTGTGCCTCACAGATTATAATAACACGACGTCATCAAAGGCGGCTTTGATTAAGATTATAACACCGAGTCCATACTACCCTACGCCATCTGGCACTTGATTAAGTCATAAGATAGTTCAATAAAACATATTGTGATTTATATTTGTAAATTTATATAACTAAAATGGTTTTCATTTGGTGTTTAAAACGGTATGTTATCCTGCAGGATTCTAAAACCTCGACAGGTATATTGTTTATTTGTCACGTCTGTCCACAATCCTCGCCAGAGATCGTGATCACAAACCCCTGGAATTTCGAGGATGTCGCCCCACAAAAACACAGTGATCGATGCGCATTCCAATTGGTCAGCAATTAATTACAACATTCCGAAAGCATAACGCCACCTCTAAAACCAAATAAATTTGAACATAACCAAAAGTAAATTATTTTATGTAACTATGTGGCTATCAGAAACTACGGAATGAAATATCAATCGTAGTCAAGTAAAAGTGGCTTTGAAACCGATAGTACAGGGACCTGTCAACAAATTACAGCAATGTGTTACAATGTCTCCTGATAATAGTACAGGGACCTGTCAACAAATTACAGCAACGTGTTACAATGTCTCCGGATGATAGCACAGGGGCCTGTCAACAAATTACAGCAATGTGTTACAATGTCTCCTGATAATAGTACAGGGACCTGTCAACAAATTACAGCAATGTGTTACAATGTCTCCGGATGATAGCACATGGGCCTGTCAACAAATTACAGCAATGTGTTACAATGTCTCCGGATGATAGCACATGGGCCTGTCAACAAATTACAGCAATGTGTTACAATGTCTCCAGATACGTAGATAGTAAACTAAATAGGATGTTTTTACACGTTTACATCAACACCTAGTAAATTAATTGTACTATTTATAGATAATTTTACTTATCTACGTCTATGTTTATCATTACCTCCTGTATATCAGGAAAAATTCTTTATCTGTAATGTGTTCCCTGGTCCCTCTGACATTACTTATATCGTCGCTAATGACTTATTTATAAAAACACTAGATCTCACACTGATAAAACTGCTGGTGCTATCCGCCCCGTACTCCTGTAGACAGGGGTCACTGAAACACACTGAATATATTACAGCGTGTAGACGGGCAATTTGGCAAACAGCAAACTACATATTTAATTAATTATTATTCACATTTACAAACAGTTAATCTTGACTTTTGAAAACCATCAAATTAAAGCACTGCAGATTAAAATACGGAGATTGCTGGCAAGTGTGAATATTTATTTGCCAAATTTCTACCCTAGCAAAGTTTAATGAATTTGTCAACTGCACAATATGTCTATATTTTCTGCTCACATAAAATCATGGGAAAAAACACCATAACGTTACTGTGAGGTATGGGTAAACCTTAAGTTATAAAGTGTCAACAGTACAAGTCGGTAGCATACCTTGTAGTTTTTAAATCAATCCCAATATACTGACTCCTGTTTGGATGAGAATACCACAGCGATACACAGTAAATTTTACATTACAAAGACTGCTTCACATTAAAGAAAATCCCTTAACATATGAATAATATTAGAAGTTCAGTCATGAATCTGAAGTCTTTTTAATAGAAAAAAAAAATCGTCCTGTAAGAATTGTCGTCAACATTAGACCGAGTTTACACTGGTGAAAGAGAATGATTTAAAAGGCATAACAAATAATAACGAGAGTGCATTATTGATCCACCAGTCGAGGTAAAGACATTTATTTAATCCACCCTACCGTTTGTGCTCCATAGTCTACCGTGTGTACTAAAAACTGAGCTCGGTACGGACTTACCCTAACCTACCGTGTGTACTTGTAACTGACCTAGGTAAGCATGTAACTTTCCTCGGTAATGACTTTCCCAAGCTACCGTGTGTACTTGTAACAGACCTCGGTAGGGACTTACTCTAGCCTACCGTGTGTACTTGTAACTGACCTAGGTACGGATTAACTTTACTTTACCGTGTGTACTTGTAACTGACCTCAGTAAGGACTTACCCTAGCCTACCGTGTGTACTTGTAACTGCCATCGGTAAGGATTAACCCCACCCTACCGTGTGCACTTGTAACTGACCTCGGTAAGGACTTACCCTAACCTACCGTGTGTACTTGTAACTGACCTCGATAAGGACTTTCCCTACCATACCGCTCGTTCTTGTTAATGTCATCTGTATGGACTTCCAGCTGTCCTCGGTGAGGACTTTCTCCACCCTGTCGTGTGTATTTGTAATGTCATCTGTATGGACTTCCAGCTGTCCTCGGTGAGGACTTTCTCCACCCTGTCGTGTGTATTTGTAACTGTCCCCTGTATGGACTTTCAACCGTCCTCGGTGAGGACTTTCTGTACCCTGTCGTGTGTATTTGTAACTGTCCCCTGTATGGACTTTCAACCGTCCTCGATGAGGACTTTCTGTACCCTGTCGTGTGTATTTGTAACTGTCCTCTTTATTGACTTTCAACCGTCCTCGGTGAGGACTTTCTCTACCCTATCTTGTGAATAAGTAATTGTCCTTTGTAAGGAAGTTCGATACCCTATTATGTTTACATCGAGTGGAATCGCGTTCAAAATTAATATATATCTAATGCTCCTTTTTTAATATGTACGTGCATAATGATTTTTTGAGTTTTCAAATTTGTCTGTATGAAAAATATGTGTACGACATTTTGACACAGACAGTATAAAAATCAATCTTCACTAAAACCCGATATGTAATATTTCTATACCGGTATTATCAATATTTATTATTTCATCAGTCAGTAGTGGTATTATAGTGTCGCGATACTGTGGGTATGGCAGTGACAACTATGGTATTTTATAATTTATGTGCTAATTTCATAGTCGCTCTCTACACGTATTGATCAGTATAAACTACATGTCTGTGTAGTATTCTTTATCAGCCTACGTGTTACATTTCCTATACACACCACATCAGCAGCTTATTACCTGTATTGTTTTATCGTACCTGTGTTAATTAGGTTAAAAACCGTACTTGTTACAGAGTGTTAGTACATGTTTAAGGCTATTGGTAAGTAATACACTATCGCTAAATGTGCAAGTATCAGGATATGTATAAATGTGTACTCACCGAAAACGGTTGTCAGGACGACTAGGCCTGTAGGTAAATTTCTTGAAATCCATAGACATTTTGGTTCCGTTTATAGTAACTCCTTGTTTAGATTAGATATTGCTGTTTGATCTGAGCCCGACGTTATATGTTATCACTACACCAAAACGTATCTGTCATACTCCCCGGAGTGTCACCTCCATATCTCAGGTGTGTCCTGATATTAATTAGTAATTACAGGTGCAAAATTAATTAACAGCAGGTGGAAACTGTCTGTTATTGTTTTACATTGTTACACCTGCCACTTTCACCGTTAAAGTTCCGAGACTACCCGAACTAAGTCCCTACCAACCAATGGCAGTGTCCTGAGAAACATTAACGACACGGGTAGATTGGGAACGATAAGTAAGCGTACGAGTGACTAAGCTGGCATTATAGGTATATCATAGTGTCGGATCACAGCTATATAATTCGTATTGTACACCTATAAATGTATATCACAGTCAATTTATAGGGGAACAAAGGATTCGACAGCCCAATATTCGTGTCTAGATCACTCAAGCGAAAACCGTGACATACACTATACAGAATAGGATATAGTTGACTAACGATTTTTCTTCAGTAGAATTAGAAAATATGAGTTAGTATAATTAATTTTGTATTGTATCGGTCCGGTTATCAAACGGTGGCTATCTTGGTAAGTAACATAAAAAACAACAACAGTATAACAGACGGTTTATCACTCCGTCAACAGCCAGTGTCATTTGAGGCGGTGACTCGTTGTAGTGTCGAAAAAAGCCTGCTGGTGACTTTGTCGCTGAACAACATACGAGAGACTCGTCTCGTGTCAGTCGATTAGGGAAGTGTCTTGTCCAATTATACCATCGTTACAGTCAGTAGTCCGAGTGTAAGGACAGTTGACCTATCGATATAAAGTGTAAATATATCACGAACTGTGCCAATAGTAAATTGGAGCATTGAATTAAGTATGAAATGTACTTTTTGATGTCACTTCTATCCACAAAATAGCAAGGAATTGGATAAATAGCGTCGTATTTGACCAGTTTTAACATAAAAGAGAAAAGTTCACGTGTTTTAACGTTCCGTTACTTATAGCTATTCTGAATTTTTTTAATGAAGTGTTAGGAATGTGCTGTGAGCTTCATTACATGTTTGTATATTAATTCAAATGATTATTTCAGCATGTCACTGATCTCTATTAGTGCCTGGTGATCTATAAAGAATCGTCACTGAAATATTTAATTAAACGTTATACAACTACAGCAATTATTTCCAATAATTCTTTTATGCTATACCGGTGTACAACAACCACGGAAACAGCGGTTACTCCCGAATGAATAGTTGTTTGCGATTGTCTATGCTACAACCGCCTTCAGAGGTGTGACGATTGCAAGTACTAAGAGTTATGTAATTGCTTGCTCAGTCCCCACACAGTCTGAATAAACATTTGCATGTCTGTCTGGCTTGGTCAAATATTAAATCAAAGGGTGTAAACATCAGCATTCTATTGGATTTTCATGTGAGAAAGCAAACATTGTTGTGGTATGACGTGTTTGGTTTACTTACATCATGTCTAATAAACTCAAAGAATCAAGATTTTTGGTGTAATTAAGTATGCCAGCATAACAGGGATGGTTATCCTTTCCGTGAAGTGATACCAGATACTAGTTTGGTAACCTATCTTGTAGGCTGAGGTTAAGGTTGATAACCTATTTGTATATGTTGTAGCTAAGGTTGATAACCTATTTGTATATGTTGTAGCTAAGGTTAATAACCTATTTGAATATGTTGTGGTTAAGGTTGATAACCTATTTGTATATGTTGTAGTTAAAGATGATAACATATTTTGTATGTTGTAGTTAAGGTTGATAATCTGTTTGTATATGTTGTAGTTAAAGTTGATAACCTATTTTGTATGTTGAGGTTATTTGTGAGAACACACTATTAGATATCATGTTCACCGTTGTCTACAAACTACATTTCCTTAGCTATGGTTATGGTTTGAAGCACATTTTTGTACGATATAATTATGGATGAAAACAAATTTTGTTTGCGACAATTAACGTCGAAAATATTTTTGTACGACATTGTTATGGTTGAAAACATTTTGTATCTGACAATTATCGTTAAATATCTACCAATATATGCTATGGCGTTACCTTATCAAAAGTCAGTTGTATATGATCGTCACTTGAACAGCAAACGACGTATGGATATTGCTAATAACCACGTGTTAAGAAATTTAGTCTTTCCTTTGAAACAAGATGAAGATCGAAAATTATAAATACAAGGATTGAAGTATACATTAATCTGGGTAATATGAATGCCAACTGGATGAAGGCTACGTGAACATGGTGCATGTTTGTTCACGCACTTCATTGGATGCGACCTCATCCTGTTGGCATTCATATGCCCATAAACGCTAACGGTAAAGTCAGTAATTTCGTGTGAACACATTTTGTATGTGGTGATTATTGGTAAGAATACATTTTGATTGAAACTTATTTGCCATGGTCAATTATTGATGTGGATGAAAGTGCGTTTTGTATGTAAATTTATTGTTTAATCAGAGTAATACATCATTTTGTTTGTTGTGTTTATCGCCCCGTGAACACACAGAGTCATTTTTAGGCGGGGTCTCCTTGAGGAGGCTGGTGGCTACTTCAGTCATTACAGGAAGTGAGTTTCAAATCTTCACCTAAGGTTACGTATGCCAACGTTCTAACATGCATTGTGTAACAACCTTTTTATTTGAAACTGACAGAGAAATGTGCCAGCATCCCCTTGTCGTCCGGTAGATTCCAACGTCTACAACCATCAGACAATTAACGTTTATTGATAAATGAATTTTTCATCGTCGGCAAATCAATTGCTAACTATATACCTTGTAGACAGTAGGTAGGTGTATCAAACACACAATTCTCTGGATCAATATTCACAGGCATTATTAATTAGTCTGATACCACGAACTTATTTACCTTTATATAAAAATAGCGAATGAACAAATTAAAGTAAATATATCGTAGAAACATTTTCTTTAAACTAAATCATATATATATAATATATGTAATAAACTTCTGGATGACATGGATCCAAACTTCTGAGGAGAATGACGACATTGAAAGCAAACTCCAATATCATAAGCACTTTCGATGAAGTATGAACACAATTTTATCATCTAGTCCAAAGGATCCACGGTCCGCCCATGTATTTTTCTTCCGGTCAAACGATGTATTCAGACAAATAAAAAACAGAGATAAATAAGAATTGGACATGGCAACAAACTTCAGAATACTTCAGATTTTTTTTAGATTAGCATACATCAGTTGTTTATCTTAATATTTCGCAATAACATTGACCGTTTAAGGTAAACCAAGGATGGAAAGTAGGTATAGGTCTCAATTGGCACTAACTTTAGCTGACTCTAAAATGTACCTCTGTATCTTATCAAAAAATGTACCTCTGTATCTTATCAAATAACAGCATTTCATTATGTGGAGACAGATTTGGTCACCATGAATAAACAGTTCAATTGATATTCAAAAAATCTAGTGTTGGATCTGGTTTGATTTAAAATTGAACACTACAGCAAATAATGTTGGGGAATTTTCACCTGACAAACATCTTACACAGATCTGTCATATAGATGTCCATTTGTGTATGTAGTACCTGTGTCCAGAGCTGACCAGCATAGTGGTCCACAGTGGTCCATTATGTTGTCTGTTGACATGATTTTTGAAAGGGATGGAAAATTACTTCTATGGGGTATGACATTCTATCCCCTGCTGGTGGTGGGTAAGAAAGTGCTGGTGAGTGTATATTTCAATTGGTCCTTACTTAAACACTAATGGTTTAGAACACAAGAACTAGGCCATCTTCCGGTCTCAATAGAGGAAATAGAGCTCTCCTCACATAGGATGCCTCAGACCAGAGGTGAAAATCTGTTTGAACAAACCAGCAAAAATTTATCTCAAACGTTAATTTATATTTTCTTCATTATGCTCATCAGCAGATCCCTGCTTTATACACTTTTACAAAAAATTGATCTAGTCCAAGTTCATGTACATATTCTGAACTGATCTGTATAAAAACAGAAACTCGATGACAGAGCATACTTGTCCCTCATTGAGACCAGGTGAGTAAATAGAACTCATAAATGTCAGCAGACTTGAAAGTCCTTTGCTTAAGCATATCTCTGGTCATGTGGTAAAGTAATTGTTTGGCAATTTCATTATGCTTGACCCATGTGATCTTGAAAACAGGTCAAAGTTATTCCGTAAAAAAAAAACCAACAAAAATAACTGTGAAAGCCCCTCCATCCTAGGCTTTTCTACAGATAAGATTTTAGCAGCATCTTTCACCTTGAAAGTCTGTCAGTGTCATTCAGTTGAACAAACTTCATAGACCTTCACCAAAGCATTCTTATGGGTCTTTTGGTTAATCAGAAGAAACAACCTGGACATTTGTTGGTAATTTCTTTATTATTTCTATGTTTGCATTGATAACAGTGACAAAATAATTTCCATCCACCCATTAACAAAGATAAACTTGAGCAATTTTTTATGACACATTCCACTCCTCAACATGTGTACACCTACACATGTTCAATATTTCCTTCATACATATATAGATACACACTGTACACATATGTACATCTACACACATTCTCTACACACATGTTAAGCTATATGTGTGGATCCCTTACATATATGTCCCCTACACATCTGTACATATAAATGTTCACGATTTCCTATATATATGTTAAACTACACATGTGTGCATGCCTTACATTTATGTCCCCTTCACTTGTGTACATCTACACAATAATGCTTTACACATGTAAACAGTTACACACAAGTGTAGAGTCACCCACACATTAATGTTCCCTATGTATAGTATCACCAACACTAAAATTTCCTTAACACATGTACACCTAACAAAATCAATTACTTGTGAGCAAGTGTGTAGCATAATCACATTGCTGATTTCTTTTTATTACAAATAATACTTTAAAGTCATTCTAAAGAAAGCTTGAAAATTTGCTTTCAATTTTGATAAGAAGATCAAACACAAATTTTTTATTGGTATAACAGTTTCATCTCCTTTTATACCAATACAACAAGTTTTTACCATATCTTTTTCTATAAATTTTATATCATCTATCAAATCTTGCTGAATCATTCCAAACATTTTACACATTACACCAAAGACAGGCATGTTTGACCTTTCCCAAGATAACCATAGCAACAAGCAACACAGAGGATGACACTTTGTTTACTCTGTCAAAGGTCAGGAGTGTGAATAAATACAACAGAAAAACATCTAATAAAAAAAACGAAGATACAACTACTCAACAATAGAAAAAACAACAAAGTTCACAGGGTAATAATAATGAAAGTTACGACAAAACTTTCTTCATGTACATACCCAAACTGATTTCCATCAAAAATTAATGATATCACAGTTAATCAAAACAAAATACACCTGTTCCCAACAATTTGTCGGGCAAAAAATTATGACAGGCAGTTATTGAAACAAAATGAAATATTACATTCTCAAATTGTTTCTGTAAATATGACAAATGATATCAAACAAAAGCATTATTTCTGATAAGCTTGTGTCAAAAAAAGGCAATTATAAAACAAAATTAAAAATGTTGATAAAATTTATAAACAAATGTAATTTCATGAGGTCTGGCAAGCAGAGAGATTCAATGCCTAGACGCTGTACTGATGGATCTGGGTTATATATAAGTCTACAATAAGCACACTGGGATTATAGTTTAGCTGAACACATTAGGAAGTTACCAATGGTTTAAAAAAAAAAACTAGATCTATGTGACAATGATAGCTACAATGCTATCAATATACTCCAATGATAAGAGGATAGCTGAGGAGCACAAGCAAACCTGAAAAAAATCATCTACAATGTAATGCTATGTAAGATGTAAGAAACCTGACAATCGTGGCAGTACTCATTTATAGCCAATGACATGTACTTATGTACTAGAATACTTTTATTTTCCATTATTCCAGGCATCCCTACCACACGTTCTCAACCCCTAATACCCATTTTCAAGTACTTTTGAACAATCTGCCTGAATATAATCAATTTTAGAGATTCAATCACCACAAGAATATAGACTTACAATGACCATAGTACACAAAGTCTTGATATTTAATAAAAAACAAAACCACTGTTACTGTAACACTTTGCTGTAAATGTCTGTTAATTTGATATACTCACATTTTTGTACAATAGCACTTCATAAGCTTAATTTATGACGATCACCATACAACTCTGTTATTAAAAGATTATAATTAAAACAGTACAATTAAAGTACCTACATAAGGATTTAAACATTCTTTTGTGACCATACATTGGTAAGAAATGGAACAAAATGAGAGAAATGATTTTAAAAAAAGTGCTATGTCCTTGATGAGAATTCTGAGTTAAACCACCAGTAATCAATTATCAATTCTAATTAGGGTACAAGTAAAATAAACAAACTTACCACCATATTTCTCTTCTAGGTGTAAAAAGCAAGACACATTTATGAAATATGACTAGCTTATTGTCATTTCTCTTGTTAGATATCCACCTTACCCAGATCTCAAAAACCCCAAAATGATATACTGTATAACACCAAATGTTGGTTGTGTTGAAGCATTAGGATGGTTTCACGGATATAGATTCACCACAAAAAATACACAGTAAGGAATACGACTTCTGATTCAAGTATTATGTGTAGATCAAAGAATGTCTATAGCCATGTGGCATCCACCAAGTATTTACTCTCCAAAGGATGCCTTGAGGTTAAATCTTGAAAGTAACCACAAACATTTTGTTATACAGTAGGTTACATAAATACTCCATTATACCTAAGTTTAGTACACACACTATTTCCATTTCCCTAACCCTCAAACAATTGGACTTGACCAATCCCCTAACCCTCAAACAATTGGACTTGACCAATCCCCTAACACTCAAACAATTGGACTTGACCTATCCCCTAACACTCAAACAATTGGACTTGACCTATCCCCTAACCCTCAAACAATTGGACTTGACCAATCCCCTAACCCTCAAACAATTGGACTTGACCTATCCCCTAACCCTCAAACAATTGGACTTGACCAATCCCCTAACCCTCAAACAATTGGACTTGACCTATCCCCTAACCCTCAAACAATTGGACTTGACCAATCCCCTAACCCTCAAACAATTGGACTTGACCTATCCCCTAACCCTCAAACAATTGGACTTGACCAATCCCCTAACCCTCAAACAATTGGACTTGACCTATCCCCTAACCCTCAAACAATTGGACTTGACCTATCTCCTAACCCTCAAACAACTGGACTTGACCTATCCCCTAACCCTCAAACAATTGGACTTGACCTATTCCCTAACCCTCAAACAACTGGACTTGACCTATCCCCTAACCCTCAAACAACTCGACTTGACCTATCCCCTAACCCTCAAACAATTAGACTTGACTTGTCACCTAACCCTCAAACAATTTTGACTTCCTTTGTCCATACCTTACTGAAACCCATACCGCTGGTCAAGCCACATGTACCAGTGTATTACTGTATCATGTGAAGCATACAAGTTCAAGGCTGTATCCAGGTTTCAAACAAATACTGATATGCTTTTGATGTTTACATTAAGTCTGAAACTTCATATTTTTCAGAATATTAAATTTGAGCTATGTTCAACTCTCCCTCTCCCACAAATTGATTCTCACTACAAACAATCTGACATCCAACTACCCCAGTTACACACACATTTTAGATATTTGTACATAAAATATTGACAAAATACATGTACTGGCTTCCTCAACAACATTTCCTGATCAAATTCTGAATGGATATATAAATTAACTAAAATGAAAAAAACAATTACAAGTATGATATTTTTTCTGTTTCATAAGCATCTTGCATATATGTTTGTTCCTGAAACATCTACATTAAACTGATGTATGCCTGTAGTGTAACAATACAGTAGTGACAATTCATTCTTTAGAAAGTCAGACATAAAACTTCACTGAAACAATAATGAATTATTGTATATCACAGATTTAACAAGCAATATATTAACACTAAACAACAATGTAATCATGAAACAGGAAGTGGACGGCATGATGGTATAGCACCTTTACCCTACTAACAAGGATGGAGTCGTAACAAAGCGGAATCTTATTACTACACACATCATCAAAACCAGGGGGAAAACCTGGTCTGAATACCCTCAGAAAACAATGTTACAATGTGTAATCAAAAGTTGATAAAAACTGAGGTGTATAAATTTAATTTCTTGAGAGTTTGCTGTTAAGAATTCTGTAAAACCAAATTGTCCTGTTTTAACATCACATTAACATGTACACAAATATAAATACTGTGATGTACACACAAATATCACCATTAACATTGTAATACTGATGGGGTTGCAAAAGGCCTAGCCTTTGCTAAAATGCCAGAACCATTATGTTTTAAAACATCAAGTTTCCTACAACTTATAATTATAATTAATTTACACCTAACTCACACACAAAATTGCACAGAAAATTAACTATCAAGTATATGACTTGTAGTTACAGAGACAATTATTTTTATGTCAATAATTTAATATTACTTATTAGAATTATTAAACAATGATTGATCAAAATGTATTAAGGTCTCATTTAACATTACTGTGAAGCCAGTATCACAGTGGACACAGGTATGTCCCACTAACAGAACCAGACCATTGTCATCCCTCTGAACAAGGTCAAAGATGTTCCCAATCTCTTTACTACAACATCAGATTACTTGTATCACAAATTGAAATTCTAGATATTTCTATATGTTTATCTCCAGCCATTTTGTAGCATTACTGTTAATTGTTTAAGGTTATAAGTAATTAGGAAAAACAAATATCAAAACGTTGTAGGGAATCAAATATATATTTCTGATAATTTGAAATATGTTATTACTAAAAGGCCATTAAATCAGCTGTTAAGACTGGATTTAGTAACAGATGTATTGTCCAACTGTTTGTGTCATTGAAGACCTGGCCAGCAATCTGTTTCTTTGAAGCCTCGATCTGTTGTAATTATTATCCATTCAGTCTGTGTACTGTGAACTACCAGGCACAAAAGTATATGGCACATACAATATTGGGCCAGCTCTAAGGTCTGATTTCAATATCTACAACAAATAATTAAGCCTCCGATGATTACTGGTCAGAACTGCCCTCCCAGTACAGTGACACAACAGATACTATATACTGAAAAAAGGTTAAGCACCCTTCAAAAGCTTCAGTGTCAAATAATTGCTGCACAACAGATCAAACAGTTGATTTCCTAGCATTGAACACTGCTATGAAACAGAACACCAATGTCACATGTCTTTGTTGTGTGATGTGTTTGACCTGTGTAATCACACATGTCTGTATCAGTCACTCAATGTATGATCATCCCAGGATGTATGTGTTGGGTGCTGTCAAGGTTTCCAGACAGTTCAAAGGTCATGCTCATTAGTGGGCGTCGCCTGAGTGGTGCTGAGGCCACTGACGAAGGTGGTAGTGTAGCAAATTCATCAGCATGCCTGTGGAGAAAGAGAATATATAAACAATTAAATATCAAATGTTTGATATTGGAAGATTCTGTAAAAAACGCCGTAAAATCTTACCACAGGAGAGTAAATTTCATCCACATTGTAAATCTGTAAACAGAGTTTGGAAATCAGTTGTGGGGACTAATTATTATTCAGGAGATTTGTGTCTGGGACCATTTCTTGTCTAAGAAATTGTTTTTGTCTTGTTTTTATACTAATCGTCAATTAGAGTCATTTATGGCTAATTAAGGAAATTTATGTTGCTGATCATTCATTATTTAGAAATCAGTGTTGAGGACCAATCATTATGTAGGGAAGCCTGTGTTGAGGACCATTCATTATTTAGGGAAGTCTGTGTTGAGGACCATTCATTATTTAGAAAATCTGTGTGGAGGTCCATTTATCATTTAGGGAAGTCTGTGTTGAGGAGCATTCATTATTTAGAAATCAGTGCTGAGGACCATTCATTATCTAAAAGTTAATGTTGGGACTATTCATTATTTAGGGAAGTCTGTGTTGAGGACTATTCATTATTTAGGGAAGTCTGTGTTGAGGACTATTCATTATTTAGGGAAATCTGTGTTGAGGACTATTCATTATTTAGGGAAATTTGTGTTGGGTCATTCCTTATTCTAAAAGTTAATGTTGGGACTATTCATTATTTAGGAGAACTGTTTTGGGACCATTCATTATTGCCTAACAAAGCTATAACTACAGATGTTGAGAAAGCAAAGATAATATCTTCTGTATCTCTAAGACAAGTTCTGTTTTGGTTCATTAGAACCCTGCTAAGATTCATATCAACATATCTATATGATGTTAACACCATTTTCATCATATGTGCATCTAGTTATTTATTTCTTTTTCTAATATTCATGTGTCTAGTTTACAAGGATTTTCTAAAAATAGCAAGTTACAACCCTGAATCTTGTAATTGTTATTTTATCCTTTATATGAATGTGAATTTTGATAAAAATCTTTCAAGAAATAAAACGCATGAAGCATTGACAAGGAATTTCTTTAAAAAAAAGTGAGTGGCCTTAACCTTGGCCATTGGACCTTGAAATTTCAACTTGTCTGAAATATAATGGTCCTTTATGAATATTAATTTTGATAAAAACTCTTAAGGAAACAAAGGTTATAGAATTGCTGAGATTTACATCTTTACACTTATAGAGATCTGAGCAGAAAATGTTGCTCGATTGGATTTACAATTGTGTAATCCTACAATACACAAAAATATGAATTCAACAACATAATGTATTTCATTAGTCAATTAGTCTCTGCAGAAAAAGAGAAAACACACCATGCAAACTCACCAAACCTTATCTTCAAATTAATGTTAGGTCACATACAATGTTAAGTGTCCAATATGTATAGAAGTCACTGTGTGTGTAACAGTAACCCTCACCCTTATTGTAATATATACAGCCAGTACATCAGTAAACCTTCAAGTAATTTGCTGAAGACAACAATAACTGAGATCAACTTGAATGTTAAGAGGTCTTTGTGTCTTCCATGTCTATATGTAAACAGTGAGAGTTGTATGGCAGGATTCTATAATTACCAAAAAAGTACAGCAAATTAAAAGACATTTTACAAACATCTATTTTTCACAATTATGATGAGGGTTTTTTACTATTATGTTAAAATAAGATAAGAAATAGTCTCTCTGTACCGTAGTTGCAACAGATTTTTGAATGAACTCAATCCATTGGTCTCTTGTTGTTTATTACTGTGAAATAAGTTTTGTATCTTTAATAGTTTAATAAGTTTTGAACTTTATAAGTTAATGCTACATTACTACAGGTCACTAGGTAAGAAGTTAACACATCTAAACATGATCTTAGACTGTCATAGTATAAGATGAGATTAATGGAGAGGTGTGTAGAGTAAGAAATACAAGATTTTAACCTGATAGCATCTCTCAAGTAATTCATCTTTATTTTGAATTGTGTTAAAAAATTCTACAAATTTTGCTGTAGATTTGTAACATTATATTAACTTAAGACTTTGAAATGTTTACATCTGAAATGTAACTGAGAGTTTAAAAGGACTATTACAACAATGATAATAATAGGGAAAAAATTTCAAAATTCATGAAATATTTCCCTGCCAGTCTACCTACCATACAAAAAGTTAGGTTTATGTAAACACACATTGTATTATAACTGATTGAATGAACACCTAGGCATTCCTTTATTCTAAATTAACCATAAGTTAGGATATAACAATGGTAAACCTTACAACAGGCACCTCAGCTAAACCATGTTTGTACAGTCATAGATTGCAAGTTTTCATATGCATCTGGAAGTCTGAAAGGAAATATAAACCAAATCATGAGGAAATGTGGGTAGGCCTTTAGTAGTATAGAGGTGACACAGTAGGTATCGAGAACTAAGGTACTTAGGGGATTTGTTGTTCCTTCTCTTCCAACAAATGTGAGGTGACACACCCCTATATTGTATGCACTGTCTCATCTTACGTTAGTTATGTAATGAATGGCCAATTTCAATTTATGATAGAATAACAAGTAAGTTATCATATGTCTGTCTCAGTCTGTAGCTAGATGTGTTAGTCCTGGCACCTATATTCCAAATAAGAATTGGTAAAATGTATGTATGACTAATAAATATTGAAAACGTATACACATTTATATCACACTTAACACTGTCACAGTTTTAGTGTGAATCACCTCAATATAAACTGTTAATGTAAATGACTGGACTTGGGATTATCAACATTTATGAATAATGAAAACAAATACAGATGTCAAAAGCATTTAGCTGGACAGGTTGGCCTGGACACTATAGTTGGTCCGGACACTATAGTTGGCCTGGACACTATAGTTGGCCTGGACACTATCGTTGGACACTATTGTTGGCCTTGACACTATAGTTGGTCCGGACACTATCGTTGGCCTGGACACTATTGTTGGCCTTGACACTATAGTTGGTCCGGACACTATAGTTGGCCTGGACACTATAGTTGGTCCGGACACTATAGTTGACCTGGACACTATAGTTGGTCCGGACACTATGGTTTGCCATAGACACTATGATTGCCATGGACACTATGGTTTGCCATGGACACTATGATTGCCATGGACACTATGGTTGCAGGTTTGGACAACATAATTGGCCAGGACTGTATGGTTAGGTCTGGATACTAATTTACTATGGTTAACCTGGACACTATGGCTGGTCTTGACACTACAGTTGGTCTAGACACTATGATTCATCTGGACACTAATGTTGGCCTGGATATTAATTTACTACGGTTAGCCTGGACACATTTGCTGGTCTGTAGACTATGTCAGGTTATAAACAATGGCCTGGATACAAAGTAACTATGGTTGGCCTGGACACTTTTGTTCATCTGGATACTATGGCAGTGTTACAGCAGTACAACAGTGGTCATGTGATGGTCAGCTGACAGACATGTGACCAAATACATGAAAATATTGCTGACAATTTTGTGAAGCAAGTGATTAAATGCAGGAAAAATGCAAACACAGAATCATGGCTCTCAAAATGATGGCATCTTACATGGATTTTAAACCAGTTGGCAAGACTCAACAGCATTACTACAATGGTCAAAATTACTCTATTTTTTCTTATGATTAAGTATTCACAGCAGGGCAGACTAGCATCTTCCAGCATGATAATGTAAAGCAGCACACCTACAATAACATTGTCATGTGTATATTGTAAATGTAGTTAAGTCCATGGCATTGACCTATCACTGGGTGGCTGTGCTACATAGAAAATTCAGTGAATTTGATGTGAAAGACATTAAGCTATGTCACCTGTTTGTGTTGATACTGACTAAAACCATATGACTTTGAGTCAGTGACCTATGACCTCTGGCTACACACAGATGATACAGACTCAAACATGTCAGTAAGCAACCCAAACTTGGACTGGAACAGGTGAGTAGACAAACTACAATCACACAGCAGAGGGACAATACATTACCTTAACAGCCTGTCAGGTCATCACTATGGTTCTAACAACAGGCAAACAATGTGTTATCAAAATCAGGGGCTCAGCTGTTCACTCTTTCCTTTTCAACAAGCTCTATACTTACCAAATTTATATAATCAACTACAGTTAAGTAATTAAATCACTTTAGATACTATAGATACTTAAAGTACAGAACTAATATATTCTGAGAGAGTTAGATCTGACAGGAAATACATAGTGATCGTCGTGTAATCAAGAAGGCTTCAAATAAATTTAAATATTATCCTCAGATATTTAACTCCAGTGCAGTCTCATTCCATCTTTGTCATTTCTAGCACATGATTGAACAAGTCAAATGTCCCTAGGTTTATATAAATTTTAACACATCGTAACTGAAATTGTGTAAGAGTTGTCTTCTCTCAAAAAATGACATTAAGATTATCAGAGTACGTTCATATATCCGATGAGAAGTATTAAGAAATCTGAATTAAACAAAATTCTATAGGTTTCCCATTAGTATGGAATTCTTCTGTACAGGAAAAATTCTCAAACATGTGGTATACATCCTCCATTGGTCTGACTCAGAGTAAGGTAGTTTATCTCTGTAACTGGTCTGACTCAGCGTAAGACAGCATACATCCTTAACTGGTTGCACTCAAAGTAAGGAAGTTTACCTCTTCAACTTATCTGACTCAGAGTAAAGTAGTCTACCTCCAAAACTGGCCTGACTCAGAAGAAGGCAGTTTACATCCTTAACTGGTCTTAGGTTAATCACCTGGGTTGAAATTGGCACCTTACTCAGCTGTTCTAATAATGCTACTCTTCCAATCAACTGCTAGGGAGACTAACTTCTTCCACTTGTAATTTTCAACTAATACCATTAAGAGTATTACTTGCGCTCTTTACTAGTAAAAACTCGCTTCTTACATGCCTAAGTGACCTAACCTGAAGACTCACTTTGATCTAAGTACCCCACTCTTGGCTTTCACTGCGGTTGGCTCTTTCTCCCTGGAGGCAGGTTCCATGGTGGCAGTTCGGGCCAACAACTCATCGAACTGTTTCCTGGGAAGTCCTGGGAGACACAAACACAAGAATTAAGAAAGATATGAAGGTGTTAATTGTCACATAGCAACCAAAACTTTCCCATAACCATAGATTTTAAACTGAAATCCACAAATTCTGCGGAAGCAATGAGCTATTATTTTTCATGTTATTTGCAACAAAACATTTTATACATTCCGTTACCAATTGATCAGAAACACAAATGTAACAATCATCAAAATATATTGCACAAACAAATACAAAATAACATTCAAGGAACTTTGAATTACACGCATGAGATTCACATTTAACGACACTTCAATATTTCCCCTAACTGTATTTTTTTATGTGATTATTAAGTACCTATGCTCTTGATTGTTAGACAATATGCAAATTCTTAATTGATAATTTACATTTGAATCAATAATAAGAAGTAATTCTAAAAACATAACTGAAATTCTACATTGAGTTCAGTGCTATCTAAACCCAGTACAAACCCAGTTTATACTCAATGGTTATCTACATGATATAAATATATATTGTTAAAAGCTACTGAAAGAAAACTGATTATGTGGTTTAGTTTGAATATAACCCTTAACAATATCATCAAATAATTTCAACACATTGTCATGTATTCTGGATTTGGTTGATATGATCGTTTTTCATTTTCTAGGGTTACAACATTGGAAATTTCTGAATTTATATAGGTAATTCAAAATTTCAAAACTTTAATCATGTGGACAGCAGGGTGTATATATACCCTTTTACAGACAATTCCAATAGGATTTTGAGACATGTGACAACTAGATACAGATACAGGCTAGCTCAACAGAATTTTAATGAATGTATGAAAATTACATATCTATACAGGCTAGTCCAACAGAACTTTGAAAAACAGTGATATTTGAAATCTGTGCTGCACAGTGCACATAGTTGGTGACAGTGTAACAACATAAAATATTAACACCCTAACATACTAAAAGTTTGACTTCATTCTATAATCTAATATAGCAATGAAAAGTTTTGTACATTTTGTTTGCGGTTTTTATGGAAAAGATGGACCCATTAAACAATACCAAAGCATGCATCACTTTTTACATCGTTTTGTTTTAATGATATCACCATACCAAAAGCAAAAGAATTTCAGACTGAAGGAGAGCTACCTCCTTCCATACTGGCTAGCTTTGATGATTTGAGCAGAAATAATTGTTACCTGCTTTCCACACAATAAATAACCAATAGCAATCATTACCGTCCCACAAAGAACCTTACATATTCTATGTTCTCGCAGTAAGATAAGTCATGCAAGTTTACCTTCTAAAACAGTAGAATTTACCCATCACCTGTAGATCACAAGCCGTTCTTTTTACCAAGGCATACATATCTACTATCTAAGACATATTTACTACATGTATGTATATATAAATAGAAATTGAGATTGAAATTAAGTAATAATTTCTTGCATGACATTGTCATGATACTAATAAAAGTGAAACCTAATAGACTTGAGTAGATAGTCATTATCTAGCAGGCATTGTATTATACACAATCTACTTCTCACAAGAAAATTTTAAAATTATATGTTGCAGTCAACAAACTGCAGCCAACAGCATATTTATGTTATATACTGGCAACACAAAAAAGTGTAGCCATCCAAACTACGAGTTAGGTAGGTACCCCTAACCAAGAATTCACTGATTATATGTCTAGCACTAATACTTAGGACAGTTATATTTGCATGGGAAAGGAATGCAAGGAAGAGGTTTCTGGACTACACATGTTTTCAAAATGTTATGGCATTACCACTTCTATGCTTCTTAGCTGATCTACGGGCTTCAGAACCTGTGTAAAACAGAATTCAAATATGGCCACCTTAGCAACATAACATTTTCACCAACACACTTACAGAAACATTTGACATTTTCCAACAGCATGCAGACAAGGTTAGGTTTAGTTGTATATGAACTGTATAACTAGCACCTTCAACATGTTAAGTTATAGTTATAATGTACTGGTATAGTTGCATTTGTTCATGTTTAAATTTTATTGACTATTTGAATGGGAGTCCCATTACTTATAGAACACATTAATACTCTTGGTTTAACTTTCCTCAACTGTTTACTCCATATTACAATCAACAGTTGGACATACTCACCAGCCATTATTTCCCAATATTACTTAGCTACCACACTAACTAATCCTGAATCTAACTGTCACTATCAGATATAACAGTGCACACAGTTTGTGTTATAAAAAAACCAATCAGTTATGTTTCTTTGTGTTACATCATCTCATCATATTTCACACTAAATCAAGCATTAGGATCCACTCCAAAACAAATTTTATGCAGTGTTAAAAAAATGCTTTATCTCCTTACATGTATTTATTGCAAATCAACAATTGATCTAAACAATGGGAGTGAAACTTTCACAAGATAGATACAAGATTTTTACATTTTCTCCTAACTTCTTATTTACAATGTTGAGTATTAATAGTCAATCATTCTCATCAAGAATATTTTTTTTTGTGTGATTTGAAATAATATGTACCCGGTACATTTAATGTATGTCATAAATACTTGGCATAATTAGTCAGGTGTTAAGATGTCATAATATACATTTACAAATGTAAAATGAAAATGAAACCGTTTTATGAATACAATACAGTGTTTGTCATTGTTAAGATACAAAACCAATACAACCATGCAACAATACATGCAATGCAAGCTTCTAATATATAATACAGTTCAAACACAATGATAATGATATCAGTTTAATGCGAGTCTCACCTTTCATCATGAGCCCTATAGGATAAAACATGCAAGATAAGTACCTGGCCAAACACTGCTCTCCACTACACTATAATACTACAGCTACACAGGCCTGTTGTCCATTAGCCCGCAGTCAATTCCCAAAGCTAATAACCAGTCAATAATTAGTATGCATAAAGTCATTTAATGTTATTTAAGTTCTTCACCATTTCTAATACCACGAAAAAAAAAGCATGAAAAAAATTAATTTGTTACACTGATATTTAGGCTGGAGCTTCACGAAAGTTCCTTAACTGCAGGACACATGCACAGTGTATTTCTGAACTAAAATTTGTCCATAGGAAAGCTGAAGATAGGTAAAATGTCAAAATTAAAAGAGTTGAATTCTGTCCTGCTTTCCTATGGAAAACTTTCAGTTGACAAATTTCCTTAGGTAAGAAATGTTCGTGAAACTGGGGCCAGGTCTTGTTTACATGGCAGAGGACACATGTTGTTATTGTAAATAAACTTTGTAGAAGATAGGAAGCATTATAAGTGGTCATCAGTGTCCAGTATACTACATCCTACCTCCTCTGATATGGGTCCTCAATATTGTCTTGGCTGTCATTAAGAAGATAGTCACATGGTATTACTAGGCACACTTTATATATTGTCCTTTAATGTAACTAAAATGTCTTTACATCATACAGCAAGTGGTGTATTCTACATAAAGAGCATGCTGTTGAGAGTGGGTAGACCAGACTGTGGAAAGACCACATCTAGATCAACCATGTTCGGTAAATACTTGATTGAAAAGAAGATGTAGAAATCAAATTAAACAATGAATAGGTCTGTACTACTACTGTCTGTATGTAGTGTAATGATATTCTGTACAGGTATTCTCATATACAGGTGTAAATTAAAGATTATCACTGGGAAATTCTAGCTGAATATAAAGGCACATGCAAACAAGGATCTCTGCTATAAACTTGTCTAACGTTCACCTGGATAAATCATGATAGGGATGAGAATGACAAAAGACTATCCTATAATGTAACATATACCTCAGTGATATCAGTAAATTGGCTAATGTCTGAAAAGTAATCAGTGGTCATTAAAAACAAGTTTTCTTAGTAACTATTAACACACATAATACAGTCTGTATATCATTAATACTTATAAGTAAACCTTTTTGTCTGTCATGTCTGTATATATTCAAGGCTTATAATTTTTCTCACAAACTCTATGGACTAAGGAATGTATCCAATTAAAAAAAAACTTCTTATCAAAATATTTTTTTATTAGGAATGTATTTTTTTCTAATTTGGCTTGTTACTTCTGGGTGATGTAAAAAATAAAAAGTTGGTAAATTTATTCAATATGTAAAGAAAGGGTATTGCATATTTTTTGACCAACACCAAAGCAGTTTAAATGTGATGACTGGGCGATAAGCTTTAAAAGCACACAGGGATATAAGCTTTGTAATAATTGGGTGTCTGCTACTATCAGGTGTGGTAAACATACATTATAATGTGTGAAAGGCAATCATGCATATACTGATCATGTCAACAACAATGTTTTATAACTGGGGTCAGCAATAACTTCCTTTAGTAACCAAATTTCCAAGGTATATTAATGTCACATCAAAATTTCAAAACCGTCACCATCAACAATTAAATGTATGATACAGATATAAATGTAGGGATTTGACAGATTGTAAGGAGGGGAAATGAGTCAGGTGGATAGTCAAAGACAGTAAAATAACTGTCGATGATTAGTTAGCCTAACAGAAAAATGCACTGAAGTTGAACATTTCATTGTCAATTCTTTCAGTAATAAAACAATCAATTCAAAATTACTCTAAAACTTTGAAATTCCACATCATGAGATGTTTGTCTTTAACACAAGATAAGACAAGTTTGGTGACAGATCATTGATAATATTTATTGTGTGATTTATATTTCATATACTTTGTGCCTCAGGGTGAGATTACAGACACAGTTAAATATATATGTTAGACAATATCAGATAAAAACTTTCAACATACCTGGCATCATATAACCTGGGATCTGACTGCTCTTCACTGGGCGGGCGGGATCCTTAACAGGTGGTAGCTCTGCTGATCTGTGGGCTGCTGAACAGATAAACAGCAATATACAATGTATATATATATATATACAACCAACTCACCAAATCAATAGTTCAATCTTTTGGGTACTGTGATCTGTTATACCATAAATTTACCAGCAAAGCTATAGAATATTGAAAAAAAAAACTTTTACCCCCTCTATTACCATATCTATGCTATCCTGTAACAAGCTCATGCCTGGTAATAAGCCCATCCATGTTAACTACCTATCAAAGAATTATCAACAAATGTTACTTCATTGTAGTCCATCTCTGACTGGAATCAGAAATACCACACATTGACCAGTCAGGCTTACAGAAAGTTGTCTGTTGTCAGTATTGGTTTTATACCTAAAGTAAAGGAATATAGAAGGTAATTGGCAATACCAGGCTAGTCTATCCATGTATATATCTAAATCCCAAACAACAATGTGAAAGTTTGATTTTAAAATTATAGACATGAAATAGATGAAATATGAGTTGATATTGACCCGTGCATGTTTTAACCTTACCCCTTATTACACTTTTGTGTGTTGATAGGAATAACAGACACCATATCAAGTTATATAAGGATTTCCCAATATCTTTGGCCATTAAAATTAAGAAAACCATTCCACAACAGGTATCACTCACCACTATCTCCTAAGTCTGCGTATGCACTTCTCTGATATATTTCATCTCGTTTCTTCTTCTGTGTTTCTTTATTTGCATGCCATTTTCTAAGAAACTGTCTTGATGTTTCTGTTATCTCCTTTCCATCTAATACTTCTGCAAAGTTAACAAAACAAAAAGTTCAGGTATTAAATAACACCATAGTGTTGTACATAGTATGACACCTGATTAAGTCCTGAGTACACAACATAGTGTTGTACATAGTATGACACCTGAATAAGTCCCCAAGTACACAAAATGAATATTCATCAACAAATTCTGGCTGATCAATACTTGGAACTACAAGTTTCTAGTCAATAGAAATGAAGATGGAATGTTAAATGAAATGTTGTTAGGTATGATCAGACATCTTTGTGATTTAGGTTAATCTTATACTAAGTAAACTTGTGATGGATGTGATTTATTGAAATGCACCGTTCAGTTTTTATCTGTATTGTAAGTCACAAAAAGTTTGTTATCTTGAAATTAAAGGAACTGTGATAAATACTTTGACTTATCTAAATTTCACCCAAAACAAAATGTCCCAATAAGGTTGATCATATCAGTTTTCTGACAAGGATTACGCTAGGGGCTACAATTGCATGGTACTCAATGTTACACACAGCATAATTTAATATGTTATTTGAAATCATAGCAAATAAACAGAAACAAATTGATTTCTATTTTCGCATTTTAATTGTTTGTTCATCCAAATCACAAAACTGTACATGCAACTTTTTTGCATATTCTGTGAAATGTAATCCTCCATATCTCAAAAAAAAAAAGGCTACAGTAATAGTAAACTTTTACACCTCCCCCACCCCTCCAAAAAAAAAGGTTGCTAGTATCAAACACATTCTGAACCAAGAGGAAAGTCTCATGTTTTAGGCCTGCAACAAAAGCATGATATCAGATGACTGTTTAAAATAACTTATGATATTCATGCAGTACAAGAAAATTAAGATTACACATAATGTCAGCCTTAACCTGAAAAATTAACTTCTCACATATAGCTGAATACTTTTGATGTGCCCTTACCTAGAGTTTTTGCCATGACAATGATCCTGTCTCGGTACTTGGCTTTGTGACATACAGGGTTTCCCATCAGTTCAAGCCTCCATAAAGTAGGCCAGTTGCTGAAGTTGTGTGCCAAGTCCTTCATATCACTTAACTCATTGTCATTGGCCATAAACTGGGAGATATTTCTCAGACCAATCATGTCGAGGACACTGTCCAGCCCATTACCAGACACATTGAGAACCTGAAGGGACATCTGTAACAGACAAAGCCGATATAAAATCATATCAGATGTGTGCCTCTCCCATTAGATATTAATGTATCTCTCCAAGCAAATAATAGAGGCAAAATATCCCTTTCCCCAACAAAAACACAAAAATTAGATAGAGCAAAAAATTACAGAAGTTCTTAACCTGAGGTGTTGAGAATTTTGATTATCAAATCAACATATTTTAAAACACAGAAATTGACCAATCATATAGTGGAAACATATTCTTACAGGTTTCATAAGGAAACATAAAGTTTTTTATAAATACAAAGTAAACATATTTATCTCCTATTCACCTCATCTACTGATGAAAAGCAATGAATTCTAAGGAGCTTGAGGCACTAACATATCACAAGGATAAACAGCATCAAATGTTTATAACAACAACAGTAAATTGTAACTTGTCATACTTACAGCTATTCCTTTTAAGGACCTTGGGTCAAATAAAAGCTTCTCTCCTGGCGGTAGCCTCTGGTTTTCAACATGAAGTTCTTGAAGTTTATCCATTTTTTCTAGACCTTCTAAAACGGTAATACAATTACCTCCCAAATACCTATCAGAAGCAACAGAAATTCATTTTACTTGTCAGGGAATAAAGATCATGGTTAGTCAAGGGCTATTCCAGTAAAACATCTACTTGACCCTTGGACGCCAAAATAATTCTCTTCTATCCATGGTTCAGTCTGTTGTCCATTACTTCCCTCAGCAAATCATCAAATAATTTGATGGGTGGTGCCCCTTAAAAAACCTGCAGTCCTGGGCTAAAATAGAAGTTTTACTCTAATAGCCCTAAGAATATCTGTGAAACATATATGTCCTTACTCCCTATTCCATGAAATGGAGCAAGACTGAAAAAAAGCTTTCCCCTAGCTCCTGAAACGTGAAGTCTAACCACAAGTTCAGTCAGTAGAATTTTTGCAAAAAATGTGAAGTTTTACATTAAAAAGATTTTATCTGATCAACGATGTTACTACAATTTCAATGTTAACCAAGGATGCACTATTATACAGTGATAATCAAAGTTTGATGGAAAGATACATGTAGGGAAATTGCTGTATCTGTCACTCAACATTTCAGGATAATAACATATGAATTAAGTCTTCTTACCATTGCTGATAAAGTTAGACAAGCATTGGGCATTTATGTAATTCTACTGATCACATCAAGAAGAACACATTTAAACTAATTTACACACACATCTACTCACAATTTCTGAAGACGAGTCAAAGGTGACAGGTTTTCTATTCTGGATATATCGTTGTTCTGCAGATACAACATTGTCAGGTTCATGTTGTGATGTAGTGATGGAATCCTACTTAACTGGTTGTCATACAAATACAATACAGTCAGATTACGGCACATACTTATATCTTCTCCCTGAAATTGATTAATTAGACATGTTAGGATATTGGTGAAACATATTTCATAAGGATGATGTGGGAAAAGAAAGAAAACAATAGATCTAACATGTGTTTTACAAGCTCTAAAATTATATAGGAGGTAGCAGACAAATGACTTTAGTCAGAGTTCATACTTTACTTCATTTTTTGCAGCAGCACTATACCATTCTAAGAGGTACCTGTATACTACATTCAGATGGAAAGATGGCAGAGTAAAAGGCACAAAATGACATAAAGAAATGCAAAACTATAAATCCCCTCTATAGTTGAAATGATTGAGGTCTAATGACCAAACGTATCATTCTTTTTCCATGGGTTTGATTAAAACATGTGCAGTTGCCCACACAAAAATACATTACCACATCATCAATGCTTCTGTCTTCCAAGTATAAATGTGTCAGTCGTCGAAGATACTGTTGCATGGATTCATCCCGCTTCTTTTTTGTATACCCAGAGGTGCCCCTGGCAATGAGGTCAAGTGTAAGCTTCACCATGATGTTGAAAGTTCAGTGAGACTGTGGGTCTAATGATCAACAAACTCAGGTCTTCAGTGTCAGATGTATTCTAAAAAACACCCTGAGCTTCCTCCTGGAAAAAAAAATATTTGAAAGTGTTTAATCTTAGATAAAAGGATATAACAGAAAACCTTTAATTAAAAAAATCAACATCACACATACATTTTCTGATAACAATTTGTACTGGCATTTACCTGCCTTTCACTGACATGGTAAGATGGTGTAATAACACAACCATTGATTTACATGAAATACATGTTAAATGGGTAGTATTTCCATATCATCTTCTCCACCCACTTCTGATTCTCTACCACTTGCTAAAGAACAGCTAAGCAATGGGCTTACTTATGTTTAAATACATGACAACATGTTACATAGTTTATAGGTAATCCAACATTGGGATGATTTGCAAAACAATAGTAGCCTGATGTCATCTTCCTATGATGGAATTAGAAATCAACCATTATGTTGTGAGCCAATGTATATCAGTAGACATGATGCTTTGAGCAAATGCATGTCTGTTGTCTGCATGAGTTTGCAATTACACTTGTAGCAGCTTTCTATCAGAGTCAAATACTGAAATCAAGTACATGTGGTGTTGTCAGGAGTCAGTATTGTGTTATCATATGTTCAGGAATGTTTTGACAGACGAGGGTAGTACCTGTGCATACATTAAGTTTACAACGTTAAATGAAGTTGAATAACTTCTAACCTAAGGTCAAATATCGAAGATCTGCACAAAATGTTGTGAAAGTATGGATGACAACTAAAAACCATCAATTGATATCTGGTTTGGTCGTGATCAGTTCCAATTGCACTGAAAGCATAAATGTGCCCCCGAGAGCCGTGATACCTAATGCGCTGCCAGTGTGATTGCCGTGTTGTGTGCAACCAAGCATACTCTTCACTTTCTCCTGGTTTTAGACGCGCTGGCGGCGGGGGATGATGTCTGTTTGGCTAGAGGTTTCCGTACATATGACACCTTGGCCTCATGTACGTGCAGCAAACAGTAAATCTTCGACATAACAAGGTTGTCGAACGTTTAAATAGTTAAACGAATTAATGTATAGCAATGCCATTTTACTTTTGCCGTAACCGATAAATACTTACATCGCTAGATATGGTTATGCTGGTTGAAGTATTCATCTGTGTTCAACTTCAACTCTCATAACATGAGCCTAACAACATATCCTTACTTCCACCTATAAGAAATAACTCGTCATACTATTTCAGTGTGACATCAGTTTTCTAATTATAAACAGTCAATATGCATTTGATTTCATAGAGGTGTCAAATACTCTTATGGATAATGAAATACATCCTATTTTGAGATAAATTAAAGATTTATAGTTTGACTTTTTTCTATGCGGAGGAATATAATATACCTACAGCATCGTCACGTGACCTGTTGTCAGGCAACTTAGTATTCAATAATTAATCTTCATGAAGACAATTTCCATCATTGTTTTACCAGATAAAGGAAGTTCGGAAAATGCCCATTTTGTAACCATTATTTTCTCATTTTCATTTTTAAAAAAATACATTGAAATTTTATAAAAACGTTATTTCAGAACATCTCTAAAACACTTGCGACACCCTGATCAACGGAACTATTTAATTCATTCCGCACTGTGTTTACATTTCTAATGTGTTGTAAATATAAATTTATATCACATATTTTTTCATCTTATTTTCATAAATAAAAAAACTCAATAAATAATAGACTCAAATGTAAAACTTTAAAAAATATTTTTTAATGTAGCAAACCGGAGCAAATCGTGGCAAGATGGCCGACAAAGGTGGCTTGTTGGCAAGATCGGAATTTCCACTTTACGTTGTTAAAGCCTTAGACGAAAGACATTTCCTTGTAGCTGGTGGTGGCGGTGCCGCAAAAACTGGTATCGCTAATGCAATCGTAAGTGCTGCTAATTCGTCATAACAATTGGAGTATACACGTAATCTTGTGCCGGCTTGTTGGTCCGCAGCTGTCGGGTAAAAGTCAGACGTCAAATGTAACACATCACTTACCAAAGTGACGGGTTTGTGCAAGCCTAGTGCCCAGCCACAAATGTGGCCTTTACTGACAACAGTATTTTTTGTAGGGTCGCTAGTCCAGATCACCGTTCACAAAATTTTGACGAGGTCCATTATTTGGCTAATCGCACCGCATGTGATGAATAACTTTCAAAACCAATAAAAATAGTCATTTTAACATCTTACCTAAAAATCTTTGGCCATCACTTGCCGATTCATCTGCTGAAAGGCTGTAATAGTTGATGTCAAGCTTGTTAAAGTAACCTTGATAGCTTTATTTCTTTGATGAATTGCTACCAAATAAAGACATCAACAAAGAAGGGAAGAGAAAAGAGTAGAAAAGATCCTCTGGGATCTCATGTTTGTAGATGTTACAGCAAACATAATAATTACTGTGTAGGTCATCTGACCTGAAGGGTCATAATAACCTATAGCCATCGTGCTTTGTCCGCAGCTGTGCGCCATCTGCCATACATAAACTTTTAACATTTCAAACTCCTTCTCAAGTTCTACCAGTGGAATTGAGCTCAAACTTGCATGATCCTGAGATAGTACTGACCAAGTTTTATTTTTCTGGCATGTCAGATATCCAAGATGGCCATCATGGCTGCCATCTTGAAAAACATGTTTTAAATTTCTTCTCCAGTTCCATTGGTGCTATTGAGCTAAAAATTGGTGAGAATGTGAAGGAAAGGTCACCAACAAAGTATTATTGTTATTTTACGTTGTCAAAACTTCGATACAGCAGCCAGGGAGGCCATTTTGTAACATGATTTTGCAATCATGGTTTTCCTGTGCAACACCTTTTTTAAACTTCTTAAGTTTCACCACTTGGATTGAGCTCCATCTTTACTATCATAAAATAGATAACTTGTTATCTGCTCCTCAATAAAACTACCATCTGCATCATGGAAAACAGCTTCTTAATAAGATTTCATTCAAAGAAGAAAAAAAAACCTTTTCCCTGCTAAAAGTTTTTGTATTCAGATGACCATTTAGGTCCATGGACTTCTTGTTTGAGTAAGAGGTCATGCAGGTCAATAGTTCATGTGATACAGCTTGACAAAATGGTTGCTCCGAAACTCAGAGCGAATGGCTGATCAACAATTAATGTCAGGACAATATATGATATGAAACAATTGAGTGGTGCAGAAGGCACTTTTTTAAACTGAATTACCTATACTGTAAACACCAATGTGAACTAGTGGAGAAACATGCTTTGTAATGAGAGGATACATTGGAGTTTCAGTACATTCTCTTGAATCATGGATATGTTTTCCAACCTCTGTAACCTGAGTTTCCTTTCACTCATAGACTGGCTCATGGATTTAGACCAGAAATTAGACATCTTAAAAGAACACCCTAATATGAAAACATGGAAGATGTGAACCATGTGGTATAGCTTTAACTACTGGTAGATGTAAGTATTTAGATGATGGTCATGTTGTTTATAGAGAGTATGTCTGTAATAGCATTTTAGAGGCTGTTCGATGTGTCCAAGAGTGAATTCTTGTTTTAAGACAAATTTCTGTCATTGATAAGTGAAAGTAAGCACATACTTGATTGTTACTACAATTTTATATTTTACAGGAGATATATGAAGTCAAGATTCAAGATGGAAAACTTCAAGCAGTCAGTATCTGTCGACATGACACAGGATCACAGGCGATTATGAATGGCACTAACGTCTATGATGGAAGAAACCATCACTTCGCGGCAGGACTGGATGATGAATGTCATGTTTACTCACTGAAATACAAAGTTGTTTCTCCTAAAAAGAAGACATCAGGTATACAATATTCTGTTTTATATAAATGTACTGTTCACTGTTAGTATTTTTATTATAATATTGTGGTTTTGCCTGCTTACTTTTACTTATTATAATTATTGTAATTAGCCCATCATGAAATGTTGACAAACTTATTTGTTTGAGGTTTTATCCTTTACTTCATGAATTTTTACTTTATGCAGCTGATATCATCAGCATTGCATGATTAAAGTGTATCTGTAATTAAGTTGTCATATATAAAATCTGAAATAATTGTGGCATCTGAATTAAGTGTAAAAACTGAAATGATTTTGATATTTCAACATCTGTGATTATCACATGTAATAAAATATTTTTCATCTTCAAGACGATGGAAATTTACGGCAAAGAAAAAAAGGAGATTCCAACCCTGATAACACCCCAAACAGCACTGGAAAGAAGATCATGTTTGAAATAGATAAAGTCAAAAGTACTAAAACAGACTTCAATAAAGACAGCAGTTTTCAGAAGGTTGCTCAAATCAGTCCAAATCGAAGCTTTATTGCTACAGGAGGAACCGATGGTTATCTCAGGGTGTGGAAAGTAAGTATATACTAGATATCTCATTATGAGGAACCGATGGTTATCTCAGGATGTGTAGATATTTAATGGGTACCTCAATATAAAGTACTGGTGGTATATAGATATGTGTTACCAGCTTTGTGTATATTTGCTCAATGACCAAACAGTCATTTGAATTACAAACCAGATTGGTATTACTTAAATAATGTATTTTAAAATCTTAAAAAAAATTCAGTTTTTCTACAAGAATAGATGACATAAAATTAGGCAAGTCATTCTTTACATGTACAAATATATATAAGATATGACATAATTAGACAAACTATTTCATTAATGAATTGTGATCAATACACTTTCTTTTCTTATCAATCTTTTCTTTATCTTCAGTTTCCAGGATTGGAAAAATCATTTGAAGTTCATGGCCACAAAAATGATATAGATGATATTGATATAAGTCCACCAGGTGACAAGGTGAGAAAGATATGATGTTATTGGTACTATAAGGTACATCCTTTTGTACTTGATAGAGGCTAACACAAATACATGTTAAAAAAATTAAATAAAAAAGAACATAAAAGTGAAAAATCCTTGATACCATGGTATTTTTTTTCAAAGATGCATACATGTCCAAAAAATAATGATAACATGATAGCAGGCAAGTGAAGGGAAAATCGGTATAATAATTAGAGTTGTGTGTCCTACTATGTAACAATCTGTGTAGTTCATTTCATTATATTATTGAAATAATTACCAGTCATTTCCTATCTTGTCTGACAGATTGTGACAGTGTCTCGAGACCATTGTGCCTGTGTGTGGAACTCTAAAGACGGTAGCAAGATCACTGATCTCAAGTGGCCACTACAATCAGATGAGCATAGATATAGGTGTTGTAGGTAAACATCACTGTCCCTGTAAAGTCACACACAGATATAGGTGTTGTAGGTAAACATCATGGTCCCTGTAAAGTCACACACAGATACAGGTGTTGTAGGTAAACATCATGGTCCCTGTAAAGTCACACACAGATATAGGTGTTGTAGGTAAACATCATGGTCCCTGTAAAGTCACACACAGATATAGGTGTTGTAGGTAAACATCACTGTCCCTGTAAAGTCACACACAGATATAGGTGTTGTAGGTAAACATCACTGTCCCTGTAAAGTCACACACAGATATAGGTGTTGTAGGTAAACATCACTGTCCCTGTAAAGTCACACACAGATATAGGTGTTGTAGGTAAACATCACTGTCCCTGTAAAGTCACACACAGATATAGGTGTTGTAGGTAAACATCACTGTCCCTGTAAAGTCACACACAGATATAGGTGTTGTAGGTAAACATCACTGTTCCTGTAAAGTCACACACAGATATCGGTGTTGTAGGTAAACATCACTGTTCCTGTAAAGTCACACACAGATATAGGTGTTGTAGGTAAACATCACTGTCCCTGTAAAGTCACACACAGATATAGGTATTGTAATTGAACAAATTAGAGTATTTTTTGTTACCATAGTTATGATCCTGTATTTATGTATTTGTTTTTGTTTTTACAGATATGGTCTGATAGAGGGAAAGAAGGACAAATATAACCTATACACCATTAGTATACCTACCAAAAGGTCTGCTCAAAAACCACTGCCTTGTTTTGTAACTATGTGGAATAGTGAGAAATTTACTCCCAAACTTATGGTCAATGCTGGTACAGAAGTCCTGTCAAGTCTAGCATTGAGGTAAATATGTACTCACATAGCATCAGGCAAAGAAAATTCACATGTACATGTGACAAACTCCTTAATTCTTACTTCTATACTTATGTCATAAAAAGTCTAAAAAGTTCGGCTGATCAACTTCAACAAGAAATTTTATGTGTGGTTCAATATTTTACTTGAATAAATAATTATTAATTATCTTTATCATGTTTTATCATGTTTTACAGTGATGATGGTGTGTACCTGGCAGTTGGAACTATATCAGGAAGTGTTGCAGTGTACATATCTTTCAGTCTACAGGTATATATTACTTTGCGTAAAAACAGTGATCAATTATAATCCAGCCTCTGTAACATATTATCTCTTTCCTTCTGACTTGTTGTTATCATTTTGTTAGAAAGAAAATCATCACAAAACCCATTATATTGAACCACAGAATTAGATTTTGAAATCCTTTAATGATTTCATATCAGGATAGAAATACTTTATACTTAGAATTTTTCAAGTTCAGTTTTACATAAGTATACATAGATAAAAAAGTAACTGATCTTTAATGCCAATACTTGATAAAGAGTGGTCAAGTCAAGAGTAAAAGTATCATTTTATCTGGAAATTTATGTGATTATGTGACATGTAGCATGTAACCTAAAACTGAAATGAAATATGTATGTTCTGTTTATAAACAATGGTAGTTTTGTCCATTTATCTTTAATCATGGTCTTTCATCTCAGTTTTCATGTAATGGGTCGAATTTCATCGCTACAATCAGTTGATTTATTTTCTTTTTCAGAAACTGTATTATAAGAAAGAGGCCCACAGTATATTTGTGACAGGAATTGAATTCATGCCAAGTTCTGAGGGAACACGTGAAGTGACAGGAAACCAGGACTTTACATTATTAAGTATCTCAGCTGATAATACTATCCGCATGCATCAAGTAGCTGCAAGAAGTAAGTGTTCATGGTAACCCAGAACATATTTGGTTAGGTAAACTTTTAATTATTTTAGCTGTGAATAATGGGAATATGTTTACATACAATGTGGTTTATAAAGCAATTTTTTCACTGATAGTTCTCGTTTAGTGAGTAAAATTCGTTTTGTCTGGCAATTAAGTGTAAAAAAAATTGGTATATATTAAAATGAGTGTTTGTTATACAACAATTTGTTGTTAGGTTCACATTCTATTCCTCAGTCTTTCACTAGTTTTATAATCTATTGCTCAGTTTTTCATTAGTTTCACTTGCTTTTCCTCATACTGTCACTGGTTACACACTCTATTCCTCAGTCTGTTGTTGTCACTAGTTTCACATTTAATTCCTCAGCCTGTCACTAGTTTCTTATTCTTCTCCTCAGTTTGTCATTAGTTTCACATTCTATTCCTCAGTCTGTTTTTGTCACTAGTTTTACATTCAATTCCTCAGCCTGTCAATAGTTTCTTATTCTGTTCCTCAGTTTATCATTAGTTTCACATTCTATTCTTCAGCTTTTCAGTAGTTATACATTCTATTCCTCATATTTTCACTAGTTTCACTTTCTCTTTCTTAGTTTGTCACACGTTTTACATTCTATACCTCAGTTTGTCACTAGTTTCACTTTCTTTTCTTCAAGCTTTTACTAGTTACACATTATATTCCTCAGTCTGTTGTTGTCAATTGTTTCACATTCATTTCCTCTGTCTGTCACTGGTTTCACATTTAATTTGTCAGTCTGTTGATAATTTCACATTCTGTCCTTCAGTCTGTCTTTAGTTTCAGATTATGTTTGTGACAGATTTTGTTCCAGCTTCTTTTTGGTGAAATTTTGTTGTAGTTGTTGGAAAATGTTTATTTGCCTCAGCTAATAGTACCACCAAAATCTATCAGAAATCTAGATAACAGTAATTATATGTGTTTAATTTGTTTTTTCATGTCAGATTCCTACAGTGTACTACTGATTGTGTTTGGTGCTTTACTGATTGTACTGATGCTGTTTGTGATGCTCGGCGAATACGGAATCTGAGGATAAACAATATTCATAACTTCCTAGAAAATCCTGACTGAGGATTATTGGCAGCTAGAGTCTTGTCACCAGCTGGTCATAGATCAGTACAGTATTCCTGTATCTGCTGGAATCCACCAGGGTTTTTTTGATGCTGTAACATAAGGCTTTGGATCAGTACAGTGTTCCTGTATCTCTGCTGGAATCCACCAGGGTTTTACTGATGCTGTAACCACATGGTCAATGGATCAGTACAGTGTTCCTGTATCTCTGCTGGAATCCACCAGGGTTTTACTGATGCTGTAACCATGTGGTCAATGGATCAGTACAGTGTTCCTGTATCTCTGCTGGAATCACCAGGGTTTTACTGATGCTGTAAAGGTCACTGATCAGTACAGTGTTCCTGTATCTGCTGGAATCCATCAGGATTTTACTAATGTTACAACCACAAGGCCATGGATCAGTTCAGTCTACCTTTATCTGCTGGAATCATCAGGGTTTACTGGTATTGGTCTCTGTTTTGGCTTAAACCATATTTTTAAGCAATTTGGTTAGGATGATTTTTATTGTGATCAGTTCAGGAAATATTTAATGAAATTTAGTGAAAGCAGAAGGTATTTTATGTTATTGGTGAGGTGATATGTAATAGAATACAAAGTGTAAATAGGTGATGGAAAGTGATTAGTGTTCACAAACTCTCAATTATTTCAGTAATGTACTGCCTTTACAACAGGAAAACCTGTACACTGAAAATCTAGCAACAAAAATGTGCAATATGTTGTGTCAGAAATGGTGTGTTCAATCAACCCAAAGTTTTCATTCCATTGTGTCCGAGTGTGACCTTAGTGATATATAAGGTTGTGAAACATAACCTGATTTTTCACGTAACATTTCAGTGCATATTTTTATCAATCAATAAGTGACAACCTACCTGAGTTTGTAAAACCTTGCTGATTTGTCATGATTGCTCCTTCCATTGTTTTTCATTGTTAGACATACTTGTAACAAAAAATGTTGAAACTATTGGTTCACTAGGGATTACTTTACCAAGGCTACTGTTTTTTCTATAGTATTTCATTACTGAGGAAATAACATTGCAAATACTAATTGAAAGAAGTTAATTTTTGTAATGTAAATTTGGAGGCAGTAGCTGACGAGACATAAGTGTGAGTAGAATCGTAGATGATGCTGTTATTCAGCATTATATTTGTATCAGTGTGAAAGTTTAGAAAGATATGATGATGCATGTAATTTGTTGAAATTGTATTAATGTAAAGTAGATTGATTTTATTCCTGAATCAATGATTATGTGATGTTGATTCACACATTTTTGCATCCATCATAAAGATTACTGTAGAAACACTGTAAAAATATCTATACAGAGATTAATATAGTTATTTACCACAGTAAAAAGAAATGGTTGAGGGAATTTAATTCCAAGAAAATAATACTCTTTTAACATGACATTTATTGTAAAGTAAATGACATAGCCTATAAGTTAGAACTGAGTTGATATAATGTTCAATATTGACCCTTGCAAATTTCCTGAAGTTAAAGAATGTTTTTCAGTCTGAGGCCTGGTTTCAGGAGTTGTATGGGCTGTAACAGTGACCTTGATTTAATGAAGGGCCTTGTGACTCTTAGAAAGTCTGGTGCATTAATAGGAGTAATATGTGTGTCAAAAGATAGGCCTGGGCAAATGGGGCCTGACATAAAGCAAGGGTTATGTGGACTGTCAGATGGGCCTGGTCCTATACTAGGGGTGGGGTGGACTGTCAGGTGGGCCTGGTCCTAAACTAGGGGTTGGGTGGACTGTCAGGTGGGCCTTGTCCTATACTAGGGGTTGGGTGGACTGTCAGATGGGCCTGGTCCTATACTAGGGGTTGGGTGGACTGTCAGATGGGCCTTGTCCTATACAAGGGGTTGGGTGGACTGTCAGGTGGGCCTGGTCCTATACTAGGGGTTGGGTGGACTGTCAGAGAGGGATAGGGAATGTCTTAGCAGAAGCATCCACAAGATTTGGCCTGGAAAATCAAACATAACACCTGCAAAATGTGTACACTTTCAGAACATGCACACACAAATTTGATTGTATGAATTATTGATCTTTACATTGTTCTTTACTTTGTACCTTTTTATTCATGATTGCCAAACAGTAATATTGACCCAGCCATTTAATTAGATATATGTTGTGTTCACATTGTGGTATAGTGCTTTTGTCAGTAAACCTCTGTTAGATGTCCAGAGTTTTCTGACCACTTTTCATTCTAGAAGTACCACATTTAAATTGTCACTCACTTAAAGAAGAGATGTTATCGAGCTTTTCAACAAATGAAGTTTTTTTTTTTAAACTCTGACTTTTCTTTGAACACTTAAAAGTGTCAAATTTCACATCACTACCAAGAAGTTGTGTTGAGCTTGAATTTCACAGAAAATGTAAGTGCTAGTTTGTGTATAGTTATTAACATATGTGCAAATTGGGGCAAAATTTGGATTGTTTTCATACTAATTTTAGATGAAAATCATGAAATTTTTGTGGATTTTGTGAATAAGAAAGAATCTCTTTACAAAAAAGCGCAATTTGACTCAAATTTTTTTGTCAGCTTGAATGAAGTGTGAATAAGAAACATTTTGGGTAAAAATAAATCCCATGAAACAGTAAATTTTTAGATTTAGCTGTCAATATTTCTTTCAGTTATTTTTAGAATTACATTACCTTCAGTAAGTACTGTATTTCAACACTTTAAAACAGGATTTTAAGTAATTTGATCCATACTTAGTCTACTTTTATCCCTTCGAGGTAACCATGGAGGGGATAAAACGTTCTGGTATGTACATACATATATGTCCACTTTCTGTCATCACTCTAGCAATTTCATTTCTCAAGCAATTTTAATCAAACTTCACATATTGGTCAAGTATCATAATATCTTTAATAAGTTGGTGCTTCAGCATGCCAGGGTTTACATAATGGTTACCGTATCTATTTTAAGAAAATCTTAAATGTGACACAATTTCAGTATAAATGGGAGCGAGGGGATTTGTATTGTTTCAACTGCCTTGTTTTATTTGGTGGAGAAGAAAGAAATATTTAATTAAAAGTAAGTCAAATGACATTATGAGTGAACTCCATTCATTGTAAACGTGGATATGTTGGATCTCATTGAGAAATTAAAGTTTAAGAAGTGGCCTCTCTGCTTGGTCAATCTCTAAGTATTAGAGAACTTTCTGTATGTGCCATGCCGAGAAAAATGTCATGATCTCTATTTGAAAGGGAAGAATTGTAAAGTTCTTACATCTAAAAGCTTTATATGATATAACTTAAGGAAACTTTACGCACGCCCACGTTTTTGTATTTGTATTCCATGATTGTAACTTATTCCATAGATGTTATATAATTTTATATTATGTGTACCTAGCTATCATTTTTTCATTAGAAAAATTTCCTTTGCTGGTCAGAGTTAATATTTTACCTTATTGGTGCGAAAATGAACACAAAAATTTGACTTGATTAGAAATTGTATCTACGATTTGTCTTTTAAAAGTTGTTGCCACTTTATTATGTATTTTCCATGTACTTGTTATTAAATCTGACCTAAAGATAAAACTATCATAAAAAGTTAAGACAATTCTGATGTTTTAAAACAACAATATAAAGATAAATTCAATTGGTTTAAATTCTAGAAACTAAAGATGCATGTTTTTTTAAAGATATGTTGAAGAATTAAAGGTTATCTGGATAGACATTTTACGTACGATTTACACAGCAGGATCTATGGTATTTTGTTGCAGGTATTTATTTCTGTACAAAGTTGTACCAAAGCACTATTTCGTATTACTGTTTCAATATTAGTACAGATAATTCTATATAAAATATGATTTGTACATGTAAGTATGATTTCACTGGAAACATTTGAAAACATGTTTGAACTGAGCTGGAATGAAAGTACTGTGGTATATAAAAATTAGGGTGAAATGTAACACTAAGTACATTGTAGTAGGTTACTGAAGCTAAAGACAAAAACCTGAAATGTCCTGGGATGATAACGATCACATGTTGAGCATTATTTTCAATGAAGATTTCAAATGTTATTCATGTAGTTCATGAAAAAATAGCAATGATCCCCATGATATTGATAGAATGTGTTAAGAATAACTTTTAACAGATCCAGAATATTGTAAATAGGACATTAAAAAATTATTTTTCAGCTTTACTTAGAAACCCTGTATGTATGCTTGAATGTACAGAATATTTGGAAATTAATCATCATATTAGGTAATTGAGCAGTGCATTTGATGAGTGAGCTGTGTATTTGACTATTGAGCAGTGCATTTGATGAGTGAGCTGTGTATTTGGTGATTGAGCAGTGTGTTTGATGAGTGAGCTGTGTATTTGGTGATTGAGCAGTGTGTTTGATGATTGAGCTGTGTATTTGGTGATTTAGCAATGTGTTTGATGATTGAGCTGTGTATTTGACTATTGAGCAGTGCATTTGATGAGTGAGCTGTGTATTTGGTGATTGAGTAGTGCATTTGATGAGTGAGCTGTGTATTTGGTGATTGAGCAGTGTGTTTAATGAGTGAGCTGTGTATTTGGTGATTGAGCAGTGCAATAGATGATTGAGCTGTATATTTGGTGATTGAGGTGTATATTTGGTGACTAAACTGTATATCTTGTGACAGAGTAGAATGTATTCTGTGATTAAGCTGTGTATTTGGTGACTAAATAGTGCATTTTGGTTACTGAGAAGAGTGGAACAGTGTATTTGTTGACTGAACGGTTTGTTTTTGGTGATAGAGCAATGTATTTAATGATTGAGCATTAATGATTGAGCAGTATATTTGGTGATTGAGCATTAATGATTGAGCAGTATATTTGGTGATTGAACAGTGTGTTTGTTGTCTCATCAGTGTACATGTATTTGTTGTCAGTGGATGAACCATGCCAGAATTTTTGTTTTTCGTAATTTAGTAGTGTATCAGGTGACTGAACAAGTTATCTTTCTGACTGAACAGTGTATTTTAAGAAATAAGCAGTGTATTTGTTGACTGAACAGTGTATTTGTTAACTGAACAGTGTATTTTGATGATTGAGCAGTGTATTTTAATGAATGGGCAGTGAATTAGGTTGCTCAACTGTGTATGAGGTGACTGAACAGTGTATTTGGTGACTGAACAGTGTATGAGGTGACTCGACAGTGTATGAGGTGACTGAACAGTGTATTTGGTGACTCAACAGTGTATGAAGTGACTGAACAGTGTATGAGGTGACTGAACAGTGTATGAGGTGACTGAACAGTGTATGAGGTGACTGAACAGTGTATGAGGTGACTCAACAGTGTATGAGGTGACTGAACAGTGTATTAGGTGACTGAACAGTGTATGAGGTGACTGAACAGTGTATGAGGTGACTCAACAGTGTATGAGGTGACTGAACAGTGTATTTGGTGACTCAACAGTGTATTAGGTGACTGAACAGTGTATGAGGTGACTGAACAGTGTATGAGGTGACTGAACAGTGTATGAGGTGACTGAACAGTGTATTTGGTGACTCAACAGTGTATTTGGTGACTCAACAGTGTATTAGGTGACTGAACAGTGTATGAGGTGACTCAACAGTGTATGAGGTGACTGAACAGTGTATTTGGTGACTCAACAGTGTATTTGGTGACTCAACAGTGTATTAGGTGACTGAACAGTGTATGAGGTGACTCAACAGTGTATGAGGTGACTGAACAGTGTATTTGGTGACTCAACAGTGTATTTGGTGACTCAACAGTGTATTAGGTGACTGAACAGTGTATTTATTGTAGGGTAATGTCCTGGATTGATCTAGAAAGTGAAATTTTAGGGATGATAACTTTGTTGTGTATTTGTAGTGTTTGTTGTGCGACTGTGATACCAGTTTTAGGGATTATAGTATTTTTACTTTTATATATTATTTATTGATAATATCATGCTATTAATTATCTGTGGTGTTGATGTAAGATGCTATAAAACTGGGTAGCTTTATCAGCAGGAATCCTTAGATATGATTCAAACTATTATAATACTTTCACCTTTATGAGAATGTTGTCTAATAATTCAATTTTTCAATAAATGTGATGACAGATTACAGAATGGTGATGTAAATTTGAAATCTGATTTGATTTAAAAGAAGGTAAAAATGTAGAGCTGTGATCCATGTTAATCCTGTCCAGTTTTATAGTACCTTGTACATCCTTTATAACTGTGTAATTGATGTTACAGATCATGTACGATATGTGATGTGGGTATAAATCAGTATCATACACAAACCATGTTTTAGTTGTTTTTAGCCTACCACTTTTATCTTTCTATCTGTTCCTAAATATTTATCTAGCTCAGATTATTTCTCAGGACCTTGATGAATCTTCTTAAAACTTCTATCCTTTGATTCCTAGTAGTGTATGGTTGATACTTAGATTGGTCAAATAAGCAAAATGATAGAAAGTGACCATGATTTTTATGGTTTGTTATTGCTTTCATACTGGTATGTGCCTCAAAAAAGTGATGGGGCATATCGTGGTATATCCTTGTTTTCCATTTCTCCGAATCATTTTTATCATTGAGATCTGCAGGATTCTTATGCATAAAAATTCTTAGTATTTTTCTTAGATGTTTACTTAAACACACTTTCAATCTACTTTACTAAGCAAGTTGCTTATTTTCCGTTGCATAAAAATTCTAAGCATCATGTTTAGTTATTTTTAGTAAAGCAGATTGCAACCTTCTTAAAATACTAGTTTCTAATTTTGAGGCGACATACCGATTCCTGTACTTTCTGTTTACAAACAAAGGCACGTGAATAAAAACACGTGCCCGGTCGTCTGCTTTCTTCAATCGCATTGAAATTGTATGTAGTCAAAATGGCCTAAGAAACGGGAGAGACGCCCTGTAAGAAACGGAAACCAAACTGGACTACCGACGAATGTCTCTATCTCACAAAACTCGTGGAGAAAAACAAAGCTGTGCTGAGATCGAAGTTTGTGACTGGGATAACATCCCTGAGGAAACGAGAGACTTGGAAAAAGATAGCTAATGCTATCAGTGCGTCTTTCACCATATGTCGATCGACTGAGGAAGTTGAAAAAATTGCATAATCTCCAAATGAAAGGAAAATCGGAGCTGTCCGATCACAAGAGGCAGACAACGATGACAGGTAGGTTACGTGTATACGTGATGGTTGAATTCCGATAAGTCCCGAAAATCCATTCATTCCGAACATCGTTCTGCAGACGACATTTAAGTTAGCAGTAGTTAGTGGGCTTTGCGCAAATGTACCAATACACTTTGACACAACGTGAAAATATAAACGTTAAAACTATCACCGCTACAAAGTTGCATTTCCCCAGTAGCATAATATCTTAATGCAATCATAACCTGCAAATGTGGGGGTAAGCTGTGGTTTCTTCCCGTCAAAGGCGCGATATCGTCTTTAACAGTATCGGTAATAAAATGAATTCCCTCCCTATCAAATCTAAGATAAAGTCCAAATGCATCGAAGTTTTGAAGTGGGTCAAACCTGTCTCTAAAATGTCTTTCTCGTCTCAACGCCCTTGCAAACTGTTGGGGTGCACTATGCTATCCATTAGCGGCGGCCATTTTGTTGGGGTTAAGTAACTTGCTTAGAAACTTACCACTGGCTCAGAGGTTGTTCAAAGATAAGAATATTCTTAAAAGATAAATTTTATGCAACCCACTCACAAAGATAAGCAAGATGCCAAGCACAAAATCCAATCTGCTAAGCAGAGTTTTTTCAATTTAAGCATATTCTTAACCACTTAAGAATTTTTATGCATACGAACCCAGACCCTTTGAAACTAAGCTTTATAAGCATGACTGGACAATGTCTTTTTAAAGATTCAGCAACTTTATCAATTTCAGAAGAGTAATTTCCCTTCTCTCTATTCATTGTTTTGAACCAGCCTCTTTTGAGACTTAAGCTCAAAATCAATACTTAACATTTATTTTCATCATCTTCTTTCTATCCTTCCTGACTTTCCATCTTGAAATTTTCCAAATATTAATGACCTTGAGTTCTGCTGTCAGTGATTTTGTTACATTAGCTGATAATACCATTCTCGAAAGAATAACTCAACACAATATTATTTGTGACATTTTTACTTAATCAATTTTCCCCTGATATCAAAGGAATGTTTAAATTTCTACAATGAGAGTTGTACACCATATAGGTATCTAGTAATATGATATTTACGTCTAAAGTTACATCATTATAATACAAAACATTGTGTATAAATGCACTTCATGTTCGGACGGATGAACATAAAATAATATGACATATTATCCTATTGTAAAAGATATATTGTTCCTAATACATTTTACTTCAAAAAAATAATGATGTATTTGTAATTGGTATGACCAAGATGAATGTTTTCTTTGGACATCTATCCCTACACTAGGTATCAAATTAACTTTTAAACATAAAACACAGTCCTTGCCACTAATTTAAAATAAAAATTGTCTGTAATGGTCTCTAATCTTTTTAAGGTATTCTTCAAAAAGAGTTACCATAACCTACCTATGAAAATGTTTACCCCAAGTTATGTGAGTTTTACCCAATTATCTGGTAAAAATAGCAGGCATTCCTAAGACAAAACTAATACTCCATTTCAATTTCTTAGATAAAACTGTAAAGCAAAATATTTCTAGTCAAGCTATACTAAAGAAAAAAATATATATATGTATATTTCAAAAATTCAAATAAAGACAAGTACATTTAACTGATTCCTGTTCAGTGGGCCTATGTTTGAGGCTGTTAATAAGCCCATGTGTTTAATGATAGCACCGATAATGGATCACTTAATATGAAAACCTATCCTACAGACTGGACCACAAACAAGGCTGCTGACCGTTCAGTTCAGTGGTAACCTTCACAGAAGTAAAATACCAAGTCATACCACACACTATTAACACAGTTGATGGTTAAAGTGTGTATGCATGAGGCAGTTACATTAAATTTTTTTCAATTTATCATGACATAAATATCAAAACAGTTTATCACCAAACTGGTCTTTCAGCTTCAGTTAGAAAGAAAATTGACAAAAATAAAGAAACTTGGTAATTCCTTGAAAAGTGTAAAGGAATCTTGGTCAAAAGCCCAATGCCTTGTCGTCTACTTCTCATGTAAGATTCTTAAACAAATACTTCATCAAGGAACTAGTTAAAACAATTTGCATCAAGTCATGGGTATATCATGTATAATTACTGATTAATCTAATTCAAAAGACTTCTGTTTGACATAAATAAACAGAAAAGGATAATCATGACACATATCATCTTCCATCAAGGTTTCCCCAACTACCATTTCCCTTCAACAAAAAAATGAAAATACTTAAATGAATGTAAGAAATGAAGATACATGTGTTATTATGTAACTTTTTTCCCCAATCATAATAATATATGTATCCAGGATAACCAATAACACAGTATTTTGTGAGAACTTGAATACATATCACATGTACAGGATAACGTAATATACGTGTTTCTACTGGGAAGTGCAGGACATGCTAACAAGTGCTGTATAAATGTTCATCTGATATAATGGAACAGTATTTCAAATCAATATCACAGTCTGGGAAAACAATAAATAAAGCATATATACAACAAATTCATGTAAATATATTTGATTTTGACATACAAGGCAATTATGTGTTGTGTTTATATAAATACTTAAAACAAAATTATCGAAGCTTGCTTTTAACTTGTTAGAAATTTCAAAAAGGTAAGAAAATTCAACTATGAATTAAAATTATTATCAATTTTGAGTTTAGAATTCTACAATATCTGATCACAATGTGGGTGATTTTTTTCTGTTCACGTCTTGACCCAAACTTTCTACAATTCAATGTTCTATCAAAGTATTATTTTGAATTTTAAATTCTAATGATATATCATTTATACTTAAAACAAACTGACTAATTTTTTTAAAAATACAAATTAAATCATAGAATGAATAAAACTGTAATTTGACAAATGACACAATTCTGAAGTTCTGAACAGACAGATTGACAACTGTTGTTCCTGTAATACACTTAACTGATATAATAGAATTTTACAACCTAATTTTCAACTGACATGTATACATGCATACATAGCCTTTGGAGTAGGTATAATATATCAGTATGTCAAGAAAATCATTGATTTGGCTCATATACAGACTATCAATGATATTATGTCCCAAACTTCTGTGAAATGTAACTATGTTTGGGAAATTCAGCCATCCAGAACTTAACCCTATAATGGTGTTTGATTAAGATTGTAGCCTGGTTCCATTTGGCCTCGGATCACATTATACATGTTTGTCCCAGTAGGCTGTCTCAGACTTCCAAGGCTTATTATGTCCATTTCAGAGAGCTGATTGCTCTTTCCCATTTCAACAATAACATCTAAAACATACCTGAATACATATTCAGATAACTTGTCAATTTATATGTTGTTTGACAATTTTTCACTACAAACGTATTCACCTCCAGTGAAGAATACTTTTTTCCATATTGGTCATTTCAGTTAAACAAGATTTGACTGCAGCCATTTCAATGTCAAAGCATCAACCTGCAGCCATTTCAATGTCACATCATTGGGCCACAGGCATTTTGATGCCACTTCATTGTGCCACCACCATTCACACATTCCAATGTCAGCAAATGGCCACATGCCATAAGCTACTAAGAACACTTTGTCCACCAGATCTGTTGTTGTGAGTCTTGTTCTTGTATGCTGGTAGGTTTGATATGTACTTATATTGTCTGTTTCTATCCTTGTATTTAAATACATGTATTAAAAACAAATATGTATTAAACACTAGAGCAGGTGCTGCTATAACTGTTTGTTGCCTGGTTGTAACCACGTGTCATCCTGGAGAGTTTGTCCTGATGGTGGCCTGCAACAATCAATACAACATATAGAGGTTAGGTGACAGAAAATTAAAATTTTTATTTAAATATTAGACAAAAAGGTAACTCATGTTTTTAACTTTTGTTGTTTGAAACATAATGCCCAATGCATATTTTGATTCACCAAATGACTTTATTTGTAAAGAGTGACCATATGATACATATTTTGTCCCTATACAGAAGAGGTTCGCTTGCTATTCACCTATATTTACATACTGGTAGTCTATATTTTTTCTTTTAAAATAAGGTTAGAACTTGCTTGCTCCAAAGACTGGACATAATAGCATAACTCTAAGACAAGTAAATCTTCTATTGAGGATGTCAGGTTGTTCTGAGGAGGTTGTCTGAACTGTGTTAATGTTCTATCAAGGATGTCAGTCAGGTTGTTCTGAGGAGGTTGTCTGAACTGTGTTAATGTTCTATCAAGGATGTCAGTCAGGTTGTTCTGAGGAGGTTGTCTGAACTGTGTTAATGTTCTATGGAGGATGTCAGTCAGGTTGGTCTGAGGAGGTTGTCTGAACTGTGTTAATGTTCTATCGAGGATGTCAGATTGTTCTGAGGAGGTTGTCTGAACTGTGTTAATGTTCTATCTAGGATGCCAGTCAGCCATGTTCCGAGGTTGTCTGAACTGTATTTCATACATTACCTATTATATCTCTGTTTGGCCATGAAGTTTTCCAGAATTTCATCAGGATCTGTCATTGAAACCTCATCAGCTGTAATAAAAACAAAGTTATTTTTACTTGCTTTCTAAGAGAAAAACATTAACTTACAATGTGCTTTAATTCTGAAGGAAAGAAATTGACAAACACATTCTGAACTACCTACTGCCAGTTGAATCCAGAATGTGTATAAAAATTGGGATTATTTTTTACCAACAATAAAAATGTAACATTCAAAATACATGTAATACAATTTATTAAAACAAGTCTGGAGAAGCAGTGGATCACATCTTACCATTAGCATCAGTAAGTAAAGGAACTATGAACTAAACTGACCATTTATTTGTTGTAAGCGTCTAATCCTTGCATCATTCTTCCTCTGCAGTCCGTCAACATCTAGACTTGACACAGATCCCATCACATTGGACGGGCCAGCTAGATCATGCTGTAGACAAAGAAAATAAATGTCAATACTTTCACAGATAATTGTACAAAGCAATGTCTTAAAAATAACTTGATATGAATTTAAGATGGACTACCAAAGTTCTTTTGCCATCACTTTAACCAATTTTGAGGTTGAGATATTTAAGATCTGACAGCTAAATGTGTGTTTTTATTTAGTTCTATTGTGAAGTCATACATGCTTTCTCTCTTCTTTTTTAAAGGGATTTCTGCATTTAGAGGTAATTAAATTTATTTTGGGAGGGCATTGTAAATGTGTATTTTGTTCTTATTTTTTTTTTATTTCATTTTCTGTTCAGATATGAAGAGATTTATCATTTTTCCTCTCCATATGACACAGTATGTAATACATACCAGGGGTGTGACACGCTCCCTTCTCCTGAGACGTGCAGAATCATTCCTTTTGGGCATGTCGTCAAAGTCCTCTGGGAAGTGATTAACGTTTTCTACATCTGTTGGGAAATCCAGTGATATTGTCAGAACAAGTATAACACTGATAATTCACCTAGTATCATTTCTAAATCATTCCAACAATTATATTAAAACCACATTGTTGTACATGTAGTACATGTGCTGTTCTTAGTATACATTTTATTTGTTTATACAGACATGTCAATCTTGATCATGCATTTCATTTAATCATGATTTTCCAGTATTTTTATTTTACAATTTAGAAAATCTGTAAGCAATTCTTATAATATAATACGAAGAAAAGTATAAATAAATAAATAACGATAAAAAAAAATGAAAAAAATAAGACCATTTAAAATAAAATGATATCATTTATGTATAATGTAATTTATAACAAAATACATGCCAGATAATAATGATACATATGGAAAAAACATATAGGAGCTAAGATTATCATAATCTATAGTCTGTATTTTCATAATGCAGAGTTATCTGCTCTTGCGAGTAGGTATAGATTGTTACGTCGTTTGTTTGTGAGAGTAACTTACTGAGAAAACATGAAAATAATAACAAAAAAGATGGAGTAGGTGTTAATGAAGAGAACTAATTATACTCTGAAATAAGTTAATGTTCAAGTGAATTAGTGTGTTAATGTACCTTCATATAGAATGTATAAGTGAATATAATATACATTTATACAAAGTCTGATATAATCTAGGTTCTACTCTAATGATATACCTTAAATTTCTTTTTAAAAAAAGTTATTCTACAATAACACATTTTTAATGTAGACTTTTTCTATCATGCTTGATTACACATTAGTGATGCAAACCATAGTTCAGGGATTAGTACAGGTATTTGTTATAAATCTGTATGTATATATAACTGGTATCCTTCATTAACCATATATAAGTCATAAAATTCATACACCAGTCCCACAACCATATACATCAAGGTATAATTAGAAAAAATAAGTTGAATATGACAAAGTTGTGTTTTGCCTCATCCCTCCCACATCTTCATAAAAATATATACACCATATATCATGCCCTTCCCACTCTAATATTTATATAGAATTACTATAATTAGACCTCATAGAATTAAAATTTTCACTTAATACATAAAAATTCTCTCCCCTGACTTTACTAACAGTGATGTATTTGACTACATTATCTCCCCTGACTTTACTAACAGTGATGTATTTCACTATATTCTCTCCCCTGACTTTACTAACAGTGATGTATTTGACTACATTCCCTCCCCTGACTTAACTAACAGTGATGTATTTGACTATATTCCCTCCCCTGACTTAACTAACAGTGATGTATTTGACTATATTATCTCCCCTGACTTTACTATCAGTGATGTATTTGACTACATTATCTCCCCTGACTTTACTATCAGTGATGTATTTGACTACATTCCCTCCCCTGACTTTAATAACAGTGATGTATTTGACTACATTCTCTCCCCTGACTTTACTAACAGTGATGTATTTGACTACATTCTCTCCCCTGACTTTAATAACAGTGATGTATTTGACTACATTCCCTCCCCTGACTTTACTAACAGTGATGTACATTTCCTTGTATGTTTGTATTATATTGTTGGCAAATCCATCTTTGAAAAGAGTAATATTACTGGTTAAAATCATGTTGAAAAATCGTAAAACTCATTTCGAGTGTAGAGTTAGAAGGTGACCATGCCCAGTAACACACATGCAGAACCAACCTATGAATGCTGTGTTGGCCTGGAGCAGAGATCTTGGCGTGCCGGTGCCTTGGCGCGCAGACATACCTAGGTCATTAGGCGGGACGTAGCCTGTCAGATACGACATTTGGTTAATTATACAACAGTGGAAATATAATGGAAGTCTTGAAAATGTAAAAAGCATGTGTGATTAATCAATGATAGAAAAATAAAAACAGGTTAATTATATATATGTCCAACCTTGAATCAATTTTAACATCAGTAATATATGTTTTTAAAAAATTCTTATATCAACATAGGGTCATATATTACACAATTATAATTTGATACTAGAAAAGATTTACAAAATATATTGTTGATTGGACAAAGATGAAGGATGTCAAGTATTCCATACAGATCATCAGTGTGATGGTCTACTATAGGGTATACATGTATTTGGATGTTTTGTCTGTTTTCCTATAATTGCAAAACATCCAGTATGTCTTTGAAATATTCAATCAATATACCTTTTATTAATTTGTGAAGTACAAATATCACTGATGTCTATAATTCAAGGTTGTTTATTTCAAAGATTCATTAGAGATATTGTAGAATCTAAAAAAAATATTGCTACTTTTTTCTGACTACAGAAGTAAGCATAGATCATCAGGATAAGCAGATATCATAAGGTTTTATCAAATATTTAATAAGACTGTAATGACTTCAGAATGATACTTCAGTTTAGCGGATGGTGTTGAAAATAACAACAAAAGGATTTGTGAATTCTTCAAGTTATGATAACATATCATACTCATTCATCTTTATTGGTTATAAATTCAGGGTCATGGTATGTTGATTTCAAACAATTTGTTGTCCTCTTGTACCAAACAACTAAAACCTGTCTTTTTGAAACAAAAACTTGGGTTTTGTCGTTTGCAGTGTAGATGGGATTTATAGTACTAAGCCTGACAGAAGATTTTGGGGATTGCTTTAGTAAAAGTCACAATTGTTTTGTTTAGCTAGCTTTGGAAGTATCCTTTCCTGATTTTCTTCTTTTTCTAAAACAGGATAATTTCAACATATGATGTAATGATTTTAAAATCTAGTGTCAATATTAGAGTAACAAGATGAAGAATTCACAACTCTAACAGGTGCCAAGAGAAAATTGTCATAATACACAGCCATAGAAGAGCTGTAGAAGATATATCATTACTACATGTATACATTAATATAACACTGCAACAGAACTGTAATAAACTACTACTGAAGCTAGGAAGAGCCTGTTTACATTGACGATGTGAGTTGAGCTCCCAGGCGTGGAAACGTCCTGTCGGGGAGAAGTACTCTTCAGTACAGAGGAGTACATGAAATATTAATGTAGGGTTATATACAGAACAGTAGTGAATAATTCTTAAAGATGGTTTTCTGCAGTAAACTTCATATAACAAGTAACATTAAATATGAATATCCTAATCATGAGGACACATTTACAAACTAATTCTCAGAGACATTTTGTAATTACAAAAAAAAAAAAAAAAAAAAAATCTATATATATGTCAAATCAGCAAGCCATTATGGTAAAGATGCTTCACACAACTGAACAAATATTGACCAGTCCTACAACAACTGCATACTTTGGTAAAAACATCTAGTTTCAAACATTCACACACTTTTAAAAAGCAGCATCAACTTCTAGCTTTACATTTGTCATCAGAGTTCATTTACAACCATTTCTTGTTTCCCCTGTCTCCTATACCTAATGGAAGTTCGATCTACAGCCATTCCTTCTCGGCCTATACCTAGCAGTAGTTCAATGTACAGCCATTTCCTATCTACAGTACATAGCAGTAGTTCAATCTACACCCATTTCCTTTCTACAGTACCTGGCAGTAGTTCAGTCTACAGCCATTTCCTGTCTACAGTACCTAGCAGTAGTTCAATCTACACCCATTTCCTGTCTACAGTACCTAGCAGTAGTTCAATGTACAGCCATTTCCTGTCTACAGTACCTAGCAGTAGTTCAATGTACAGCCATTTCCTGTCTACAGTACCTAGCAGTAGTTCAATCTACAGCCATTTCCTGTCTACAGTACCTAGCAGTAGTTCAATCTACAGCCATTTCCTGTCTACAGAACCTAACAGTAGTTCAATGTACAGCCATTTCCTGTCTACAGTACATAGCAGTAGTTCAATGTACAGCCATTTCCTGTCTACAGTACCTAGCAGTAGTTCAATGTACAGCCATTCCCTGTCTACAGTACCTAGCAGTAGTTCAATGTACAGCCATTTCCTGTCTACAGTACCTAGCAGTAGTTCAATGTACAGCCATTTCCTGTCTACAGTACCTAGCAGTAGTTCAATCTACAGCCATTTCCTGTCTACAGAACCTAACAGTAGTTCAATCTACAGCCATTTCCTGTCTACAGTACATAGCAGTAGTTCAGTCTACAGCCATTTCCTGTCCACAGTACCTAGCAGTAGTTCAATCTACAGCCATTTCCTGTCTACAGTACATAGCAGTAGTTCAGTCTACAGCCATTTCCTGTCTACAGTACCTAGCAGTAGTTCAATCTATAGCCATTTCCTGTCTACAGTACCTAGCAGTAGTTCAGTCTACAGCCATTTCCTGTCTACAGTACATAGCAGTAGTTCAATGTACAGCCATTTCCTGTCTACAGTACCTAGCAGTAGTTCAATCTACAGCCATTTCCTGTCTACAGAACCTAACAGTAGTTCAATCTACAGCCATTTCCTGTCTACAGTACATAGCAGTAGTTCAGTCTACAGCCATTTCCTGTCTACAGTACCTAGCAGTAGTTCAATCTACCTCCATTTCCTGTCCACAGTACCTAGCAGTAGTTCAATGTACAGCCATTTCCTGTCTACAGTACATAGCAGTAGTTCAGTCAACAGCCATTTCCTGTCTACAGTACCTAGCAGTAGTTCAATCTATAGCCATTTCCTGTCTACAGTACCTAGCAGTAGTTCAGTCTACAGCCATTTCCTGTCTACAGTACTTAGCAGTAGTTCAATCTACAGCCATTTCCTGTCTACAGTACCTAGCAGAAGTTCAATCTACAGCCATTTCCTGTCTCCTATACCTAGCAGTAATTCATTTTAAAGCCATTCCCTGTCTACAGTACCTAGCAGTATTTCAATGTACAGCTATTTCCTGTCTACAGTACCTAGCAGTAGTTCAATCTACAGCCATTTCCTGTCTACAGTACCTAGCAGAAGTTCAATCTACAGCCATTTCCTGTCTACAGTACCTAGCAGAAGTTCAATCTACAGCCATTTCCTGTCTCCTTTACCTAGCAGTAATTCATTTTAAAGCCATTCCCTGTCTACAGTACCTAGCAGTATTTCAATGTACAGCCATTTTCTGTCTCCTATACCTAGCAGTAGTTCAATGTACAGCCATTTCCTGTCTCCTATACCTAGCAGTAGTTCAATGTACAGCCATTTTCTGTCTCCTATACCTAGTAGTAGTTCAATGTACAGCCATTTTCTGTCTCCTATACCTAGTAGTAGTTCAATCTACAGCCATTTCCTGTCTACAGTACCTAGCAGAAGTTCAATCTACAGCCATTTCCCGTCTACAGTACCTAGCAGAAGTTCAATGTACAGCCATTTCCTGTCTCCTATACCTAGCAGTAATTCATTTTAAAGCCATTCCCTGTCTACAGTACCTAGCAGTATTTCAATGTACAGCCATTTTCTGTCTCCTATACCTAGCAGTAATTTATTTAAAAGCCATTTCCTGTCTCCTATACCTAGCAGTAGTTCAATGTACAGCCATTTTCTGTCTCCTATACCTAGCAGTAGTTCAATGTACAGCCATTTTCTGTCTCCTATACCTAGTAGTAGTTCAATGTACAGCCATTTTCTGTCTCCTATACCTAGTAGTAGTTCAATGTACAGCCATTTTCTGTCTCATACACCTAGCAGTAGTTCAATGTACAGCCATTTTCTGTCTCCTATACCTAGCAGTAGTTCAATGTACAGCCATTTTCTGTCTCCTATACCTAGTAGTAGTTCAATGTACAGCCATTTTCTGTCTCATACACCTAGCAGTAGTTCAATGTACAGCCATTTTCTGTCTCCTATACCTAGCAGTAGTTCAATCCAAGCCATTTTCTGTCTACAGTACCTAGCAGTAGTTCAATGTACAGCCATTTTCTGTCTACAGTACCTAGCAGTAGTTCAATGTACAGCCATTTCCTGTCTACAGTACCTAGCAGTAGTTCAATGTACAGCCATTTTCTGTCTCCTATACCTAGTAGTAGTTCAATGTACAGCCATTCCCTGTCTACAGTACCTAGCAGTAGTTCAATGTACAGCCATTTCCTGTCTACAGTACCTAGCAGTAGTTCAATGTACAGCCATTTCCTGTCTACAGTACCTAGCAGTAGTTCAATCTACAGCCATTTTCTGCCTCCTATACCTTGCAGTAATACTTGTACCAACCTTGTGGCTTGTTTATTACATGTGTTTTCTCTCGTGACAATAATCCTGCCCGTGACACTTGATGAAATTAAATCATTTTGTTAATTTCTTAAATAACATCAAACTTCATAATCTTATTCTAATATAGTTACAGCCTTTTCTAGGTTTAAACTGACATGCTTTTGGTCAGATTCTACTGTGTATAAAGTATACAACATAGCGATTATGGATGACTCTTTGATTACACAGCTGTCTTCAAGAAAACATTATTCCAAAAAATTTATATGGCTTCCTGCAGAAAGATGTACAGATTAAGAAAAGAATATACAAATACCAGAAGTTTTCTATAAAAATGAAACAAACTTTCTATAGAAATGAGAGATTTCTGACAAAGTTAATGAAGGTTCACCTGTTCTTGTTCCTTAAGTTGAAGTTAAAGTAAGACAGAAAGGTCATCAGAAAAAGTTTGAAATGAAAAAAGAAATCTTAACTTTTCAATAAAAATAAGATTTTTTATATTGCAATGCAGAAATAGTACAGAACTGTTCTAGGTATAAAGATATTTGTAGATAATCTGAATCCATGCAACATATTTACTTTAATGAAACAAGTTTGATTTAAAAATTACTATGTTTACTAAACAGCAATTGTGGCAAATATCAATTGGAATCTAGCTATTACATTATGTAGAATAACAGATTACATTTTAAATAGTCCCAACCTTATAACAATACACCACAGATCATCATTTGTTTACATGAATCTGGTAAGAAATGGTATCTTTCTAACTTACTTCTGTCTTTAAGTGTGCGTATTTGTTCATTCTGTTGTCTCAGCATGGCGTCCTGCTGTGACTCCAGGGTTGTGTTTGTGTATGGCTGCTCTGGGAACATACTTCTAAATGCACGACGTGATTCTGTATCACCTGTAATATAACAAAGCAGTGTAAGTACAACTGTACTGGTACCTATCAGAATACTTATACATAACAAGGTTACAGGTGAGAAAACCAGTCTGTAAAGAGGTCACAGTTAGGTATACAATTGTACATAATGAGGTTACAAGTTGTCAAGGTAATACGTGAGCACATCTGTACATTAAAAAGGTAAGTCATTAACACACCTGCACTGATTACTGATTACCACAACAATGTATCAACTTATGATAAATCGATGGAAACTGATTGATATTACAGTATCATATACCATGATGAGGATGATGAAATATCCTTATACTGACAAACATTTCTAAAAATACAGAGATCTACAGAATAATGTAGATACTTCAACATCCACAATCTCTCAACATATACTAACACAGTTAGTCAATACTTTAAAGATTCTGTTAACAAAAACACAAACTTCAAAACAGACTTAAGTCAAAACAACCTGTTGACCAGGAGCTGTTCACCAAGTCCATCACTTTATCGGTAACAGGATTAGTTTTTTTAATGATCACTTATATGATAAGTAAACATTTACAAACACTCGATGATTTGATATACAGTTTAAACAATACTAACATGTATATGTAATATTCTTACTTATTACAATCTTAACGGCCCGTCAATACATAAAAGGTCAATAGGGCCATATATATGTAACGGTTATTACAGGATGTCATGAATACTAAATAACAAGAACACTGATGTTTTGGCTGTTTTGTCATTATTTACCATCTATATCAATTTCTGACTTGTTCAATGATACAATGAAACACTAGAATGCAAATCCTGGTAAAAATGAACAACTTTACTGTAACAGTAGATTCTGGTCATGAACAATAGAGTACCATATCAGGAAATCCATTTCACTATAAAGTTACTAACTCATAACTGTAGGAAAGCAAGTTACACAGCTAGTATACACATTCAAGGAATCATTAAGAAATCTCTGCTTTTTCGTTACCCATCAACATTTGAAATTATTTTCAACAAATGCGGTAAAAATAGGTTCCATCTTTGAAAATGAATCCAGAACATTCAACAAAGTTACTAAAAATAATAATTTTGTAAACATAATCACACTGCCAAAAGATGGTCTAGGATGCCTACGTTTCGGGAACATTAAGGTAAGGGAAATACAATCACAACTAACCATACTTGCCAATTTTAAAAAAAATCATTTTCCGAATTAATTTCAAGCCTCAAATATTATCAAATGATAGACAATTTTTCAATTTGCATCTTAAAATTAGAAATAATGAAAAAGTTTTAAAGATCAATTTAAATCTGAAATTTGGCAACAAGCTCCATTCAAAATATGAAAGGTGTGCAAGTATGCCTAATTAATAAAATACATCGACTAATTAATAAACTGTCTATTAGTGGTAAAAGACAACATCACCAATAAGGAAGGGCACATCTGTTCTATGATAGCTAAACATAAAGTAAATTCTGTTTACACATGTACAGTTAGCAAACAATTCTATTACATGAAAACAATTCTAAAAAGATTAGTGATGGCAAACTTATCAATATGAATTTTTGAACCAAATACTTAACTCAGAAAACTTTTATTCCAAATCTTAAAATAAATAATCAAATCTAATTGAGATTTTTTGTATAACTTTATGATAAAGACAAGTGTTACATGATCTGTATATATGGAAGCACTGCTGTAGACTTAAGTACCAGTAAATGTTGTCATAATGGTATAGAAAATATCAGGAAAAGATGGCAAGAAGTACAGCTGTATGTAGTACAGAGAATGTAATGTACATACATTATCTATACTGCATGGGAGATAATGCACAGCTATCTGTATTACAGAGGAGATAATGTTCACACATTATCTATGCTGCATGAAGCTAATGTACAGCTGTCTATCTTACACAATACACGGAAGATAACTCCAGGTTAAAAAAAAAAAAAAAAAGGCCAAAATTAACTTCATAATTCCATGAAATATTCTGACACTTCAAAATATCATCAAGCTGCCTATAACTTCAACAACAAATAAAGATCAATAATAGTATCACTGTGTTATTTTCCACAGAACAGTATTTAGGATATTTTGTTTGATCTAATCTGAGGTAGAATCTAGACTCTTACCAAATACTATGTTATAAATATTTCAGTAGTACACTAAAGTTAAAAAAGCTGCCACCTAGCTTTTAATGTACAAAGATGTTCACAATTTCACTGATTACCTAGTATAGTCTTGCCTTTCTTAAACACTACTATATTTATATATGATAACATTCTAGGAGACTGTAGGTGTCATTAATTATCGGTTCCTCCACACCAAAAAGAATTCGCTTCACTTACATTTTATTGAATGTCAATCTCAAATGATCAATCACTTGTTAGCCAGACATGGATGAGGGAATTCAAACTTTAGGGAGAATGATGTTTTGATGGGTTTATTTCATCCAATTAAATATTGGTAATACCATTCCCTTAGTCTGAATGACCTCATCCATATCCTACTGCCACTGTACACCTGTACATACATACATGGACACTAATGTAAAATTGACAATAAAACATTTATAGTCATACCAGGGGGTGCAGCTTTTGATTCTGGAAACAGAGGTGATATTCCAGGTAAGGAATGATTTGTAACAATGTAGGTACAAAGACTTATATGTATGGTATTAAAATGTATGAAAAGTATTTAAAATGTTTTAAAAATTAAAGCACTAAAACTCAAAACTGTTTCACATCAATGTATTTCAGAAGAATATCAACACAAAAATTAATTTAAAGACAACACTCATTTCAGCTCAAACCAACAATATGCATTTTTTGGCACTACTTATAATCTGACATACCAGCACTGGCCTCAGAGGTTGGAGCTGAAATATTAAACCACCAATAATATCAGTCTCCATATAACTTTGAGAAAAATTCTTACAGCTATTGTCAGGTAAATTAAATTTTAAATAAATCTCAGATTAAGTATAGTAACAAGAAGAACCTGAGAAAAATTTATTTACAGTAAATTATTTTCATATCAAAGATATACTAAAAAAATTATATAGAGTGAAAAAAATATCTCAATCTTAAAACTATCAAATTGTTGTATTAGGTCAAAGGTTAAAATAAAAAGAACATTTAAAAATAACAATGTACAACAACAACAAAAAAGCCCACTAACAAACAAAGAGTACTGCCAATGGATGTACAAGATGTCTGTTGAAATTAAATGATAAGTTGAATGTATCCTATTTTAACTACTGGTAACACACTGAGGGTATAACGACATACAAGTTGATAATGGTCCATATTTATCTACATCACAGAGAAAATGTACAATGAAATATCTCCAGTCTTTATCTCATGTTTTCATTTTCACTATGCCTTAATCATGAAGAGGCCTGCAGGTTGACAATCCTTTTTTTAATTGTATCTGTAAATTACTTCAATTTCTAGGTGTCAATTCAGAACAAACTAAAAAAGAATTCAAAATATCTTGAATCTTTCAAATGCCATGGCAGTAAAACACAACAAAATCTCTTTTGTGAGTTATGGGAGTATTCACAAGTACAGCAAAAGGTTAGAAAAGGAAATTGTAGTAAATCACTACAGTAAATTATGGTGTTAAAACTTTAATGTCTTCTCAAACTCCATGATCATTAGAACACACATCAAGTATCAACTGAAATGTAATCAAAATTTCAAATACTGATCAGACACAAATATTAAACAAAAAAATTACACACCTATATAAATCTACTTAAATAACACAAACAGTTATGAATGAAACACAAAACATTGATCACATGTTATCTACAATATTTTTCCTCAGATAAACAACAACTTCACACATCAACACAAGGCACCTACCAATAGGTGCTGCTGGATCCTCCGGGGCTGTAAGAAAATCTCATACCTGTAGATCTGTCTTAATAATTATCCATCACTATATAATAAACTCACACCTGTAGGTCTATCTTAATAATTATCCATCACTATATAATAAACTCACACCTGTAGGTCTATCTTAATAATTATCCATCACTATATAATAAACTCACACCTGTAGGTCTATCTTAATAATTATCCATCACTATATAATAAACTCACACCTGTAGGTCTGTCTTAATAATTATCCATCACTATATAATAAATCTCACACCTGTAGGTCTATCTTAATAATTATCCATCACTATATAATAAATCTCACACCTGTAGGTCTATCTTAATAATTATCCATCACTATATAATAAACTCACACCTGTAGGTCTATCTTAATAATTATCCATCACTATATAATAAACTCACACCTGTAGGTCTGTCTTAATAATTATCCATCACTATACAATAAACTCACACCTGTAGGTCTGTCTTAATAATTATCCATCACTATATAATAAACTCACACCTGTAGGTCTATCTTAATAATTATCCATCACTATATAATAAATCTCAAACCTGTAGGTCTATCTTAATAATTATCCATCACTATATAATAAATCTCACACCTGTAGGTCTGTCTTAATAATTATCCATCACTATATAATAAACTCATACCTGTAGGTCTGTCTTAATAATTATCCATCACTATATAATAAATCTCACACCTGTAGGTCTGTCTTAACAATTATCCATCACTATATAATAAACTCACACCTGTAGGTCTGTCTTAATAATTATCCATCACTATATAATAAACTCACACCTGTAGGTCTGTCTTAATAATTATCCATCACTATACAATAAACTCACACCTGTAGGTCTGTCTTAATAATTATCCATCACTATATAATAAATCTCACACCTGCAGGTCTATCTTAACAATTATCCATCACTATATAATAAACTCACAACTGTAGGTCTGTCTTAATAATTATCCATCACTATATAATAAACTCACACCTGTAGGTCTATCTTAACAATTATCCATCACTATATAATAAACTCACAACTGTAGGTCTGTCTTAATAATTATCCATCACTATATAATAAATCTCACACCTGCAGGTCTATCTTAGTATAGGGCATTACCTGAAGAAATTCCAGTCATTTCACATTCTTTTAGTTCAGTTTTATTCTGAGCAGTGGAAACACAGCACTTACCCTTTTATAGTTTGAGATAACAAAACTGCCATTGTGATTCTTTATAAAAAGGAACATTTATTTTCCAGTTACCATTCCAAAAGAATTCTTTTCGCATTCATTCTGTGACATAATATTCATATTTACCTACCATTTTCATGGTGTCATGAATCACCAGTAAATTACTGCTGTAAACCTGGTGGGTGTGTCTGTGGTGGTGGGGAGAGTGGAGAGGGTGGGGAGGGGGGTGGTTGTGGCAATATGCGCACATATATGCTATTAATCAGGTTTACCTTTATACTTCAGGTCCTGAAACTCCTGTATATTCTTTGGATTAGCATTGTCTGAAACCCTCTGTGGGACAGAGGCATTGCCTTGGGTAGCTCTTTCAAATACATCCACTTCTTTCCTGAAAAATCAATTTTAAATAAAAATGTATTACGAAATAATTAATGTACAACCTTGCAATCTTTCTTTTTTCACCCAGCTTTACAGACATTACAACAGATGCAGAAATAATGAATATAAAAAATAGGAAGTCAAATCTGGAAATACTTACGGTGGGGGTCTCTGTACTAATCTTGGGTCAAACACCTCAGGTTCATTCTGGAATTTAAATGAGTCAAAGTTTATCACAAATAGTCACTTTATAGCTAGATACATTAGGGACAAATAATCAACATTATATTCAACCAAGATACTTCTGTAGTCAAGCTGTATTCAATTCAACCAAGATACTTCTATGGTCAAGCTGTATTCAATTCAACCAAGATACTTCTGTAGTCAAGATGTATTCAATTCAAACAAGATACTTTTGTGGTCACACTGTATTCAATTCAACCAAGATACTTCTGTGGTCACACTGTATTCAATTCAACCAAGATACTTCTGTGGTCAAGCTGTATTCAATTCAACCAAGATACTTCTATGGTCAAGCTGTATTCAATTCAACCAAGATACTTCTGTGGTCAAGCTGTATTCAATTCAACCAAGATACTTCTATGGTCAAGCTGTATTCAATTCAACCAAGATACTTCTATGGTCAAGCTGTATCCAATTCAACCAAGATACTTCTGTGGTCACACTGTATTCAATTCAACCAAGATACTTCTGTGGTCAAGCTGTATTCAATTCAACCAAGATACTTCTGTAGTCAAGATGTATTCAATTCAAACAAGATACTTTGTGGTCACGCTGTATTTAATTCAACCAAGATACTTCTGTAGTCAAGATGTATTCAATTCAACCAAGACACTTTTGTGGTCACACTGTATTCAATTCAACCAAGATACTTCTGTGGTCACACTGTATTCAATTCAAACAAGATACTACTGTGGTCAAGCTGTATTCAATTCAACCAAGACACTACTGTGGTCAAGATGTATTCAATTCAACCAAGATACTTCTGTGGTCAAGATGTATTTAATTCAACCAAGATACTTCTGTGGTCAAGATGTATTCAATTCAACCAAGATACTACTGTGGTCACGCTGTTAACAAGAATCAGTGGTGTGGTCTACCTTTTGTTTGTTGAGGGCTCCTTCCACTCTCTTTCGTTCACTCTCCAGCTGCTGTCTCATGTTAGCTAGCTCCCGCAGGACCTCTGAACCTAGTAAACAGGAGCACAGACATTTCATATGACCTTACTGGTGCTATTATTAATAAGGTATCACGGAACGATATCCATCCCCACAATCAATACTTAGTCCAGAGACTGATTTGTAATTTAGGACATTCATCAGTCCAGGGGATCTCAAATTATTGAGTAAAACATTAATTATTGTGTCTACATAAATTTCTATTTATACAGTGATCTGGGCCTACATTGACATTTTACTTCAAAAGTAATCCAAAAGTAACAAGTTGTTTAAGAAAGCAGTGCAAGATGTTTAAGTCCGATAGGTTTTAAGAGTGGAAACACATTTTCTATTTGTAGTGAAGCCACATTTACCTTTGACCTTTCACATATGAGGAAAACTGAGTGAAGTTTGAATTTACTCTGTCTAAAGGAACTTGAGTTATAGGGTGGAAACCAATTTTCTATTTATAGCAACAGTGACCTTGATTTCTAATCTTTTGACTCCAAAAGCAATCCAAACAAAGCATTCCAAATGAGAAAATAGTGTGTCAAGTTTGAGTTCGACTGGTCCACTTGACCTTCCTTTATTGTCTGGTACTGGTGATCCAGACAAATTTTCTATTTATAGTAATAGTGACCTTGACATTGGACCTTTTCGCCCCAAAAAAGCATTGCTAGCAAGCACTCCTGACAAGAATGCAGAGTGTTTGAATTTGGTCAATGTGCTTTAATTTATGTTATTGTTCGGAAATGTTGATACAAACAGATGAAACGACAGATGACAATTACTTTTACAATATCTGGTTCTGGTCTTCATTTGGATGGATAATAAATGACAGGCATTATCTCATTATTACTGAAATATGTGTTAGAGTTATCTCTCTTACAAACTTCTCATCTATGTCATCTCAGGAATCAGAAGGACTGCTACAAATGTAGCTCTTCATCTACAAATCTAAGAGGGTAAGTCATGAAGGATTTATTCTAAAGCTACAATAAGGGGAAATTTCAGAAGTTGTCAGATAATAAACCTAGAATCTCTAGCAGGGTATTTAATTATACTTACTGTTAGCTCTCTGTAGAGGTTCTGGTGGAGGCCTTGCCTGTTGAGGAGAAAACATTCAAACTGATTCCAATTTTAAAATCACTACATGAAAGTGGATTGTATTTCTGTGTTAGTAATGAGTCTCAGCATGCAAGTGTAAGCTTTATATAGGTTATACATGTATAATGGATCTGACATGCATGAATAACTACACATCCAATTTGTATCTGCGACATGCTATAGGTTTAATTCAATGATACATTCTGTCCAAGACATGCTACAGGTTGAAAACTTATTTGATACATTCTAATACCTAGTAGATAGTAGAAGCACTATGTTGAAGAAATGATTCGATCAATATCAAATGCAATAGGATTGTACTGATGTTTTCCCTACAGCCTTTAGTGTAGAATTGGTCCAAGATATCATTTATCTTCCAGCTCATATTTCATTATTAATATCAAATGTTTTACCTCAACAAGTCTATCCTGCTTTGTTCATTTGGCTACAATCACAGAAAGAATTTACCAAAACACAAAACTCATTGTATTTCTATGTGATTTTTACTACTACACTACACATGATGGAAGAGAATATGAAAAAAATCTCTGTCTGTGTGCAGGCATCCTCAGATTTGAAAAACAATAACATGTATAGCATAGCAGTAAATCAGCTAAAATATAACTAAAATAAAATCTCATGTCTTTATTTGTAGTTGTTCTGCATAAGGTGATGACTCTTGTTGACTTTCTAGGCCAAATGTACTCTGTGACCTTGTGCACTCCGTGACCTTGTGCACTCTGTGACTGTACTCTCAGTACTTGATGACTTCAGTGTTACTCTCAGTACTTGTTGACCTTGTGTTACCTTGGGTTTTGGTTGCGGTTCCTGTTGGGTCCTTTGGGCGGGAACAGGCGGCGAATCTGTTCTAGCATCACCCCCATCTCCACTTTTCTGTGTTAGGTAAATTTGGGATTAGTATAAATGAGGTATCTACATATATCTATCAAAGCTGGGTGTCATTAATACATAATATATAGGTAAAACAAGGTGAAAATTACAATAAAATTAGGTGAACAATTGAGACTGGGGAAATTTGAACCCTCACATGTAAAGTAAAATACCATGGAAGAAGATGAACACAGCAGAACATCAGTTGGTGATTCAGACAGATATCTGTATCATAACAATTAACAGGAGCTGTGGCATATCAGGTAACTCCTCTCAAAGAGAAAGTGAAATCAGGTGGTGAGTAGGAGACAAAGTTTCCTGCTCCACATGTGGCACCTGTCATCTGATGCTGTGATGCAGAACAGACAGGTATTCTTTATCATCTAAAGGTTCAAAATTAGCACTATATCTAATAAAATCCTAAATACTACAATGGCATGACTAGCGCTGACTAATCTAAGTGATTCATAACTAGCTACATGTTCTGTGCTGTTGGTGAGGTGACCTTAACATAACTGTTGTAATGTTATGCTAAACATGACATAACGCTTGTTTTCTATTCTGGTGGATGATGATGCTGTTGGTGACATGACCTTAACATAACTGTTGTAGTAAAATGCTAAACACGACATGACACTTGTTTTCTATTCTGGTGGATGATGATGCTGTTGGTGACGTGACCTTAACATAACTGTTGTAGTGTAATGCTAAACATGACATGGTACTTGTTTTCTATTCTGGTGGATGATGATGCTGTTGGTGAGGTGACCTTAACATAACTGTTGTAGTGTAATGCTAAACACGACATGACACTTGTTTTCTATTCTGGTGGATGATGATGCTGTTGGTGAGGTGACCTTAACATAACTGTTGTAGTGTAATGCTAAACATGACATGGTACTTGTTTTCTATTCTGGTGGATGATGATGCTGTTGGTGAAGTGACCTTAACATAACTGTTGTAGTGTAATGCTAAACATGACATGACGCTTGTTTTCTATTCTGGTGGATGATGATTCTGTTGGTGAAGTGACCTTAACATAACTGTTGTAGTAAAATGCTAAACACGACATGACACTTGTTTTCTATTCTGGTGGATGATGATGCTGTTGGTGCGGTGACCTTAACATAACTGTTGTAGTGTAATGCTAAACATGACATGACACTTGTTTTCTATTCTGGTGGATGATGATGCTGTTGGTGCGGTGACCTTAACATAACTGTTGTAGTGTAATGCTAAACATGACATGACACTTGTTTTCTATTCTGGTGGATGATGATGCTGTTGGTGCGGTGACCTTAACATAACTGTTGTAGTGTAATGCTAAACATGACATGACACTTGTTTTCTATTCTGGTGGATGATGATGCTGTTGGTGCGGTGACCTTAACATAACTGTTGTAGTGTAATGCTAAACATGACATGACACTTGTTTTCTATTCTGGTGGATGATGATGCTGTTGGTGGGGTGACCTTAACATAAGTGTTGTAGTGTAATGCTAAACATGACATGGTACTTGTTTTTGATTCAGGTGGAGGATGAATATGACTTTGAATTGTCAATGTCTAACTGTATTTAAAAACATCAATTTGTAATAGCTGACATGAAAATGTGAAAACAGGAAATTATAGAAGCACAACTTTACATGCCGTGCTATTTTCAGTGTAGTTATTATACATCCTCCTACAGTATTTATAATCTACCACATACAATGTACGTTAGGATATTCCATATCATCATGCAGGATATATAATACAATACTGTAGTGGTTGTCCTACATGCTGTGGGGCATGCCAACTTTAACCAGTACATGCAGTACCTACAATACATTCACAAGCATGCTTTCACCATACACTGTTGAAAGATAAACTCTCCAAAGGTTTTCAAGAACAATATGAAGATGTACTGGGCAAATTAATTATGTTGTGGACTAATCCTGACATTTAAGAACCATTTATCAGTAGGTTTACTGAGCATAAACCATTTTGTTGAGGACTTATCCTGACATCTTTTGGATTCTATTTGAGGTAGTATAAAAGATAAGACAGTAATATTACGAAAAACAAATCACTTTTAACAGCTGATTTATCACAAGTTGGTGTTAATGTTTGCAAAAAGAAAAATTGTAAGCAACAGGTTTGAAAATGGATAATTTCTGTCTTCTCTATTAAGACTGCTTACAAATATTGATATTTCCCACTAAATCACAAAGTACAAGGGTCTGTCACAATGAAGTCTGAAACAGGCAGGTTCCACAGACTATCTAAAGAAAGTGTAAAATAATGACAGCCCCATGTGCGTGCACCTGATACATTTATTATGTTACAGGAAAAACAGGACAACATTAAGAATCTTAAAACAATAGTTCTAAGTTGAAATCTATGGTGTTGGGTTTACCGCGACACTGGGTCGTTTGGCACCAGGTGGAGGTTTGGGTGAAAAATAAGCTGATTCTGCTCGGTAATGTGGGTGGAACCCATTGCTGGTCTGTGACTCCTCACGGCTAATAGGACGACTGTGAGGGTGGCTTGGGGGGACCTCTAAGGTCGGTATATTATTTTCTTGCTCCTATACAGGGCAATATTATAAACATATAGTCTGGGAGAGAAGGCTTCATCATTGAGTATTTCATTCTAAAATTAATGTTGAAACATTTAAAAAAACTGGAAAAATCTTCAAGTAAATTCACTGTAAAGAAAAAATTTCTGTCAGACAAAAATTATAGAAAGAATTGTTGTTCATGTATTACCATGTATACGAGGTGTAAACTTAATAAGGACTGAAATGCAATGGCTATTATATAAAAGCTTGATATAAATTTATAAATTAAAAGTTAAATCATGTATATAACAAAAGGAAAAAGAAGCTTATTTTACCGGTTCTCCATCCACGGTGGCCAGTTTGCTGCGCAAAGATGGAACTGGTGGCGAGGATGTACGTTGTTGCTGAAAATAATGCAAAGCATGATGGCACTATCTACCAGTTATGTATAGGTAGCTAGACAAGAAAAAAGCTCTACACTAGGGTTTATTACTAGCATGTGTTTTCTTAATATGCTTTAAAGTTGATGTACTACTGTAATACCATGACAATCTCAATTAAATTGAAAACCAAATTTTGTTGAAACTGAAAAAATGACACACTTAAAGATATAATTAGATATGAAAAAACAAATTTAAAGATATCTTAATCTACTTGTTTTTTCCCTCTCCAAATAAAAGACAACATTACTTTGTTCTGAATTGTATTCATTAATCATATATAATGTATTTCTATCAGTGGTAATACTGTATACAGCCAAACATCCTTATCTCTGAAGAACATAGTGAAGTAACCCTAACCTTGATATACTGCAGTTAACAAATAACTTAATTTATCTGGGATATATATCATCAGCATAATTCTAATGCCTAATTATCTTAATAACAATTTTTTTTTTCAATTTTTTGCTTGTCAGTAATTTTAAGATAAAGTGAAATCTGTATCAATTCATTAACTAACACTTCATCAAAAGTTTAAGTTAAAACGATATAAATTAATTTGATTGGAAAACATATATCATTAATGCTAATCACCATTATCTACCTTTCTACTATACTCTTCCTAATCCATGTTGGCCAAATATTATTGAAATACATGTGGTATTTCATTTACTTGAATATCTGAGTGAGTCATTTTGTTCATTTTTTATTTTTTTGAGACCTTTGAGACAAACAAAGTTTGACTAAATAGAAAAGCACAGCAGTAATAAATGTATCTATCCATAGAATTCAAATACTTTTTTCTAACGGAACCAATAATTTGACTTCATATTAACAGAAAACACACAGAGCTTGTAAATATGCACTAGTAGCAGTATTTAACAACTAGCTTTGTATACAGGAAAGTATTAAGGAATATAATACAGCTATCCTCTATTATCCCCAGTATATATTCTATTTATTAATTTCAAACTTGGATATACAACTTCTTTTCTGTGTATTTAAAATTCAACAGATGAGTGTAATTGAATTATTCCACAAATTATCTTTTGTGATTTTAAGTCTCTGAGTTCAATGCTGACAGCAGAGATATACAATTTTACACTTTTCTAAACCTACCGACTCAAATCTCTTCTGTTCATCTAATTCTCTCTCTCGATCTCTCTGACGAATCTCAGCTTTTTCACGCTTAGCTCGTTCAGCTTCTCTGCGTTTTTCTTCATTTTTCCTGATAAGTTCCTCCTGTTTTCTGCGATTCTGATCAAAGAAATTCAAGGTCTGGATAATTTCCAAAACAAAAAGGACAGAACATCATATGTGATCAGTTTGATGTTCTATCTACAACATCTAACCTACAAAGCTGTGTGTAGTCAATGGTTCTTCATAGCCTCATATTTGTACTTACTATAATCAGCTATATTGATTCTCACTACATAGGTGTTGGAGTCTATTTGGGAACATGTTGACTATAAATCATAAGAGTATTATTCTCAATCTTTAGGATTTCTACATTAATTTAGGAAAAAGCAAAATATCAAAAGGGGGGATATGAGAATGCAAATTGTGGGAAGTTTGTAGATATTTGCCGTTTTGACTTTGTCCATTCCATGTTGACCTATGTCTAGGCTGAGTTACCTCTTCCTCTTTTTCTCGCTTCTTCCTCTGTTCCTCATCAAAGTCCCTCTGTATCCTCTGTCGCTGTTCCTCCAGGCGTCGGTTTTCTTTCTCCTCCTCAATTTTCTCTTGTTCTTTCTTTAACTGATCCTGTCGTTTCTTTTCTAATATCTGACAACAGGTGTAAGATGTTTCGTGCAAAACATGAAAGTGCTTCATCTATATTAGTATTTTTACTTGAAAACCTAGTCAGCATCAAGTGGATTACAAATTTTCCTGAAATTAAAAATTTTCTAGATTCTTTAAGTGATTAGGTTTCACTGTGTACACTAATATAACTTTTACTTTATCTAGTGAGGGATTCCATACCTGTAACCTTAAGTCATCCTTGTATTTGTCTGCCTTAGACTTTTCCTCCTCCGTCTAAAAACCAAATATGATGTATTGATAATTTCAGGAACAAACTTCATACAAAGTAAATTGGCAAGTCTTCAGAACAACAAATGTAAGTTAACAATTCTAATGAAGAATCTTGATCTGATCACCATCTACGTTGCTTTTCAAATACTCATACCAACATTGCATTTTGGCACAAGAAGTTTTCAAAATATTTAGTTTTAGGTTTTCATATTGAAACAGTTCTCATTAGCAGAGACATGTATGTAAGAATGTAATCTTTAACAAACTTTAAATTTAATTTGAAATCTGGAAATATTGACAGATGTCATGTTCAAAGCAAGAAATCAAATACAGAATTACGTACTCTTGGATTCCCGAAAATGCCATGACCACCAAGAGCATATGTTGACTCGCCCTCTGCATTGATCTGAGCTGGAGGAGGAGGTATAAGATCATCTTTGGGTGACACAGGTGCCCTAAAACGTGGTGATTCACGAGGAGGTGGTGTGTATGAAGGGTCATCAACTCTCCTCTTCATCTGTCGCAGATCAGCTGTAATATTAATGACGCCATGATTTCACTTACAGTAACAGATGTAATTGTACTAAGTATTCATTATCTCATTTATTTCATATCTACATTCTCAGTAAATGTACAGGGCACTATCTTCATATCTGAATAACTCACATCTGACTTGTCAGAACGATCTAACAAACCTGACTGATGGATCAGAACTGTCTATGTTAGCCTTACCAGCAGGCTAATAAGTCAGGACTGTGTCTACTTGACCTTTTGGATCACAAGTCAGAACTCTCTTAGTCTGCAACTTTACATTGTACCTATTTCCTGACAAATCAGGACTGTCTGTTTCTAAAATCTTACCTATCGGCTGACAAATCAGAACTGTCCATGTCTGTTGTCTTACCTATTTCCAGACAAATGAAAACTGTCCACGTCTGTAGTCTTACCGATTTCCAGACAAATTAGAATTGTCTGTGTTTAAAGCCTTACCTATTTCCTGACAAATCAGGACTGTCCGTGTCTGTAGTCTGACCTATTTCCTGACAAATCAGAATTGTCTGTGTTTGAAGCTTCACCTATTGGCTAACAAATTAAAATTTTCTGTGTTTAAAGCCTTACCTATAGGCTGAAGAGAAAGAATAACCTGTGTTGAACTTACCTATTGGCTGACCCCTTGAATCAACATTAGGTGCCCCACCACCTGACCGGCCAAAGGGGTTATAGTTGAGCATGTCCTCCTCTATCTTCTTCTCGTACCTGGCAGACAGAGAAAGACAATCAACACTGATCTTTTTGAAATGAAATAGTTAATTTAATCACAATGTCATGTTACAGACAATATGTGATACATTTTACATGGCTTTACATTAGAGATAAAGATAAGGATATAGTACAGGGTAATTAGGAGTACAACTTACAGCTGATTTTCTTGCTTTTGCCTTTCTTTCTTCAACTTGTCCAACTCCATCTGAAGGATAAATTTGCATGATATGGAATGAGATGGTTCTACAGAGCCATTGGTTAAGTGTTAGTAAATGATCAGGATAATAGCTGCCAAATATTCATAGATGTTTCATAAATACTGAAAGTCAAGAACAGATAACTCTTACAATCATGACATTTTTACTTGCTCTAACATTTTCTGCATCAGGTTGCTAGTTATAGCTACATCAACAAAAACTAAAACTCTACTTGTCTCAAAGCTTATAATTAAGGATTCTTTTTTAGTTCCTTAAATTTTTTCTCTCCACTTTTGATAAAAGTTATTCTAGATGTATACTTCTAATCTAAATAAGGTATTTTAGGCTACAAGTGAATTCGATCAGTCTCACCTGCCTAGCTAGCTCATTAGCATATTCCCGTTTGTTAAAGTTTTTGGTATCGCGATCTTCTTGATCAGCATCAAACTGGTAAGGAGTTGTTCGACCTGGACTTCTATGTCGAGGAGTTCGTCGGGCACTAGACAATAAAAAAATTAAAAGTCAAATATCAATGCCATACTAAGTACACTGAATACTCATGTTAAACTGACCATACAGTCTAATATACAATTATACAACAGACAAATGTGAAACAAAACAGTATCACAGACACCCCTCATTATACAGATCACTATACACCTGTACAGTCATACAGTTCATTACACACTTGTACACTATAACAGATCACTATACACCTGTACAGTCATACAGTTCATTATACACTTGTACACTATAACAGATCATTATTCACTTGTACACTCTAACAGATCACTATACACCTGTAAAGTCTAACATCTCATTATACACTTGTACACTCTTACAGATCACTATACACCTGTAAAGTCTAACATCTCATTATACACCTGTACACTCTAACACCTGTAAAGTCTAACATCTCATTATACACCTGTACACTCTAACAGATCACTATACACCTGTACACTCTAACAGATCATTATACACCTGTAAAGTCTCACATCTCATTATACACCTGTAAAGTCTCACATCTCATTATACACCTGTAAAGTCTCACATCTCATTATACACTTGTACACTCTTACAGATCACTGTACACCTGTACAGTCTCATAGATCACTATACACTTGTACACTCTTACAGATCATTAACCATCTGTACATTCTCACAGATCACTAAACACTTGGTGTCTCACACCACATTATACATCTCCACAGTCACAAAGATCTCTGTTCACTTGTACAATCACACAGATCACTTTACATCTGTACAGTCACATTTATCTCTGTACAGATTGACATGTTTTTTGAGACACAGCAGAAGATATATATATATATATATATTAAACAATATTTGAGAAAAACAAGGATTTACTGATTTTTAGTTATTTATATACATACAGATAAGGAGAGAAAAAAGGTTTCCTGAGAAGGTTGTAGACAGGTTTAGTAGTAGTATTGATAATTGATACGTATGAATATTGACAGAATCCTCTGATATCCAGTAGTGTGGGTTAGTACTCTCAAATATTAATCCGTTATAGACTTAAATATCTTAAGAAGCTGACCACATTCCAAAAGAGTGCCATTATTGCGACCAATATCATGTGATATCCTGTTATGTGGGTTAGTATATTCCAGTAGTTATCCTTAGGTTTGTAAACATCATTATCTCTTGATATTTCCATCATTGTGTCGACAGTTATGATTGGATCTTGTGTACAAGTCTACTGAAATCCTTCAGTATGGAAGATAAGTGTACAAAAAGAGTCCTTGAAAAGTTCTGTGAAAACTGATGTTAAAGCATTGCTGAGCAGCAGAGAAGAATGGTCACTTAGTAACCTTGAACATGACTTAATAGTCCACTTCAACGACACCAAAAAAACCCAAATCTAATGTTAACATGTGTATACAAACACATACACTTATCACACAATTAATATAAAACAATAAAATGTCATAAATAAATGATTAATGGGTCAGACACAATCATTTGCCATGATGGAAATCATATGGTTATCATGCTATGAATGCCACACCATAAGTTGCAATGGAAACCACAGTTAAAATTATGCTGCTATGAATGCCAAACAAGTAGTCATATAAATCACCCGATTAATCTGGTGTATCACATTCACCTTGTTGTTACCTTTGTAATTAACAAGCTACAGCTGATATTAGGTGGTCACACCGCTAGCCAACTTGGTGATGCTGTTTTTTTCATGATGAAGTTTTTGTTGAATGATAAATTTGAAATTGCTCATTTTCTTGTATACAAAATTTTACACCATATGACCTAAACCCCGAACAAAAATAGTCACGATCACACCTAATACATTTACTCCACACGTTATTATAACTATGATAGAAGTGTCCACAAAAAATTACAATAGTGTAAATAAATAATTCAGTCTTTATAATTCCAGATCTGATACCATGCAGTTAATATGATAGCACAACAAACTTCAGGAAAAATAAACAAAGATCTGCCTCATATCAGAGAAATGCCATGCAGTGTAAAAGAACCATCATATTTATCATTTCTACCAAGGCTTTATTCAATCTGTTTACAATGAGTCTGCTATAGATATATATATCTCTTTTATTTTGACGAAGTTTTAAAGCCTCACAATAGCCAGGGTCAGATGACATATTAGAAATACATTATCAACAATAATATATTTGAAAAAAAAGGAGAAAAAATGGAACAAATAAAGCATGAAAACTAGTATGAGAACAAATTTAATAGAATGACAAATATTGAATTCAGTAATTAGTTAAGACTTATGTTATATCACTGGATCCTGATGCATTTCTTCAAACAGTACCGACACGGTTCTCTTTAATACATGACATCTTCAGATGGGCAGGTTAGAAATGATAGAACAAACTGAAAGTATCTGATGACAAAATAGCTTTGTCATGATTATTACCTATCCTTCAGGATTCCACGGTGGCTGAAACCACAAAATACGACCAGAATGTCAGTAAAAGGGTGTGGTATCTTAAAACAAAATATGACCAGAATGTCAGTAAAAGGGTGTGGTATCTTACCACAAAATATAACCAGAATGTCAGTAAAAGGGTGTGGTATCTTACCACAAAATACAACCAGAATGTCAGTAAAAGGGTGTGGTATATTAACACAAAATACGACCAGAATGTCAGTAAAACGATACAGTATCTTACCACAAAATACGACCAGAATGTCAGTAAAAGGATGTGATATATTAACACAAAATACGACCAGAATGTCAGTAAAAGGGTGTGATATATTAACACAAAATATGACCAGAATGTCAGTAAAAGGGTGTGATATATTAACAGAAAATACGACCAGAATGTCAGTAAAGGTATACAGTATCTTACCACAAAATACGACCAGAATGTCAGTAAAAGGATACAGTATCTTACCACAAAATCCATAGGACAAATTATTGGATTTATAAGGAAAGACAATGTATATCTATTTAATGACAGAAAATGTAACCTACACAACAGTTTCTAATACCGAGGAATAAGGAGTTAAATAAAAATGGAATACGTTTATGTTTTTCTCACAATTTCCTGAGATTTTTCAAATACACAAATATCAGTGTATTAAGATCAAACTTACAATATTTTTTTTTTTTGTTCCAATAGTGAAAAAATAAAAATGATTCTTTTTTCATTAATTTATTTGTTTTTTTTTTTTTTTGGCTAAAAATATTTAACAGACTTGGTAAAATATAGAGCCATTCCAAAAATTAAAGCTGAAAGTTGTCCCTCAACGTCTTTGTGATATGTAACTATTATCTTAGGTAGCCATGAAACATTGGCACTCATCTTAATACCACATCAATTTGACTCTTCTGGTGTCAGTTTCAAATCTAATTCATTCTGTCATGTTGTTTTGTATTTGGAAGAAACCTGTTTTTGAAATCAAGTCAGTGATAATCTGTTTTATATGAGCAAATTAGAACATTATGTGAAATATTTTAACTTTTATATAATATCATATTACTTTATATGTCACTAATTAAGTAACATATCATTTTATAGTACTACTGTAACTTGTGTGGTAATAACATTGCTTGTTGATTAGTATTTATACATACCTTGTTTGATGTGATTTGTGACACTTATCTAGACATCTAATGTTAAATAGTTGTAGCTATAGTGTCTGGTAAGTCTATCTTGGTTGGACATAATTTTATTATAATATGCATATTTAACTGATATATTTCTATGTTTTTAAATGTGTGACACTTTAATTACTATTCTCATCTTATCTTTATATTTTCTTTGTGTTATCTACACGTTCTAAAGGCCTTACCTCTCATCAAAAGTCACCCTGGGGGAGCTACGTCCTCGAAATCCTTGACCCTCTCCACCAAGATTCAGAGGAGGTACAGTAGTAGATCCACCACCTTTAACCAACCACAAAATCACATACTATATACAGTACTGGGAGACATTGAAGAAATTACATGTACCTTACCAAGTTTAGATGTCAGAAGTGTATTATGGTTTCTGTTTTGTTCTCTGCCAACCTCTATCAAATACTCATTCTCTATGATTTTAATCACATCTGCATCACATGACTTAGCACTACATTTGGTTTTTACAATCATATTGATACACATTGGAGAGTACTACAGATTATAGTTGTTGTCAGACAGAATTTCTCTTTCCGTTTTTTTATTTAGACATAGCTGTGACAGACGATTGATATGCAGATTCTTTGGTACTAAACACCATCGACAACTATACACCACATTTATGTACAAAATGTCCTTTAATTTGGTGTGTAAAGAATGATCTGGACCTACATTTAAAAATCATATATTGAAATAACAAGAAAGAAATGGGACATCAGTTACCATAATGTCTCCAGAGACATAGACACCGGAGACTAACTAGTAAGACAGATATCAAATTGTGTAATTTGTGTATTCCTCACAATTTATGACCATTACAACTATACAGCTATAGATACCTGAGGGTTCAGGGTCCAGTGGGTTCCTCATACCGTAGAATCTGTACGCATCGTCTATAGAGTTTTGACTGTTGATACCACCGATATCCTGACCCGTGATATAGGTACTGTAAAGTAAAACACATGTTCACTGTAAGTGTCTTTGTCCTGATGTAGATATGTAATACATACAACATTTTCGTTACCTTCCTCACTCATATCCAAAAATCTGCTTACAACAACATAGTATATTTTCATCTGAAGATTTCCAAGAGTACATTTTTGGTTATTTTTAACTTGAAGTAAGTATGAATAAATACAGGTGTAAACACCTTTCCTGTCTTTAACTGAAGAGGACAGGCCACTAAAATTTTCCATCCAATCTCATACTTATACTTCAGAACTTACAAGTGTACACTAAATATCTGAAGCAATGGTATGAATCTTGTAAGCTTATTTTATCTGAAAGAAATATCCTACCACATAAACAGCCTGACAATAAATTCAATCCAACGCTGCTAACATCAACCTATTCAAATACTTACAAATAGCTTCGACTGCTCGATTTCCTTATACCAAAATTAAAATCCAAGGTAAGCAAAAACAAAAAACAGCAAGCATTTCTGTTAATACAGAACCAAAGGCCTCTCCTATCTCAACATGCTTAGTACAGTATCAACACAAAGCACACCATTCACATATACCGAGGGTACAAGCTTGCTGCTCATCTGATTGGAGCTAAATATTACACACAAAATAACCTTAATGCCATTTAATGAAAAAAAAAATGCTAAGATTAAAATTTAAACATCTTATAGTTTAAAGAATAAAAAATTTCACCTACTTCTTTATTTTGAAGTAAAATTTCCATCTCACAGTTAGACTGTCATAAAAGGACTAATTATCAAGCTTCCAGAAAAGTTACAATACACCATGAATCAATTCACAGTAGTAATCTGATCCATATCTCATCTATAGAGTTATAGAGAAGGAATAAACAGCGGAGAGACTTATACAGAAATAAAGAACAGAAAAACAGGTGATACTTGATGAATGACAGGTAGACTTACACTGTCTTAAAGTGTATTGTGACAGTAATTAAGTTTTTGGATTTTGAGACAGACTTCTCACTAATATCATACATATATTTGTAATTGCTGATAAGAAAGCATTTAATATTGATTTAGTAAATATTTAACTAATCATCTACATAAAACTTTTATGTGTCTTGAGTGACAGATTTTTATTAATAAGAGATATAATCGTTATTTGACTTGGGTAGTAACAAGTTTGTTTATACCGGGTAATTCCTAAATTCAGGTAAAACACTTTATTTCATTAGACTGACACTGTCCCTTCTACATTGTGTAACAGGGGATGTAAATTCATGTACCAGGGAGGAGGGGGGAGGTATTTAATAATTTAGTAAGTCTCTTTGATCACATTCAATCAACATGCCATGCAAACGTAAATTGATGTGCTCACATGCAACAAAAGTTTTCTGATGATTTATCAGCAAATAGAACAGCCTATATCTGTATATATTAGTGTATCAATTATGATAGGTTTTTCTTCCTTAATTTCTGAGTTGAGGGTTTATCATTGTTCACCATTATAACGTACAGATTTTAACAATTTTGAGCCAAAATGTCATTACTTCACAGCTCCTAAAATTATCCTCTCTCGAAGACATACTATTACTCCTGAAGGTTCAATCTGCACTTTTTAAATTCATTTAGACATAATCTGTCAAAAAAACTTTATTCTGGAATATATCCACAAATTATTAAAACAAGGCCATTTTCTTCAATGTTTGTTTGATTGTAACTAAATACAACCAGAGAACATTTTCAACTCTTTGCCATGTAGTTCCTGAGTATCAGTTATCTTAAATTCTTAAGGAGAAGATTCTCATAGGCTATGCCTGCTGACAAGTTACTATTGGGTCCAAAATCTTTACCAAATGATAAAATGTTCTAAAGATTTAACACATTTCAGCCCTGTGACCTTGCCTAAAGATTAAGGTCCTTTGGTTAAAGACTTTTGATATTCATCCTCCTGACCAATATTTCAGGCACAGGGACATTGAAAAGCGAAAAATGCCATTTGTCATTTGCAAAAGGAATAAAGACAGTGGCAGGTGACTTTGGTCCAATTAAATTTAACATGGTCTCATTTGTTTAATTTGCTCATCAAAATACTATTTTTGAGTATTATGGTACTGACTGAAACACCAATCAGCATCACACTAAACCAATCAGCACCCGTATTGAAAGACTACATTAGAAATGCTATATATTAGTGTTTACTGACAAACTGTCACAGCATTTGTTACGAAGAGTTTACTGTGGTGTGAGTGCTAGGGGAGATAACTTAGTACATATATACCTAGGGACGCCTGTGTCTGGGTCCAGATCACCAAACCTACAGGTTTAAAGGTTTGGTTATGTATGTACACAAAGTCAATAACCTCTTAATTTTTCTTAAAGTACCCCAATACTTTTGGGTCAAATACAAATAGTTACATATATTACAAAAAAAACATAATTCATAGTACTCCATGACTAATTTGCATGTGTTTTTCTTCTTAACATAATAGAAAGAACTTCTGCCTTCATTGTCTTTATGAGATCAGGCATGTCTAGTCATCTAGATACATTACTCTTTTGTGATTGTTAGTCCACAATATGGTTACAGGAGGGAAATTTTTTTGGGGTCTTACATAGGTCCAGGTATTTTAAAGATATTTGAAGAGAACTTTTCAAACAATCATATTGAAGACAATCTTAATGCTTGTATGGTGTCCAGAAGTGTATCACACCTGAATTCACCTGGTATATTATAACATTTGCAAACTCTATTTTTCTCCAAAACCTATATAAATGAAAAAAGCATTAAAACATTACCATTTTCTAGAAATGAAAGTTTTAGCTGTGTGATTCATACTAGTATGGAATGATGGCAAAGACTTACGTTGGTTGATACTGTAGCCCTGGAGGAAGTGATAAACCCTTGGGTTTACGTGTCTCCAACAGACTGGTGTCAAATCCTCCTCCATCTAGAAAGGCTGATGGCTCATATCCTCCTTGATCTCTCCGACGCCCTCGTGGTGCTGAACTCTCAGCCCCAAAGGACACACCCCCTCCCAATCCGAAGTCACCTGATGGATCATATCCACCACCACGAGGCCTGAAATCAACATGATGGTAAGTATTACACAATTGTATATGATCACTAAAAGTCGGTATAGGAAGCTACTGGAGTTCTTCATTCAGAAGATATCAGAAGGCTCTTCATTCAGAATATATCAGAAGGCTAAGAAATTTTGGTTACATAAAAAATTCTTCTAACTAAGGTTACTTGCTTTTAAAAGAAACTCTTCAATGCAAGGAAAGCTGGAGTGACTAAAGTTATTTTTTTGAAAACAATAAACAAATTCATTCATAAGTAGACCTTTTTCCCTATCTGTTGTATCAATCCAATAGAGATCAATGTTGTCCTTATATTTTCTGGTTATAATCTGACCAGTGTGTAGTGTCCTGGAGGTAGAATGTACAGATCTGACCAGTATGTAGTGTCCTGGAGGTAGAATGTACAGATCTGACCAGTGTGTAGTGTCCTGGAGGTAGAATGTACAGATCTGACCAGTGTGTAGTGTCCTGGAGGTGTGTACTGTGTAGTGTCCTGGAGGTAGAATGTACAGATCTGACCAGTGTGTAGTGTCCTGGAGGTAGAATGTACAGATCTGATCAGTGTGTAGTGTCCTGGAGGTAGAATGTACAGATCTGACCAGTGTGTAGTGTCCTGGAGGTAAAATGTACAGATCTGACCAGTGTGTAGTGTCCTGGAGGTAGAATGTACAGATCTGACCAGTGTGTAGTGTCCTGGAGGTACAATGTACAGATCTGACCAGTGTGTAGTGTCCTGGAGGTAAAATGTACAGATCTGACCAGTGTGTAGTGTCCTGGAGGTAGAATGTACAGATCTGACCAGTGTGTAGTGTCCTGGAGGTAAAATGTACAGATCTGACCAGTGTGTAGTGTCCTGGAGGTACAATGTACAGATATGACCAGTGTATAGTGTCCTGGAGGTAGAATGTATAGATTTGACCAGTGTGTATAGCACCACGGAGGTAAAATGTACAGATCTGACCAGTGTGTAGTGTCCTGGAGGTAGAATGTACAGATCTGACCAGTGTGTAGTGTCCTGGAGGTAAAATGTACAGATCTGACCAGTGTATAGTGTCCTGGAGGTACAATGTTCAGATCTGATCAGTGTGTAGTGTCCTGGAGGTAGAATGTACAGATCTGACCAGTGTGTAGTGTCCTGGAGGTAGAATGTACAGATCTGACCAGTGTGTAGTGTCCTGGAGAGGTAAAATGTACAGATCTGACCAGTGTGTAGTGTCCTGGAGGTAAAATGTACAGATCTGACCAGTGTGTAGTGTCCTGGAGGTAGAATGTACAGATCTGACCAGTGTATAGTGTCCTGGAGGTACAATGTATAGATTTGACCAGTGTGTATAGCACCACAGAGGTAAAATGTACAGATCTGACCAGTGTATAGTGTCCTGGAGGTACAATGTACAGATCTGACCAGTGTGTAGTGTCCTGGAGGTAGAATGTACAGATCTGACCAGTGTATAGCACCACGGAGGTAAAATGTACAGATCTGACCAGTGTATAGTGTCCTGGAGGTACAATGTACAGATCTGACCAGTGTGTAGTGTCCTGGAGGTACTATGTACAGATCTGACCAGTGTATTACACTATAGAAGTAAAATGTACAGATCTGACCAGTGTATAGCACCATGGCCGTAAAATGTACAGATCTGACCAGCGTATAACACTATAAAAGTAAAATGTACAGATCTGACCAGAGGTAAAATTTTTGACCTGACTACTGCAAAACACTATGGAAATAAAACTTACGCCTGCCGTTGCTGTACAATATTGATATGATATGGTTTGACTTCAGGACTTCTTATCCTTCGGCGTGGGGAAACTTCAGGTGGACCAAGGGGTTTAACTCTGACAGGTTTTTTTTCAGGATCTAGATGTCCTGTTGCTGAAACAAGCAAACCTTCTCTCTTTTCTCTGTAAACAAAGAAACAAAATGTGTGATAAATGTTTCGTCAGATGAACTTGCTACTGCCATTTGTGAACATTCACTCTCAAAAACAACATATTACAGGTGTTTTCTCAAATCATAAATTTGAATATCACAGAAGTTCTAACAATAAAAGATGTGTTCTTTAATTAGTTCATATGGCTAAGATTTTTTTTCAGAATAATGTGGGCGATCACATTTACATACAGTGATTTGGACAGGGATAATGGTATTTTTAGTGTTATGTACAATGATAAGGAATATGATAATGTTATGGACTATGAAATTAACAATTATATAAACGATGAAAAGAACAATGATATGGACTATAACATGAACAATGATATGGACTATAACATGAACAATGATATGGACTATAACGTGAACAATGAAATGGACTATAACGTGAACAATGATATGGACTATAACATGAACAATGATATGGACTATAACATGAACAATGATATGGACTATAACATGAACAATGATATGGACTATAATGTGAACAATGATATGAACTATAATATAAATAATGATATGGACTATAACATGAACAATGATATGGACTATAGCATAAACAATGATATGGACTATAGCATAAACAATGATATGGACTATAACATGAACAATGATATGGACTATAACATAAACAATGATATGGACTATAACATGGACAATGACACAACAATGATATCCCTACTATACCTTTCTTTGCTGGCCACTTTTTCACGCATCTGAAGATGGAGTTCATCACGATACTTCAGCTTCCTCCTCTTGTTGGCACTATCTCTCTCTCCTTGCCCTTTAAATGAACAGTCAACTTGTCAGCTTTATGTCACAAATGTATTGGTCTTATTTTATAGCATGTCTGTGCATTTAGTACTACTCCATATGTAAGTCTAGTTTCTAAGGGAATATTATAAACTACATAGTATGTAGGGACATTTAGGCCAGGGTCCATACATCTATACACCTTTCTCATGTTCATACTCAGGTTTTGAGTTCAATATATCATTGTAACAAACATCCTCATTATGGTGATGAATTATCTGGTGCCAAATACATTAAAACAGTTAACATCCAAAGTCTAAATACCAGCAACAAATGAAATGATACAGCTTATTGAATGATACAAAGTAATCATTATTGTCACTTAATCTTCAGTTTGAACATCACAGGTGTAGGAAATCTTAAGTCAGTTCAGATAATATTCACTGTAACAAAGATTGACGCTATACATCGTAAATTTTACCTGTACTTTCTAACTTGTATCTTAAGTCAACAAAGGAGATTTTCACTGATGGTGCAATAAACATTGTTTAAATTTCATTCTGATGTTGTTTAACTCAACATAAAAACAAGAACTAATTGTTATAGGGATAGTGTTAAAATAAGAATGATAAGAAAGGTGATGAAATGTGAACAATATTTGAATTTCTCCACATTAGTCATTTGTGTAGGGCAGTCATTTTGCAAAGAATATCAATAACTTTCTTGAAAATCAGACTTCTAAATTTCACCCAATCAGAAGTCTCTATTTGGGTGCCATCTTGTCCCAACAGAAAATGAATGTCTGTTTATTGTCACCAATGTGTGTCATACCAAATTTCATAGAAATGGAATATACTGGTCCCCTCAGTTCTGGAAAAGTCGATCTTTTGTACTGATTTACACTGATAGTTAAAAGTGTGTGGTAGGAGAGCTATCATGGTGATTATGAACACTTTTCCATTCTACATGGAATAATTTGGAAATTTTACTGATATGTTGCAAATACAAACATTGGCTTAAATGCAGCTAACAGGTAATAAGTGTGTTGTTTTTTCCACAACTCTTTAATGAACTCCAGGGATAGACATGCCTAAATACAGTCATGATATATTTATACTAATTCCAAGTTAAAAATAATAAGAGAAAAAATTGGAGCAAAAACAATACAAACCTCCAACTTCGTTTGGTGACATATCCATAATTATGAAATGTGTGAAATGTTTTGATATTAAACAGGACGACTACAAACTCTCAATAGTATACCAATATTTCTATCACAAGGTGACAATCTTTAAACTTCAAATCAAAATATTATCACAGTTATACAAATGTATTGATAACCACAGCTGGGATACAGACAGATCACAAACCTAAAGATCCCCTCAAAATGGAACCATTTGTAATCACAAAGTCTGAACAGTACCTTAAACCCATATCTACTGTAATCAAACACTGACAGTAACACAGCAATGTACTAGTCACTGGAATGAAGACTTTTACATCAAGGCATTTTATATAAAGTCATGTAGACTGCAAGCTTTGCAACCTGCAATTTGTTGAGGATAATTAGAGAAAAATTTAAGCTGTTAAATTTCTCCGTATTTAAGCATTTCATTTCTAAATTAGTAATAACATGTTGGATGCAGAGATTTAGAGGCCTGTACATGAATATTTGTATCAGTAAATTGATAAAACACTTCCTCTAGAATGGATAGTCTGGTGTTAAAACATCTCTAGAATAGTGCGATCAACACAACCCATGTGTGGGATTAATCTTGTTTGAAATACTGTTGAGAAAACAAGGCATGAATGAAAAAGAATGTTAAAAATCAAGTTAGTCTTTACAAACAAATTTTAGTATGATTAAATGATAGGATATGACTCACAATGAAAATAGCAGTAGAAATAAGACAGGGTGAATGTTATGAAGACAACAGATATTTCGGGTGAAAAATTGTCACAACATCATAGATTACTAAATCATTTCTTACAGACCTTATACTTATAAACAAGAATTCTGTAGTGGACATATCATGTCAACAAGAATCTCAGGAGGTGAAGAATGATGACAATGAAGTGGTAAATATGAATGAATTCTGTTGATAGGTTCTCCAGATATGTCTTTGATCTGGAATGGAATATGGGACTGACAGACCTACAGGTTATAATGTACACCCCTATTCCTGATAAAATGATGGGGAGGGGTGGGGGGGATACAATAGTATTGTGAGACTCAAATGACGGAGCAGAAGAGGTGCACATCATATAACACAAACTGGGGAGTGATGAGCATGCTAGGAACACAGGGAGTTACCACTTTCTTAGGTCAACAGTGAGAGTGTGGTCAGTCAATACATAAAAAAATTGAACAGTGCATATAAAAAAAAGATCTCTAACTAATTCCTGCTTCCTCCACCGAAGGGAAGAAAACTACAGAAGTCTGTGATAAATCATTCTCACCTCTACCTCGAGTACCTGCTCATTATCAATGTTAATTAAGATACTGATTACTCATTAGCTGCTTATACAGCATGGTTTAGAAATGTGAGCATATTAAACACACAGTGGACAGTAACAATGGGGAATATTCCAGTACTGTCAAAGTGAAATAGGATTTTAAAACACATGGTGATCACAGGATAGCAGTGGATAATTGATCGGTATCTTTATTATAGCAATAGTTTCATTTTATAAAAAGAAAAAAAATCTCTTAGAAAAAGAACATGTTTTAAAGCAAACAACACCAAGTGCTGTCCTTTTATACAATGTTCATGTTATGTATCTGCATGCAAATGAAAAACATTTTTGAAACTGTCTTTTCTTTGATTTTAAACTGAAGACACCCTGGCAACAAGGCTTTTGTTTTAACATTAATAGCTGTGTCACCTTAGTACACAGGAAAATTTTCATTTCAAATATAATTACAACTTCACTTTTCTTAATATTGAATAATATTTTTGCAAAATCACAAAAAAAATACAAGAGATCCAAGGTGGATCTTGGCGCCCATCATTTTTTTATCTTTATATGCCCTTGAAAGTTGGATATTTTCCTTTCTTTTCTCTGCTTTTGTTCTTAATGAAAAGACATTTGAACATTCCTTTGCAGAAATATCAATGATAATCTTTACCTGCCAAATCCAAAATGGCCACCTGGAAGTCATATTGTTTCTACTGATTAGTCCCAAAAGCAAACGAGCCCAAGGAGAGACCAAAGGGAACATACATATAGAATTTGAGAGATATCCATTCAGTACTTCTTAAGAAATAGCTATAACAATCTTTACTAGGCAAAATCCAAGATGGCTGCCTGTTGGCCATTTTGTTCTTCTGATCAGTCCCAAAATCAAATTTGCACAACTAGGGACCAAGAGGAACCTACATATAAAATTTGAGAAAGATCTGTCACTCACTTTCCAAGAAATAACGATAACAAAAATTGTTTACCGACAGACGACAGACAGACTGACAGACGACGGACGCTGAATGACTTCAATAGCTCACCATCATCAGAAGCAATTGAGAGGGGTTTTATTTTTATTTTCGAAAATACAGTCGCAATTCTTTGAGGGCAGAATGAAATAGGTAATATCAACAAAGTGAATTCTAAAATATTAATATTGCATGCACATGTAAACGCTATTAATGCATCAAAAGGATGTTTTCTTTAATGAAGGACACACCTTTTATTGATAAATCACCTGTTTCAATCAGCTATTACCAAAACATTACATTAACATTTTGCTTATTAATGAAATTTGATTCTGTTTGATTTTTATGTATCTGGTACAACATGTGGTAGATAATAACATATATTCTTCAATATATAACTGTTTCTTACTTGGGTTTACTGATAGGTACAGTATGGAAGAGGTAATCAGGAGAGCATTTCAAAGGAATGTTTACTGCTAAATTAAACATCATCACATATACTGCAATTTATGTACAATCAACTATAAACTTTTTGTAGAAGTAAATAGGTTGTTATACAAATCTTAGGTAGTAACCAAAACTAAAATAATTATCACCTTTCACATCTAAATTTGTAATAAAATTCCAAATTCCTTAAGTAGACTGAGCTGTTACATTATATCAGCTTAAATTATTCCTTTTAATCACTAAAACAAAGCAGTAAACCGTCTTTATTACAACTGACTAAATAAATGTAGTCACACCTTCATAAAGTATTTATTTGGTAATAATCACTCCTATCTATCTCTCTACAGTGGGTATCAATTCTTATCAATAACAGGGTTTCTGCTAGAAAGTTCTGTAATGGACATACATCACCATTGAATATCATAGAAAAACATGAACACAGTATCTATAGGTAGGTCACTGACATGCCTTTACACGTAACAGACATCATATCTACAGGTGCTAAACAGGTATGTATATAAAAAATGATATAAATTATGTTAAGATTACAAACACATACACAGGGGTGTGGGTTAGCTTTGATAACATACCTTCACTTTTGCCTGTGAAATGTGGAAACAATGTAGTTCTCACTCATTAACATGGCCTTACATTATATGTAGTCACCAACCACCAACAGTTAGGCTGACATCACAGAAAGTATACCCTGCCCACAGCCTCTCACTTACTGGGCTAAAGTATGGACTTTCCTTTTGTATCACACAGGAAAATGATCATAAATTTGTTCACAATGTAGAGTACAAATGGAAGAGCTTTAAAACAATGAATTATGCCATACCCAATACATATTACATACACAATATTAGCTACTAATAAGTCAAAGGTTAGGAAAGAAAAGCTCAAAGTAAGCTTCATGATCAGCTGTCCACCAACTTTAATTACTATTCTATACTGAAACTATAAGACCTAGATATCAATGTACCTATATCTATCCTTTACTGGTCTTTACCACTCACTACACAGGCATTCTACCTCACCTTAGTAAAATTAGAACTCGTTAGTCAATCAAGTAATTAACACAGAAACACAGGAAAATTATGTTTCAGGTAAGGATCAAAATCTTTGTTCGTAGAAACACATGACAATTATTTTCAAGGAAAGGATCAAAAGTGATGTGCATAGAAACACATGACAATTATTTTCAAGGTAAGGAAATAATTCTGTGTATATTTAATGTCCGAAAAACAGACCAGAATACAGTACTTACCTAGAGGAAGTGTGGCAAAGAAATCCCCAGGAGGCCTCGACATATCCTTTCTACGAGGGTTAGGTGGTTCCTGTGGTTCCTACAGTTAACAATATTCAACACAACACTGAATTAACACATAATCACCACTTCCTTCCACATACCTGACTCAATAACACACACCTTCAGGGTCAGCGAACTTTTCAGATTCCAATATAATCAATATTTTCTCGACACATAACTGACTTATGGAAAGAGTGTTCATTTGTTGTTGAATTGTATTAAATCCATGTGAAACACATCCAAATATTGAAGATAAAACACACAGAGATATGGATTACTTTATATAGATATATTAGAATATTTTAGTCTGTGTAACTCCAGCTACACAGTGTAGGTTAGGTATATCCGAGGTAAATTAACATACACACTCAGCACAATCAACAGGTAGGTAATCCACACATTAATATCAAATCCAGCTCCACTGTTTTAACTTTGTCCCTCAGCCAATGTCACTATATAGGTACATCAGGAGAACAAAACCCTGTAGTGGCTAGTTACCTGTCAGGAGTACCTCTAGATCGTTATAAGGATTCTCCTGATACCTACATACAATACACCTATAATAAGTATTAAAACACAATAGAAATTCGTAAGAAGACAAATTGTTACACGTTTTTCATTGAAACATATTGAATAATCTGTCTTGATTTCAAAACAAAGTTCGGTCACCCTAGTGTGACTGCCGACTTACTGTCAACAAACATCTCTAAGCAATAGGAAAGCCTCTTAGGAATTTATTCAGAATATCAGAACTAATCAATTTAAATGTAATACTATGATAAGGAGAAACGATATATATTCTACATAGCACACACAGACAAGGTAACCATAAAATCATGCACGCTATGTACAAGCACAATATATCAGGGAAAGTTTTCAATGGTGCAGATCTAATTCACTGTGTATATATATAAAGAATGGTGATTCAATGTAGTGTGCTTATAGTCGTGGATCAATAAACAAACAGTTAGCTGTGGTACCTCTACAGGTTTTAAAGTAGTACAGTATGTAGAATCATAGGGAAATGAATACAGGCACAGTTCTAAGGGAAAGGTGTATATACCACACCAGAGACAGGTTGACTTGGGGATGGCCTCCTCTGTCTTCTAGATGTTTACATTGTACATAGCAACAAGAAACATAGGCACAACAGCTGTTATAACTATATGTAAAAAGTGAAGGCAAACACTTTAACATATAATGCACATGCCAGTTGTATAATAAGTTGTACTACCAGGTAAAATCTCAGGTAATTAAAGGTAGGCCATTTGGGTAAAAATGGATAAGATTACACAGCTAATTATAGCCTGTTACTGTCTCTAACAGTGTACTGTAGAACTTGTACGAATGGAATACAAACAGCCATTTTATTAAACGCAAATAAATATCAGAGCAAAAATTGAGTATCGAAAGAAATGTTAATGATCATAACCTCCCTTAAAATAGCAATGTTTTTCATAGAAGATGTCTTCAATGTGCTTTTTACATAACCTAAAATTATGTTGTTTTTTTAATTACAAATGTTCTTCACTTACATAAAGAAATGAAAATAAGAAGTTTGATAAAGCACATTATAGAATTGTATTTTTTTTTCAATAACCTATACCTTTTATTATGTTTCATAACACAAACAGACAATAAAATAGTAAGAAAGAAAAAATTGCAGAATATAACTTTAAATATGCGTGTTTTTCAAATATTAAAATATCTGTCATGGGGTTATGTCTTTATCTGTTATCAATAATAATTCATTTCACCTGTAATTAACATAAATTTATATAAGAATGATGACATGGAACTTGGGTATTGTTGGGTATTATAATCTTATGTGTATTGTATTCCAGTATTGTGACAAGTCGTTAATATGGGACATAATACCTGATTAAAACTAGGTCAGCAACAGAATATCTACCTTTTTTATATCTAAAGACTTCTAGAGATAGGTCATTAAGATTTAGATTAATTCCCAATCATGTGGGAAAGATACAATATTACCTAAATATAGATTAAGTTTTTGATATTTAGAATTACTCCTTAATAAACTGTAAGGTACCAAAGACACCATGACATGCATGCTGCCACTTTAGCCAACAAGATTCTGGATTTAAATAAATTTAGTTCGATGTAATTAAAGTTTAGGCCTATAGTGTAAACCTGACTAATGAAGTTATATGTATTTGTATCCATGTTAATAAATACATTTTGAATGTAAGATATCATGATTGATCATTTAACACGGTCATGCTTCTATGACAATCAAGCTGGAAAATCATGCAAATCAAAATTTATATACATTGTATTAACTGATAATTTATATGCCCATATTAAGGTGATATGCCTTACACACTGCAATTTAATCTACAATCTAGTTAGGGACTGTGCCCTTTTATTTTGGCAAGTGATAAAAAGCTTTGTCATGTATTTTGTTTGTGTGTTGTATACATAACAAAAATATAATATAAAGCAGTAATACAGATCTAAAATGTACATAACTTTCTAGAACTAGATGTTGGAAATGTTTACTGAAGCATGTGTGATGTCACTAACATACAGAATATACAGAACCACAAGAGAAGCTAAAGCCAGTACTAGGTCTACCACGTGCGGTGTCACCAATACCTCACTGTCTCTATGGCGATATCTAAAGTTCTCTTCAAGTTCTGAGTCAGACTTTGAATCCAAGTAAGCCTAGAATTAATCAAACCTTTTGTAAATGTCCTTTTCTGATAAAATATTCACAGGACATCAATATGGCCAAATATATAGTCTCCTTACAGCATCAACATGGCCACATGTATACAGTCTCCTTACAGCATCAACATGGCCACAACAGAGTACTGTATACAGTCTCCTTACGGCATCAATATGGCCACAACAGAGTACTGTATACAGTCTCCTTACAGCATCAACATGGCCACATGTATATAGTCTCCTTACAGCATCAACATGGCCACAACAGAGTACTGTATACAGTCTCCTTACAGCATCAATATGGCCACAACAGAGTACTGTATACAGTCTCCTTACAGCATCAACATGGCCACATGTAAACAGTCTCCTTACAGCATCAACAATGCCACAACAGAATACTGTAGATTCAAAATGCTTATAAGCAGCCTATCCAAATATTTGCTTGAGAAAAGGCAAATCTCTAGTATATGCAGTATTTGTCAATGCCATATAAACATACCAGAAAAACCTGAAATATGCAATCATAACTTCATAACACATTGTGTTTCTAAGTTGTTAGTTTCTTTGAAATAAAACCAAAGAAAAAAGAAAGAAATTATGTTAAAAAGTTATGAATTTGCCACTCAAAGAAAACAAGTGATTGCAACATGAACAAAGCATATGATGTTAATGATATTAAAATCTATTTCTTTTCAGACAAAAATTATCAAATGTCATTCTGTCCTTTGACCACTTAACATTACCAAACTGGCAAGTTTCATTATTTTCTCTAACACTGTGCACCACATAGTAGCTCAGAATATTGAAAAAGTTATAAAAAGATCCACAGAAAATTGAAAGAAGTTATTTCTGGACTAGATTCAAATGAACTGAGAAATGAAATATCAAGATAACATTCAAATGCAAAAATAAACAAAAGGTAATAACCAGTAAATAAAAACATCACGCCATGTTTATAAGTAAGGCCTATCACATTCATAAGGAACTGGTTAAAAACCGAGGGAGGAGACATAAAAAAGAGGTTCAAATGCTAACAAAAAAAAAAGTTAACAAACAAAGGGTAATAACTCTACACATTGTTGAAGCAATATGTTGTTCAGGAAACCGCAGTTTTATGTAATTGAGCTTAACTTTTAAACTGAAACTTATTATTGCAACTGAAAAAACTGATCTCCTGACAAAATTATGATTACAAAACAAATAAGGGGCATTAACTCTTCCAAATACAGTCAAATCAAACTGCTGTTCAGGGAAATGCAACACCATGTCATAATGATTTATTAAAATAACTTCGGTCTATGTGTGGGGTGTTGGTGGTGGGAATATCTCAATACCTCTAGACAAGTAAAAGATTATGTTGAATAATCAATAATTCTTATTCAGAAAAGTGTGTTGATATCATCTTGTTTTCATCACCATATATTGTAGTGCACAGTTTCAGAGAAAACATGTGAAGAGCAAGCCTCAATTTGGAATGAAAATGACACAAGGTACCTACCTTACGCTCTGGACCGCTTATCTTTTTGACCTTTAGTCGGTACAAAAAGGATACATACGAGCTTAGTATTTATCATGTTTAGGTTAAAAAATGATAATAAAAATCTTGAATTATGAAATTCATGTTTTATTATATACATATCAAGTGATTAAGTTTTTATTATTGATATTTAAACCTGGCACAATAACATTACATTTTTTACGAGGCTATTTTCTCAAAATTCCATTATAACACTTCCAAGATATTTTCTAAAAATAAAACGAAATAATAAAAATGATAAAATAACCCATAATATTTTCCAGATTTTAACATGCATTCTTTAAGAATATTACAACAAGAAATGAGGGGTAAAAAGGAATGCATTACAAGCTCCGGAGGCTAATAATGACAGCTATTTCTAACATGTATAAAACACGAGATTAATTAGAATGAGAATATTGCATCTCCTAAAGTACTCAAATGTTACCATCTCTTTAGGCGGAGTTATGTACACTACAGTTACATAACAAATATAATCAGTGATAAATAACAAGGAATGAACTATGTCGCAAAATTTTATAATATGATATGACTTACTGGTAATGCTATTTCCTACAGAAGTTTTTTCATAAAAATTTAAATAAACATGCACTTCAATAGTATTTTGGAGTGTGTGATGGAAATGCCACAGGTGTACAAACGAATGGTGATAACTGTCATTAACATGCAAACGCCAGAAACTAAAAGTGCATTTAAAACGAAAATGAACCACAACCTAAACGGCTAAGTTTGAAAACACTGTTGATATATATGCGTAAATTAGTTTAGCCTTAATCTTGTACCATCGATGGAAAAGCAAGGTATCATTGGGTGTATGGGACAACCCAATAATAAGCCACCTGTGACACTTAATTAACCTCTCGCGACAGTTATTGGTAAAATATGCACAGTATTTTTTCAGGTCTAATTACAGCTTGTTGCATAAATTATATTTTACATAAAATATTTAGTAGAAACGTCACAATCGGTAGTAACATGCATTCTTTAAGAATATTACAACAAGAAATGAGGGGTAACCTGCATAATGACAGATTTCTAACAGTAAATACACTGGAATATTGCCTAAAGTCTCAAATGTTACCATAAGGAGGCAGATACACCAAACAAATATGATCAGTGATAAATAACAAGGAATGCCTATGTCTGGGATTTCTTTATAATATGATATGACTTACTGGTAATGCTATTTCCTACAGAAGTTTTTTCATAAAAATTTAAATAAACATGCACTTCAATAGTATTTTGGAGTGTGTGAGAGTAGTGGAAACTGTTTAAATACTAAATTCCTGAACCCAATCTAAGCCACATATGCCCCTTAATCTTGCCTCAGTATATAATAAGTTACACTAATTAACTCATTTATTGGAATATCTAGGTCTAATTAATTATATTTTACATAAAATATTTAAGAGTAACGACGTTGAAGATATCTAACCTGCATTAGATCACAGAAATACACTGGTACCTAGTCTTACCATAAGGAGGCAGATAACTTACAGACAAACAGCACAGTTGTAATGACAGACAACAAGCACGATGAGCGAGGGTTATTATACAGATTTGAAGATTACAGACCAGCAGGAAATAGCAAGATAGATAGATGAAAAAGATGATTACAATGAGTAGATCAAGATCACAAAAAAGGTATTCAGATAATAGTTTTGTAATTTTTTTCTCCTTTTTTTACTTTTTTTTATAATGTAAAACATTTCCAATATACTGGTAATAATAATGATAAAGTCTAGACCATGGATGATTTCCCAGCACCAGATATATATATATAGGAATCTACCTATAACAACATCATCATGCATGGTCAGTTCCATATATAGAAAGCATTACCAATTTGGAATATTCCTGTTCTTTGGCTGCATCTGTTCTTAACCAATTATCATCGTCTAGGATGCCTCGTTCCTTTGCACGATCATTTTGGAATCTCACTCTCCTGATCATGTGAAATATAACATCATGACTACTCTGTGATAGACACATAAAACAGAAAAAAACTCTACAACTGATTTAACCACGTCTTATCTAGAAATCTGTTGGGTATTTCTTCAATTCCATTCAAAAAGTCTCAAGACAGATTTTATTAATAAAACATTTTCTTTATTTATTCTGTTTCTTAAATTGTATTGTTCTTCCTAATATTACAATAAATCAAATGATATTTTCATATTACCAAGTAGACAAATACTATTGAAATCAATGAAAATGTGCTATTGAGATGCTAAAGATTTTATTTATATACAAAAAACATAATTCTAAAATGTTGAAATAAAATAAATACCCAAATGTTTTCAGTTATAGGACATAGGTAAATCAGTAAATACCGATATATATCTACTTCTGTATGGTACAGCCTTCACTGTGTCACAATGTCAACAGATTACTGTACCTGGTGACAGCTAAGTATTGATGGTGTAACACATAGAAGGTTATACCTGTGGGTACAACATTCAGTACAACAAAAACATTTCCATGTGTCACAGGAGAACGTTATCAGTCCAACCATCTTGTTCAGATAATTACACAACTCCAAAACAAAAGAGAAATTTCAAAGAATTATTAAGCATGATCTTGAGGAAATACTACCAAATAATTACGGAGAAATCCAATGGAATCCTTTCACTACATCAATAAAAAATATAAAAAGATGTGAAAGATCTGACAAAATTTCCTGGTGTGACTTTGGCTATGTTTCCTGAAACAGAATATACTCTGGGTACACTGAATCTAACCACGTAAATCACAGCCACAGACAACCAAACAAACCATAAACATTCTCCTTAAAGAGACTCCTTCTGTTTCATTTTTGTTTTCAATGTAATGCATTATAAGTTAGTTTGACAATGCCTAAAAGGTTTTATAAAAAAATCCAATTTGTTGTTTGTTTGGTTGACAATGGCAGCAGAGGATGGTGTGTGTGGGGAAAAAGCCATAAATACATAAAGAGTTCAGGTGACACGAATGTGTCTTCATACCAAATCACGATAGTCTTGTTTGTCAGCAGACAATTTTTCTGATTTCTCATTCCTCTTACTCCTGAATAAAGAACTTGACATTTAAAGGAAGATCAGTGGTTACAGGTAAAATCAAGGGGAGATAATCCTGGTGTATTGAGGTAAATGGGATAAGTGTTAATAACTGATACTGCACAACACCATCTGATTAAAACACATATCATTATTTTTTTGGTATAGAAAACATGCAATGTAATGTCTGATAATGACTTATTTGACCCAAAAGATTGTAAACAACTTGTAAGTACATCATTTTGGTATTTATAATGGATTAATGAAAAGAATTTCATCATTCATTACCATAATCTATTGAGTAAAGACGATAAAGTTTATTGTCTAACAGGAATAATTTACATAACAAATCCATAATTCAGCCAACTGAAGTTATTTTACATATTACAGAAACATTAAGGTCGTATATATCACTAGTATGCTAACTAACCTCTGCTCATAATCTCGATCCAGGTCCCTCATCTTCACATCATCTATCTGTGTAAAGTTAAAACAGTTCAACATGAGAACTCAGAAACAGGAAGGAGATAAACTAACATGTGACAGAACTTTCATCTGAAGCAGCATTGCTTTGGCCAATTTTAATATCACTGAATAATTTAGTAGTTTGGAATTAATTTATACATAACAATAATTACTCTATAGTTCACACATTTATTGCTCTTCAACAGATCCATGTATATGTATACAATATTACAGACCAATAAAAGGGTCTACAGAAAGCACTTACCCCAATTCTATTGATGGCCCCCTCACTAGCGTAAGGTCTCATGCCCCTATTGTCACCATAAGGGTCCTCTTGTCTCCTAAATGGTGACATAATGTATATAGTTAGACACATCAGAAATTCTCTCTAATTCCTGTTGTGGTCATTTAATGTCGAAGTTCTGAACATTTAACAATGAAAACATTACAGTAGGGTTAGTTTTTACTTTCATAAAGATCATTTTCCACAATCATATCAATGTAAGGATTCTTTTCCAACTTCACAGTATCCCTACAAGCCTCTATCTTATTACACAAGCATCACAATATTATCACATTCGACCTTCTCAGTTCTGTAATCTGTTAGAAAACATTGACCCTACCTGTATTGTCGTTCTTCTCTGCGTTTCTTTTCCAGAATCTCATCATAGGTAGGGGTCTGCCATCCCCGTCTTGTTTCTGGGGGTGCATCCCGGGGGGTGCCTCGCCCCCTCTGTAACAAATAGGCCATGTTTTTAACTGAAGTGTTGAACAACAACAACTTCACTAAACTACTCTACACAGCGTCTAGAGGTACACAAGCGCTACATCAGATACATCCTCAGCTGACTATATCCTCCATTAGGTCTACAAGATAGATTGTAGTCTTGTGGACCAGCCCTCTGGATACCATGGAAATCTTATTCTTTACTAACAAAGTACTAATAAGTACACTTTTATACAAAGTATTCACAGAAATAATCCAGTAGTGGCTCATGAACTACAATTACATCATAGAAATATGGAGACACTTTGGGTATCACAAACGACACATTCCAAAACTCCTGGAACTTTTCTTTATCCTGTGAAGTATTCCCCAGGAATGTAGCGTTAGGTCACTGTTACATCTTTGCATCTAAGTCTAGCACCTACATTTTCTGACACAAACCTCTAAAATTCTATACAAGTAGTACATAACAACGACATATTTAGAAATGGCTGTCGTTTATCTGGGGTGATATTGACACATCAGACTTAAACCCTAAAACTAATACCTGTATACCGAGTCAGAACATTAAAACGCATCGAGGTCAACACAGGAGATTTAAATAAAAGTTTCATTTATTTATAACCCACCACTTAATGAATGGTATCGGTGTTGTTCTGTATCCAGACTATTTAACATGTTATCTGTGACATTCTATCTAATGTACTGGTACACATATACTCCAACATACCCCTACACTACACCACATATACTCCAACATACTCCTACACTACACCACATATACCCCAACATACCCCTACACTACACCATATATACCCCAACATACCCCTACACTACATTACATATACCCCAACATACCCCTACACTACACCATATATACCCCAACATACCCCTACACTACACCACATATACCCCAACATACCCCTACACAACACCACATATACCCCAACATACCCCTACACTACACCACATATACCCCAACATACCCCTACACTACACCACATATACTCCAACATACCCCTACACTACACCACATATACCCCAACATACCCCTACACTACACCATATATACCCCAACATATCCCTACACTACACCACATATACCCCAACATACCCCTACACTACACCACATATACCCCAGCATAACCCTTCACTATAATTATTTTTTTTAAGCTTTACCCTGCAGTCAATTGAACACTTAACAACAATGTTTTATTTTAATGTATGTAATTCCAATACGAAGTATATTTACAGATTTTAGAGACAACTACAGAACTCCCCCCTCTAAGATTATTACATTCCCTGTTCTGATGATATACTGGTACACCAAACATATAATACACTGTAATACAAAGTGTATATAAGTAATTAGGCATGACAAACATACATGTATAATTCTATCCTCGATTACAAATAGTATTAAATATTTAATTCTAAAGTTCAAATAAAATATTTCTTTAGGTCTTCAACTTAAATGAAACATCAATATACTTTTAAGGTACAACTAGAGGTACCCTGCACAGAATCTGCAGAAAAATGACACACATGCTAATAGGAATATGTGTACATGTATTTGTTTTAGATATAGATACAATGTGCATACTTTCTCTGCAAACTGCCATAGATTAAAAAATACCAGAAATAAAAAGGATTAGTAAAACCATAGTATGTGACTACCATCTATGTATAAAACTTGGTTAAAGCAACAACACATCAATCAAATGAAAACTTAAAAGTGAAACAAAAAGATATATCAGCTCAACTTTTGTAAATTTCTCAACTGCAATCAAATGTTTATCATTAAAATATTCACTGAATACCATGATAGTATTATCTATACATTTAATGAGGAGGTAACGTTTACTTATTTCTAAGAAATGGTTTACTAAAAGCCAATCTGATTAAAATGCAGATCCTAATTTTCATTCTGTTACTCTCCACATAAGATCTGACAACATCCTGTAAGGGGTCATGTTCTGGGGAACTCTTGCATTAGCCAATGAAATTAATGCTTACCAAATCTTTCAAGTAAATGAAGGTGAGCAGAAGAGCTCGTATAATCCTATTTGAAAATCATTTTGTCTCAATATGTCAACAAAAGCTGAAGTATATCTAGTTGTCAATCTGATTCTGATATCTTTTTCCCTCTCCTATATATGTGGTCAGTAATGAAGAGAGAATAATGATTTGAATTTTAATCACATTGATTGACCTGTTGTGACAAAATAAGTACTTTCTGTAGACAAAATCATCAATTATGACCATTCACCTTCAGAGAAGTACAGAGGGTACAAAGGTTATGAACCCTTATAGGGTGTTGTCTGATCCTAATATGTACAGAAATGGAAAGAGAATTTTGATCTGCACTTTTATCAGATTGACTAAAAGCAAATATAATTATTTAAACAATTAAAGATAGATTGTTTATTTATTTTGATTTCTGAATCATTGTCCATTACTAGAAGGAAGATTTAGATCAAACAGAACTGTGCATACTGGAGACAAAGATGAAGATAGGATATTTTTTGTGGTGTTAGTATAGATTTATCAGAAAAATAATTTGTTGATAATATATCTCTTGAGTCAGAAACTTGTATACTATTGTTTGTACTAAGTACTTGGAATTAGTGGTACATATGATATGGAACCACTTTTCTTGATAATCACAAAACCCCGACCATCACAAATACCACTACACATACAAATTATAACATCATATTTGGTATTAAATACAATGGTAAACATTGACTGACTCCAATCAATATTTATTCATTATTTATAAGCAATTTCCTTTAAACCATTAGTTAGATAGGATAGAGAATTTTATTTTCAGTGTTAAACTGATGTGTCTCAGGACCAAGCACATTGAATACTATAATTCTAATAAAAAAAAATGTCAAAATAAGTGATAACACAGCAGAAATCTAGAAACAAATAGAATGATACTATGTGCTGACTATTTAACTAAAATCAGACTACAGTGGATGTAGGTATAGATGGCGCTGTAATTATAAAAATTAGTGTAAACATAGTGGAATCACGCAGCAGCAATCAGCACTACACACTACTTACACCTCTGCCTTTCTGCTTTTTCAACATTTCATTGTATTCCCTATTTCTCTCCTCCTCTTTACGTCTTTTCTGTTACACCACAGAATGAATAGAGGTTAGAGTTTCATGTAAAAAACAAAATATTCTCAATCTACGACAATTATAGCAACTGTTTCTCTTGTTTACAACTTTTCTTTCTACTACAACATAATGGCTAAATATTTCTTTAACTCTGATTAATTTTTGTTCAGTTATTCCTGTCAATATGTACTGTATATCAAGTTATTGTCTTACATTTAACCCCTTTTTCCTTTTCAAAACGACGCTAGTGAGAGTTATCTCCCCTTCTATAGTTTTTTGCAAACTTTTCCAGAAAATCATTTCATCATTGCCAACTAAGTGTTACCGATACCAAGTATAGTATTAATGCAGAGTGTAACATTTCATAACTGTACTTCTAGATCATAAATATGCCCTCATGTTTGTTCTGTAAAAAGGAAATTTCAAGGTGTGGAAAAGTTTCACAGATTTGAATCCATAATTAAGTCAATATAATTTACACATGTATTACTGCAATAGAAAGCACTGCCATGACACAAAATAAAGTTAATGTATTTCTGCAGCAGTGCTACTGTGAAAACTGAAATATTGCAAATTATTTGATGTATGTGATTGTTTCCACATCCAAAAAATTTCATCTTTACAATAACGGCAGAAATGGAGAGAAAGCAGATGGTCAATGTTTGTACCTGAGCAGAGTTGGTCTTTAGGCCAGGCAGTGAGGCCTCAAATTTCTCCTGTTGCTGTAACGTGGAAATCACAATAAATATAATCATGCCAACATTCCAATATATAGTGGATGTGCTCTGAACATGTTTACATTGGTATATCATTATTTCTACCATTCATAAAAAACTTCCATTCAATTTCTATTAAAACCAATTGTTGACACATATCATTTCTTCATTATCTGCTAAGCTTGCTGTCATAATTTTTCAGCATATGTTTGACCACTGTTAATAGGAATTATAATCTGTGTACCAAACATTCTGTTGAACTGCCATATTTCTTTACAATCCTAAGGATTTCACCAAATAAGATTTTGTTCTATCCTAAAAGTCATCCTACAGCATGTTAACTAGTGATGTACGTACTGATAACTTCCTTCTTATAAAAAAAATTTAATTCAATTTTGTTAGACACCATCCTTTTTACCTCTGAAAGTTACAAATTGATTGGTGTTTGACGTAACTCAACTCATTAATGATGATATCAAGGTAAGCGTGCCTGTGAAATGGGTTTATTCCAAACTCTGACCTAGATATAAGTCGTCATACTGTGTATGTTTTATATCCTGTCTTTACCCATGTAAGACAACCTATATTGTATAATATATCAAACAAAACAACACCCATTAACTAGATGTGATAAAAAGCACTATGTGAGTAAACTTTAATGTGTTGTACCAACTAACAATGTATTGTGTCTATATAAAAGATACATCACAACAGTTATATAACAGTGTCAGTGACATGGAAGAATTAAAACTGTGTGTAACAATGAATTTATATAGGAACAAAATCATTACTGTGTATAGACAAACAATGATGAAATAATCATCAATATTCAAATCCATCTGACACATCAACCACAAATCTTTATTTTGTACACATGTTTCTCAGAGTGTACCATTTCTAATTACCCCATAAGTATCCTTAACCTGGTTCATATAATACTGTCCTCATACTTATATACACTGTAACCTGAAGATATTTCTTCCCTAATGACAAAATATTTATTTTTCACTCTCTAGTTCCCCAGGGCAATTTTAATACAAAAATATGCAGGCCTAAATGTATAAGTACTCAATGTATACAGAAACATACTTCTTATAACAGGCGACCTAAAATTGTTATAGACTTAATTAAAGTGTTTAAATACTTGTCTATAAACAAACACAAACATGCTTCAACAGGCGACCTCAGTACCATTGTCAGAAATAAGACCAACATATACAATTACAAACTTAAGACAAAAGAACAATACATTTCTAATGTTAAAATCTGATCCATTTTGACTTATATATTTCTCTCATAATAGATGGTTCAAAGTTTTATATATAGCATACTTGTTTGTATCTAAGTTGAGATGTCATCAAACAATTCATTTTTAGTTCACAGATGTCATCAAACAATTAATGTTTTAGTTCAGATCAAAATAAATATGTTATAGTTTGATACATAATGTAAGACTTTTGCCAGTACATATTAGGATCTTACTGAATACATGTACTTTGATACATAACGTAAGACTTTTGCCAGTACATATTAAGATCTTACTGTATACATGTGCTTTGATACATAACATTAGACTTTTGCCAGCACATATTAGGATCTTACCGTATACATGTGCTTTGATACATAACGTAAGACTTTTGCCAGCACATGTTAAGATCTTACCATATACCCGGTACATGTGCTTTGATACATAACGTACGACTTTTGCCAGTACATGTTAAGATCTTACCATATACATGTGCTTTGATACATAACGTAAGACTTTTGCCAGCACATGTTAAGATCTTACCATATACATGTGCTTTGATACATAACGTAAGACTTTTGCCAGCACATGTTAAGATCTTACCATATACATGTGCTTTGATACATAATGTAAGATTTTTGCCAGCACATGTAAAGATCTTACTGAAAAAATGTGCTCATTCATTCTTCCACTTGAGTTTTAGTATAGACTACATGACTTGTTACATTTGAGTAAATTTAAGAAGTCACTATAAACGAGATGTCAAATTCACAGTGTGGAAAGGATTTGATTTCTTAGTAATGTATTCATAATACAATGTGTTTATCAAAGCTAATTTTGTTTAGTATAGATGTCATAACATACTTTTTTACAAAAAACGTCAACATTTAGTTTCTTTTAATAAAGATGTCAACATAAAGTTTCGAGGGTAAGGGTATAAGGGTGTAAACATTTAGTTTCTTTTAATAAAGATGTCAACATAAAGTTTCGAGGGTAAGGGTATAAGGGTGTAAACATTTAGTTTCTTTTAATAAAGATGTCAACATAAAGTTTCGAGGGTAAGGGTATAAGGGTGTAAACATTTAGTTTCTTTTAATAAAGATGTCAACATAAAGTTTCGAGGGTAAGGGTATAAGGGTGTAAACATTTAGTTTCTTTTAATAAAGATGTCAACATAAAGTTTCGAGGGTAAGGGTATAAGGGTGTAAACATTTAGTTTCTTTTAATAAAGATGTCAACATAAAGTTTCGAGGGTAAGGGTATAAGGGTGTAAACATTTAGTTTCTTTTAATAAAGATGTCAACATAAAGTTTCGAGGGTAAGGGTATAAGGGTGTAAACATTTAGTTAGTTTAGTAGAATATTTCGTTTTTCTCAGAAGAAATATGTCAGCATTTCGTTTTTAACTAAATATGTCTGATAAATCCACTCTTAAATTCTATATAGAGATGTCAACATTTAGTTTCTCAGTAGAGATGTCAGCATTCTTTTTTTTTTATTTAAAATGTCAACATTTAGTTTCTTTGTAAATATGTCAAAATTCAGCTTCTTAGTAAAGATGTCAACTTTGAGTTTCTTAGTAAAGATGTCAACATAGAGTTTTTTCATGAAGATGTTAAGATTCATTTCTCATGAAAAATCTACTCTATATCTTACGCAAAAATGTCATTCTATTTCATTGTTTAGTAATGACTGATCAATTAGTTCATTAGAAAGGATGCCGTTTAGTTTGTTGTCTCAGCCTGAAGACGGTTTTAGTAGGATACTGTGTACCTTTTGTTTACGGCGAGGTGTAGGTCGAGGTGGTTGGGATCTACCCTCAAGGTCTAACCTAGGAACCTCCTCATTTGACGGTGAATTCCTTCCGTGCCTCTGTGTTCAGGTATATTTAAAACCAAAATATTCTAAATACCTAGCAAATCTATATATTTACTACTCGAAAACAAGTCTAATCTACCAATTTAACTACATTGCTGATGATTTTATAATCTGCCATGTTGGAACATTTGAAATCAAGATTTTCTTTCCTTATCCCTACTGTTTTCTTTCTTTACACTTATTTACAATTAATTTTCAAAATTAAACTCTCAGAATAAAATATTTTATTTCTGAATTCAAATACCATACAGTTTATTGAACATCTTTAACATTTTGTTTTCTCTGAAATTAAACCTTAAATGGTAAATCTAATTACAGCAATAAATGAATGGAAAAGTTTCCAGCATAAGAGACAGAACACAGACTCACTACAGCTATTAGTAAATCAGATCCTCAAGTGCTATACAAGTTACAACACCTTAAAAGGATGGGAGTTGATAACTACATGTATGTATTAGTTGATTTTTATCATTCATTTATAGTAACGATAGGTATTATAATACTAAATTACAAATATTATATATACCTATCTTTTCCTTTAACTGGATAACAATTAAATCTATTTTTTAAATTGAAAAATTGTTGAAATTGAAACAATCCTTTGATTTGTGAATGTCATTTTGACAAATTTTGCTCACTGAAGTTATTAAGTTTTTTACTATGTGTAACATTTCTTCTACGTTTCACCATTAAGCTAAGTGGGGTTAGTAAGTGTGTATCTATTTACAGGTTGCACTGTTTATCACAGGATTATCAACAACATAATATCTATCTGTTTAACGTCAAATCAAACTTACAGTACAAGTATACGGTCCTTACTACCAAAGTCAACGGTCAGTCAGTAGAAAATTCATTCCATGTGAAACAGAATCAAAATATCCCAAAACAATGTCGGAGAAACAATCACATACATGGCCATGCTAGTTTTACCTACAAAGTAGCTTCTGTCTATACACGTACTGCACTGAACTATTTTAACAAGATCAGTACTATCCATAGAACGCCAATCAAGCATTTAAATGGCTTTGAACCAACACAATGATTGAGCACTGAAGACAGAATTTATATCACCACAATTTATTTACCTCAATATCATCACAAAAAAAAAACAAACAAAAGAGGCCTAAAGTCATTATCTGTTGGAGTATCTAATATTATATCCACACTATGTAAAAATAAACAGTCATGAAAACATAGAGAGTGGTCTCCCTTTATTCCATGCAACAATTTGCAGCTTTTTTAGGAGTGTGTTTACACACCATTAAGACACAGATTATATTGCATGAATACAATACTGAAGCAATATATATTTAGTTTATAAAATTCTTAATCAGTTCTACATCAACTTTGATCTGAACTTTATACACATACATGTCAACATGTCTCAAGAAATACTTACAAAAACATAACTTGTGTTTTCTCCAAGAAATCTATCCATGTGTAGCTGTATATATATTATCCTCCCCTATTTATTTATTGGTCCAGAAATCCTTAACCCATCTTAAACAACACTGCACAGATAACTGAGAGGTTTCCATCACTAATGGTAACTGCACAGACCAACATTAAGTAGCCTCAACCACAGATCAGAAGGTAGTTGGACCAATATACCCAGCACCAGGTCTTCATCAATGACTGATATTTGCTGTGATGACCAGAGAGTGGATGTAGAACTATGACCACAACAAACTGACCAATACACACAATCAATGAGTGAATATCATGCACATTATACATGAACTACCTGAACACCTAGATCTATTTCACTCATCTATAATTCACCACCACATCTTCACCACCGGTTACTATTGGTGACTTCAGTACCCCTGGGTACATAGTTCAATGGATTTATCTTGTAATGGACCTACAGCCCAACTATTTTGATTTAATGAAGTACAGCCTTTATGGTTGATACAGATATGTAAAGAGACCTGTTATAAGCATGGACTTCAGTACACAAGTATATGAAGGAATGACCACAATGTAAGGCTTTATACATAACCACAAAATAGCACATAGCACAATGAGAAAATCAATATATTTTCATACATTTTCACAATAAAATACCTGTAAGGATGAGACAAGTCAAACATGTATTATAGCCGCTGAATCCAAAAGGTTGATTTCCTATTGTCAGAATTCTAGCAATTCAAACAATGTATTCTAGATTTCACTCCTCCACAGAACAAATCCTTTTCAGTGTCAACATTCCAGTATGAAGTCTGACAATAAGCTGTGATACATTATGAAGCGACAGTTTTTGGTTACCAGTCAGATGTCAGGAAAAATAAACAGCTGTTATATATTTATGATGACCAAGATACATTACTTACAGATACTGGACGTTCCCTTTCCCTGGGCAGAGGAGGGCGCCTATCCGCAGATTTGGATCTTTCATTCTCTTTATTTCTCAAAAATTCATTGTATTCGTCATTTCTTTCCACCCTTTTCCGCATCTAAATCATATAAATGTTTAAGACTGACTAAGATGTTACCTGATATCAGGGTTAAGGTTCTCATTGCGTTTATTTATCTTGAAGGTGTTGCTCCTGAAGAACTCCCATCCTTTTTTTTAACCACTTCATACTGTGGGATACAGAGTGTTAGTCAAAAACAGAACCCAATCCGCAGTCCTCAGCAGCTTTTAAATATTAGTAGCCACTCATTCACCAAACTTCTGAAAGCTTTTTATTGTTCAGTTTACAATACAGATATATCTTGTCAATCAAACTTAAACCAAAATATAATTTTACACAAATGCATACAGCATAGTGACTTATATGTTTAAAATGATTTGTAAAAATTTCACCAAACAATAATATTACGAAAGTAGTGATACTGAACAAGTCTGTCGTCAAAAGTTTAATGACACTGAGTGTTATACATCTTGCACATGTCCAGCACAGCTATTGCTCACAAAACTACACACTGTAATAAATCTTGAATAAACGACAAACATTAATGATATCAAAACAAACATACAGTTAAACAATTACACAGTTGCCACAACCAAATGTTTCATAAAACCATTCCTCTGCACCCAGTGCATCACGATAAACAGATTACAAAGAACTACTGGCTAGTCAGACAAGGACTGCTGCTAGCTATAACGTATCACTTGTAGGTGTTGATTTAATGAAATATACAATCAACTATTGATTGTTTAATTATATTATAGTTTTTTAGATTTTTTTTCAATATGACAAAAACTGAACAGTGAATCTAAACACATTATAGTACTTGTACATTGTGCATGAAAGCACAATTGAGAAACAAATAAAAGAATTTAGGGAAATTGAATTAAACACTGAGAATTGGGAAAAAATGTAAATGAAACTTATTTAGAGTCTACATAAAATTAGAGAAAGAAGTAAGGTCATCATAATGTATATATATGAATTAATAATATAAAAAAAAAGAAGAAAAAAAACCCAGTAAAATGTCTATCGTATATTGTGCATACTACTTGTAGATGTTTGAAGACAAATTCAAGATATTTTACACTACACTTTTGTGAAAAATCTTTATAGAGCTTTCCTATCACCAAGCAATGCCATAAACACAAAACTTTTTCAGTCTTTACGCAAAAGTCTCATTTGTTGTAAAATGAGATATCTTAAATAGTAAAGACTGAAAAACAGGCTTCTCAACACTAAATATTGAATACTGAATGTCAACAGCTACTAAAGTAAGACATATTCGAAACTCAAGTTAGCAATCAACCACAGATATATGTGTATATATCTACTGCAATTGAGCAAACAAGGCAAATATGGCTGCTGGCTGCATAGTCGAGTGATATCCCTTCTCATCTACTGAAGTTTCACAGAAAATCAGACATTTCATAAGAATAATTTCCAGTATGATACTGAAAACACAAAATGGTTTTCATGTTCTTTTCAAGAAATAAATTTTGAGCAAGGGACATAACTCTTAGAGAATGGCACATGAAGCCATGCACAGAAACTTACGGAGTATGGTTTAACGTCATTATAGTCTTTTGGACGTTCAAACCACTCCATCGACCAGCTTCTTGGCGAATCAAATGATAAGTTCAGTTGGTCCTAAAGCACAAAGGCATATGCCAATTACCAAGAGTTTCCAATTTTCAGCATGAATCTTTATATATTTGCTGATACATTAGCTATTTTTGGAATGAGATTCATTTAAAGCATCTCTGCCTTTACATTGGAGAGTAACCATCCTGCCTACTATCAGATAAGTATAAGATATTTTTAGATTTATTTTTCCACTGCCCTTTGATGAAACTAAATATGTTCTATTGTAAAAGCAAAACCTTTCAGAAAAACACTGTTAAACAAAAATACAAAAAAAAAAAAAAAAAGGAGAAAGAAAGTAAACATAAACATGTTAGAATAAACTCATTTTCATATATATATGAAGAAGGCAGAACATGTAGCGGGTGTGTAATTATAATATGGAGTCTAAAATACAGTGTATAGTGATTGTTACCGCTGAAGAATGAAGATACCATAATAACTCTTACAGACCCACTACATGTTACCGACTTAAATGTTACCTGCTCATTCTGTGCCGCTGACTGCCCTGGGAGTCCTCCACTGAAACTCTCTGGACCGGAATCCTCAAACCGAGCTTGTGTCCGAGGTGGTGTCTGAAAAAGTGCCATCATCACATTGATGTAGTTCACACAGAAATCTCTCAACAGATTCTTAGCTGTCAGAAACTCAAACAATAATTTCCCTGAAAGAACACGGTGTTGTTAACTCTTTTGATATGTTACAGAGGTCTTGTCAATAGTTACACCTCAATGTCAATAACCTTCATTTTGTATAGATCTCTCAATTTTGTAAAGAAGAATACAATATCTTTTTTTATTAATTAAAATATAACTGTTTCTGTATGACATAATGAGTAAAGTATAGCTAGTTGTAATTAAATAAAACAATTAACTTCTCAGGTCACTAATCACACAATCACGGTGCCATTACCTTGTTCACAAATGTAAAGTACTAAGTACTAATAAACACTGCCAATTACATGTGTCAAAGTGTTGTTATGTGGTATACTGTGACATTCAACCACACATAATACATACAAGTGCACATAATACATACAAGTGCACATAATACATACAAGTGAGTTTTGGTCACAGAGAGAAGTTATATCTTAGTACTCTCTACTATCCCACATATTATGTATTCATTTTATATAATGTAATTCTCAAAGAGATGTTTCCGTCCTTTTAGTCCATTTAAAAAAAAAATATGATTGGAATTAAGATATATTGATTAACCATAGGTTCCAACTGCTTAATGTTGATACTATCATAAAACATTACTGACATCCCTCTAAAGTGGCTGAAGAGTTGGTTCTAAATATCAAATCTAAGTGTAAGTGATGGTTACTTGTCACAGACACCAAACATACAACAGTCTTCATCTTTAAAAAGAAAGATTTGAATTCTGAGTCCATGTGACAAAAACTAAACGTGTAAAATGTAGACAGTGTATTTGGGAGTGACATACAACATTTAGAATTAAATAGTGTGCTATTATTTCACCTCAGAACAAAATCTATACATCCATTTGATGCTGTCTATAAATACATTGTAGGCAGCATGACATTACAAACAGCAATATGGTGGCCAGTGTCAGTATGGCATGTGTTCATTTAATTTAGTGTACAAGAATGACTTAAGAAGACATTGCATACTCTTATCAGCAATATTCAGGTGAAGTGTGCAGTATCAAAGAGGAGAAAAGAGTGGTCATGCCACACAGAAACACACAAAAACCTACAGAGTTATAGTCGGGCCGAGGAGGGCGGCCACGGACTGGTCTAGGGTCCTGTGGACAGAAGTTAAATCTGACATAACAACACAGAAAACTATCTACCACATAAAATAGCATCATGGACTTTTTACTTCATCATTTCAAATTCTATTTCATTATAAACACTCACATGTGCTAATTGCTAACACAAAAATATTACCAAAAAATGTTACTAAGGATCAATTCATTTTATCAGAAAAGGATCATTCAATTGCCTTTCAATGACAAAATAAATTTTATATTATCTACAAAATGTACATATTCCAAATTTGGCACAATCAAATTTTAGTCCATAAATTTCCATTTACTGAAGCAGAAATATAAACAATATACAAAAAATCTTGATGATTTCAGTGTGGAAAATGTGCAAATAAAAATGTTACTTAAATACTTAACAGTAATCAAACCCGGTGCTGGACATAAAATACCATACCTAAACTTAAGAATTTAAAAGCTATGAAAAACCATATCTAGATACATATATAATGTTAGAAAGTGCTGATAAGGTATTGGGAAAAAGTTGAATATTTGATATAACATGAAAGACAGCAGAAATAGTCATTTTTAAACGGTATTCATAACATACACTGAGAACAAACTCCAAAGTGCAATGTAATTAAATAACTGAAACAAGCATATAATATGGCACAGAAAGTACAAGGCTGCAGATAACAGGCCAGATATAAAACATTGCTGCTGAAGACAAAACAATCAGGGTCAAAAGGCTACATCTAAAACAAGTTGATGAGAAACATCTAGCTTTGGTATATTGTAGATGTCACAACATGCAATTCATGCTATAAACCTGTTACCTCTGTGTATCGTGTGCCCTTTTCAGAGGATGGTCGACGGGGCTTGCCTCCTCTCTGAAATTTGTCATAGTCTTTCAGTTGAACATAAGCTTGATCACTACATTTTTGCATAATGAGACCATTAAGTGATGCTTTCTACCAGTCCACCAAACCTAGCTATACCAAACACTGACAAACCTAGCTATACCAAACACTGATAAACCTAGCTATACCAAACACTGACAAACCTAGCTATACCAAACACTTATAAACCCAGCTATACCAAACACTGACAAACCTAGCTATACCAAACACTGATAAACCCAGCTATACCAAACACTGACAAACCTAGCTATACTAGACACTTATAAACCCAGCTATACCAAACACTGACAAACCTAGCTATACCAAACACTGACTTATAAACCCAGCTATACCAAACACTGACAAACCTAGCTATACCAAACACTGATAAACCCAGCTATACCAAACACTGACAAACCTAGCTATACCAAACACTTATAAACCCAGCTATACCAACACTGACAAACCTAGCTATACCAAACACTGACAAACCCAGCTATATCAAACAGACAAACCTAGCTATACCAAACACTGACAAACCTAGCTATACCAAACACTAACAGACCCTTCTATACCAAACACTGACAGACCTAGCTATACCAAACACTGACAGACCTTGCTATACCAAACACTGACAAACCCAGCTATACCAAACACTTACAAACCCAGCTATATCAAAAAGACAAACCTAGCTATACCAAACACTGATAAACCCAGCTATACCAAACACTGACAAACCTAGCTATACCAAACACTGACAAACCTAACTATACCAAACACTGACAAACCTAGCTATACCAAACAATGACAAACCCAGCTATATCAAACAGACAAACCTAGCTATACCAAACAATGACAGACCTAACTATACCAAACACTGACAAACCTAGCTATATCAAACACTTACAAACCCAGCTATATCAAAAAGACAAACCTAGCTATACCAAACACTGATAAACCCAGCTATACCAAACACTGACAAACCTAGCTATACCAAACACTGACAAACCTAACTATACCAAACACTGACAAACCTAGCTATACCAAACACTGACAAACCTAACTATACCAAACACTGACAAACCTAGCTATACCAAACACTGACAGACCTAACTATACCAAACACTGACAAACCTAGCTATACCAAACACTGACAGACCTAGCTATACCAAACACTGACAAACCTAGCTATACCAAACACTGACAGACCCAGCTATACCAAACACTGACAAACCCAGCTATATCAAACACTGACAAACCTAGCTATACCAAACACTGACAGACCCAGCTATACCAAACACTGACAAACCTAGCTACAAAGCTGGTGCTACCATTTGACAATAGATGTCTGGTAATTGGTTTTATTTACCTAAGAACTTTTCAAACATCAGATGATTATATTAGTTCCTTTTCTATTCCTTTATCTCCTCATACATGTATGCCATGAAACTAAGCTCTTATAAGGTCTACATCATCCATGTTTGACTGTTCTACTTCGATACTAATATTTATCACATGATTGCCTTGTTATTAAGTGACCTGTGTAATATTTTTGCGTATTTTAAGTCACTTTTGATACTAAAATGACGTTCCATATTCACAGATGATATGAGACCATACATACATAGTGGTCATAACATTAAGTCTGATGTAGAAATGCCAATTTTCTACTAAATTTGCTCAAAAATGATCATGTGTTTCCAACCACCTGTAACAACCCATATAGCTCAGGAAACACCTGTAACAACCCATATAGCTCAGGAAACACCTGTAACAACCCATATATCTCAGGAAACACCTGTAACATCCCTTATATATCAGGAAACACCTGTAAAAACCCATATATATCAGGAAACTCTGGTAACACCCTATATATCTCAGGAAACACCTGTAACAACCCATATATCTCAGGAAACACCTGTAAAATCCCATATATCTCAGGAAAAACCTGTAACAACCCATATAGCTCAGGAAACACCTGTAACATCCCATATAGCTCAGGAAACACCTGTAACAACCCATATAGCTCAGGAAACACCTGTAACAACCCATATAGCTCAGGAAACACCTGTAACAACCCATATAGCTCAGGAAACACCTGTAACAACCCATATAGCTCAGGAAACACCTGTAACAACCCATATAGCTCAGGAAACACCTGTAACAACCCATATAGCTCAGGAAACTCCTGTAACAACCCATATATCTCAAACAACATAACTTACATATAGCTTATTTGTAAATCTGTAACAAACCATATATCTCAAACTAACTTAACATAACATATAGCTTATTTGTAAATCTGGCCGTAACAACCCATACTATCCCAAACAACATAACTTACTAGCTTATTTGTAAATCTGGCCATTCAACCCTCACTATCCCAAACAACATAACTTACTAGCTTCTTTGTAAATCTGGCCGTTCAACCCTCACTATCCCAAACAACATAACTTACTAGCTTATTTGTAAATCTGGCCATTCAACCCTCACTATCCCAAACAACATAACTTACTAGCTTATTTGTAAATCTGGCCGTTCAACCCTCACTATCCCAAACAACATAACTTACTAGCTTATTAGTAAATCTGACTTTTCATTATTCGTTTTACTGATGAAATACAGCTTTCTAACTTATTTGAAACTCTTAACTGTGCATCCTTAGTTCTACTGATGAAATATTGCTTTCTAATTTATTTGTAAATCTGACTGTTTCACCTTAGCTCTACTGATGAAGTATAGGACACCAGCATGTTTGTAAATCTGACTGTTTCACCTTAGCTCTACTGATGAAGTATAGGACATCAGCATGTTTGTAAATCTGACTGTTCATTCTTAGCTTGACTGATGAAATATAGCTTTCTAACTTATTTGTAAATCTAACTGTTTCACCTTAGCTCTACTGATGAAGTATAGGACACTAGGCTGTTTTAAATGTGACTGATCCATCTTAGCTTTACTGTTTAAGTATAGCATACTATGGTACACAGTGAGGTATTAGCCACACAGGGGGTTATCCCCCTTTACCTCTGATCTTGTAGTTTCGTAGGCTTCTGCATATGATTTGGTCATGTCAAGTATAGCCTCTGCTTGCTGAAATAACAGGTGGATCAGTAGGTTGTATGCATAACTCACGACGACAATCAGGTGATGATTAAAAATAAGTTTCTATATCACCTATATTGTCACTGTACAGATATGCATGGCATTGCTTATAGCAAATGTACCATAACTAAAGTATCAAGACTTTTTTTTAAGCAAACTGGGTTGAAAGTAGGTCACTGCTATCTACCATGTTAATTGTAGAATTGGATTCATGTTTCAGACTCTGCATACCAGTATCTGTACATAAGTAATGCCCTAATATGTGGTCTTATTTAAGGTCACATTCAACAGTACCTCCATCCTTTCTCGACTCTCTGGTGTGCACACCAACTCCATCTTTAGTACTGAATACTCTAAGAAGTCTTACCTCTGTTAGGAGCTGGTTGTATTCTTTCTTCCGTTCATCGTTCAGTTTGTTGCTACGCTGCTGTTGTTCTACCCCTAGTTTATTCAGGAGACCACCAGGAGTGATAGGGCGTCCCTCATCCTTCTCTCTTTTCAACCTTCTCCCTGTATTCTGTTTCTGCAAGCAAACAGTGGATATATTCATGACTATTTGCAAAAGAGGAAATATCTAAAATCTGTGGAAATTTCCATTTTCATATTACTTTCTTTAAGAATCTTAAACATGTACAAACATAAATAGTGCATCACAAACCAAAATAAATACCAGATACACATAATGTATGTATGTAGTCTGATCTTTAGATAATCCTCGGTGAGTATCCAAAAAACAGAAGTATAATACCATGTGTATCACATTAAAAAATAAACCAGGCGTGGAAACAACCTCTGTGCTTCACCAGAAATAGTAACTTAATAAAACAGAGATTCAATACAAACATTTATATCTCATGGGTATCAGTGCAGCATTAACTGAAACGAATGTGAACATTAAATGAACATAAATATTGTCTAAAAAACCAAGCAAAGTGATGATTCCATCTCAACAAAAATGTACATGAAATGATATAAAACATGTATGGTATCAGCATACACAATGTTGTGTAAGTAAATTCAGTATGAAGGCTTCTTCTATAGCAGATAACCATTTTTACACAAATTAGTACAATAATCAACTGCAAAGAAGTAAGGATAAATTAGAATACAACAGTACATTAGTACATAAAATTTATTTTAGTCAATGATTCAAGGATTAGACTAAAGAGAAAAGAATTCAAATGTCATCAAAATTGTTCCATGCATTAGTTGAACATGATTAGTAGGCCCTGGAAAACAGCTAGATTCCGCACTGTATATTACTATCCCTTATGTCAAAAATAAAACTTAGAACAAATTTTGAATTTGAATTTAAAGGAACACAAATCAATTGACAAAGTCATCTGTTTTGAAAAATGAATTGGCAGTAATATTCTATTCAAGGCATCAACTTCTATTAATCAATATACCAAAAAGGTACATAATTATAAAAGGGACATAACTCTGTTGACCATGACCTACATGACCACTGGATAGTGTACAATGATAACTAGATATATTAGGGCTATACATGCAGTATCGTGCATGTCTACCTGTTCTTCCTCTACCTGTTCCACCTCGTTATCATCAGGTGTGACATTATCGTTACACTCCCCAGAGTTATTGGTGGATACTATATGTACAGGCACAGCGTCCTTGAGTGTCTGTCGTGTGGGGTTTTCTCTCCAGGGGTGGTACATTCTATTTAGAAATATGCGGTTCTCCTCGAGCTGTTATATGTAATCAAGTAATTACACGATGTAATTGATGTTCAGCTATAAAATTACGTGACATAAAATTTGTAGCCTCAAACAAGCACTCTCACAACACCACTGTATTATATATATGTAACCTCAAAACAACTCAACTTATGTGTGTTATCCTGACAGATCCATGACATACCCATTTGTACTATCCAATACCCTATAAAAATGATCATCCTACTTAACAGTTTAACGCTTCATCGGTCACCCAGTTCTAACCTAGATCAGCTGAATGTACCACACCAGCAAGCTTGTCCGGGTAATTATTGGGCCATACACAGGTAGTTATCACAGGTAAATACAGTGTATTAGTATAAGAACCAATCACCTTAAAGAGCAGAAAGAATGTCTATGGTTATCAATTAATGTCTGTGAGTTCAGTATTTAGCTTTCTTTCTCCAGAAACATATCTAGATGTATCAGTACCTGATTACACATATATAATATGGTGCTGTTTTTAACAACTTATACCTTAACACTGCAGAGGTTTATAATTTCAGCATGAAGTTCCACTGGGGTTCATTTATTATCCAAAGAAAAGCCAATGAAGCAAAAATGAAGAACTCACAGAAATTAAATGCGATACAGTATAATATTATGTAAAATCAGTATATCAGTACAAGCTGGCAAGCTGATGATAACAACACTTTATCACAAACAAGTCTCACCTGGTTGACAAACCTCATCCTCTCTACTACATCATTCTTTAAGTAAAGATCATAAAAAATATATTTCAATCCCGACTACTTTCTCCTCCAGCCTATAATTTTGGGTGTTAGGATTTACTTAAAACAAAATTACTTGAAGAAATCATTTTTCCATAATGGAAGAACCATTATTATGTACTTTCAGATTTAAATAGCATGACTTAAGCAATAACAAAAATATACCTGTAGTCTGGTCAATCTTTTAAAGGAATATTTGCAAAAAAATGAGTCAGTGGGCATGTCATCTTACTTGAACATAGGGAGGTAACTGAGAATGGTTGCTAAAGGTAAATGTTAGTTTTCAAGGGTAGGATGCCACAGGCAGTATATAGACAAACATGGTGGCTAGTGTATAATATTTATATAGGAATAGAAACACACGTGATATAAAAAGGGAAGGTGTGTATAGAACCGTTAGCTTTACTAGTCTATAATGTTGTTAGCTTCAAAACATCACAAGAGTTATCTACCTTGGATAACATTTCCTCATTCTGGCGTTGACGGTCAAAATCAACACGCTCTCTCTCCACCTCATACTGGCCTTGAGGTAGGGATTCAAGCAGCTCAGGACGGGCCAGGTCCCGGGGATAGGGGTCAGGCTGTAGCCAAACAAGGGTAGAACTCACTATAATCGAACTTTTCAGTTAATAAAATTCCTTAACTTAAATACTCAATAGGCACTGGTTTCTTAAAAGCCTAAAGTTTAAGATAGAAGTCTTCTAAACACAATCTTTTTATTATCATATTTCTGTAATCTCCTCACATTTCTGTCTTCAGACATTTCATGACCTTGACATAAATCAAAAAATCGTTTCAGTAAAAAGTTAATACAGAGAAGACATTATTCCTCCTCCATGTTATATCTATAACGAATGTGTAAGATCCTTACTTGAACAACCTGAAACAGTTATGAATAAATGTGTTCAGAAATCTTTAAAACAAAATAGAAAAGAAATTATACAATAAGCTTCAGGTAGGTTTGTTTACAGTAACAAGGTAAACAACTTCAGGTAAAATTTGATATCATCTTCAGACTGTATTGTTATATATGTACTGAGAACTGTTGTTTCAGGTACGACTTTCAATTATCTTCAGTCTAGATTAAAAAGCAAGCATTTTTTAGAAGTTTTGTTCATGTCAAAATTGCTGGGAATGGATGAAATGAGTGAAGTGAACAATGAAAATGGAACACAGATATATCTGTAAAATGTTTTCATGTAAGTAAAAGCTGGAATGCAATAGTAATGGGTAAGTAAATAAATCTATTTCAATAAAAACACTCAAAAAACATATTAAGATCATCACCATCAAAAACCAGCTTACATAATTTGTTAATTTCCAATCAGAGTATGTTCATATTAGACAAAAGGCAGTCATTCTTATCAATATTAAATACATCATTACACATTTCTGTGTTTGCAGTGAAAACCTTACACATTTCTGTGTTTGCAGTGAAAACCTATCATTAAATCAGTGTTTTAAGAAAACATTATATTAACTATGATATACATATCTATATCGACGCATCCTTGGGATGATAGACAGACCAAGGATTGTAAAATCTCTTCATACACAATGATTGTAGTTCCTCATGTATCAAATCATAAGTTACAAAATGGTACAGGTGGCATTCTCCACTTTATTAACATCTGTCACACAAAAAGGTTTCTGTATAATTCTAACTACATGATTAAAGTGTGCACTTATATAATGTGCTGTAGTACAAATAAACTTCATTAAATTGTAAAAATGAAACTAATTTAAAACATGAAAATCTATCTGACAATCAAACCATAAGCAAAATAAAAAGTGCAAGGAAACAAATATAACACTATATATATATACCTGTGTTAAAGATTACAACACTATACTGGATAATATTAAACACTTCCTACATGTCATACAAATTATTTACTACTATGATGTCCATTACATGTAGGATGACACGTAAATATATACAATGTGTCTCACTATGGTAATAAATACTAACTACAATAACAAGAAATACAAACTGTAAAAAAAAGTACATTTTTGTATCAAATGTATATAAATATTCATTAAATCTAACTTTATGTGAAAGTTAAAATCTATCTTTAGCTAATACAAACATATTGTTAAAAAAAATTGATATACAAACAATGTTCATAAAATTTAACTTACTATGACAGTGTACACATTTTCTAAACATATGTGTAAGGGAAAAAGATACTAATGTACGTTAAAACTAAATATTGACAGGTATACCTCAAGTGTTTTATATAGTTCTTGGAGCTTTTTCTCAAAAGCAGTTGTCCCCCTTCCTTGATGTTCACTATCATATTGCTACAGAATAAAAACAAGTCTATTCTGTAAATGGTTACAGATCATATAGATAGGATTTAAAGCAGTGAATTTTTTTTCCATATAATTAAATCCGATGTTTTTTTAAATTATGCTTACGTAAAAAGGAAAGATGAATAAATGTTTTTTGTTCAAAAATGCCTGTTGTTGTAAAAGTAAGAACACAGCAGGAGATCTGGGAGACATCAATGACTGTCAACAGTTTGGTACCTGAGTAAAGTCTCTTTGCTTTGGGTCAGACATGACTTTATTGTCTCTTGTATCAAGCTCTCCTGGGACAAAAGTAGACTCTGTTCCTTTTCTGTTTGGATTTTTCGATTTAAGCTAAAAGAGGTTTAGAGTTGAATTTTAGATGAAATCTTTTACACACAAATCGAAATATTGTAGTCATGTTTATTTTGTTATAATCTGATAGGATTCTTTTTCTAGTTTTAAGAAATTTATTTTAAAATACCGGTATCTTGGATACAAGACACATATTATTTCGGTACTTCAAAAAATCAGTCTTGCTATTTTCCATATAATACTAAATGTTTATATGTATTCTGTAATATGATCACTTGTATACAAATCAAAATTGTTTACATGATATGCTGACAATAGGAAAACTAAAGACAGTTAGAAATTAAATATAAGATCAGACAGAAGCCAGATACCTGGCCAATCATTTCATTGTATTCGCGACGTCTCTCCTCCATCAATCGTCGCCGCTCCTTCTCATGACCAGATATAGG